ATACAGTATATATGCCAGTACTCTTAAATGTTTTAAAAAAGTGCAAGATATGTGAAAAGGATATTACAACCTGCACTGAAGCGCTATGGTAGCATTTTATAGCAAAAGTATCATCAAAATAGATTGCTACAAATTGTTTCTCTTTAATAGTATTATATGAATAAATAAATGTTTGAAGGTTATGAATATTTTTCTAATCCTAAAATAATATTCAGCAGAAAATCTGTAGAGGTTTATTGTTCTGAGAAAACGATGAAAGGTCTGTTTCCAAAATCAACAGGCACCAACTCGACACTGCAGGCAAAACAAATCAGAAAATGGCCCATTAACTGAAGTGAATTCAATCTCACCTAAGGAACTGATTAAATTGGTGTTTAAATTCACTACAAGTGTTTACTTCAGTACTAAACTCACATTGGAAAATGCGCAACAGTAGGAATACCACTGCTGTTTTCTGCACAACAGTAATTGTTAATAAAATCACTGACAATTTAATCCTAAATTCTTGATTTTTAAAAGAGGCTCTAATGGTTAGTCATCCTTCTTACATTGCAAAAGGAGAGATGTACTGTAACTGCTTTTAAACATCTTATTCAGACTACGGTACATGAATCTTTACTGTTTGTACTTGTTTGCTCAGTTCGGCTTGGGTGAGCTGTATTTACTTTTGACCTCTATTTAGATCAAAGAGACCCTCCTTTTCCTAATGTACTATTTTAGTAGACATATCTAAGGTTTGTGAAGGATTTGAACACTGGAAGATTACAGTCATTTCTCATTCTCCTGGACCATGGCAGAGCATTTTGTCATGGTTGATCTACATTAGGGCTATCTTGTGAAATTTGCAATGGGATTCGAAGCATTAATTGCGACTTCCAATTGTGATGACTTTTTGCTCCAGCCTCTTTTCCGCACTATGCCAACTTTCAGAAATCACAATTGGTCATCACAATTACCAAGGATAGAGGGGAACCAAGAAGAAAATGTTAGCGAGCAACTTGGAGGAATTAATATTGGTAAAAAAATGGTTTTAGGTAAATTATCAGGTCTTAAAACTGATAAATCTCCTGGACCTGATGGTCTACATCCTAGGGTTTTAAAAGAGGTGGCTACTGAGATAGTGGATGGCTTGTCTTTGATCTTCCAAAATTATCTGGATTCTGGAATGGTTCCCATTGATTGGAAGATTGCAAACGTGACACCACTATTTTAAGAAGGGTGGGAGAGAAAAGATGGGGAACTATAGACCAGTCAGTCTGACTTCAGTGGTAGGGAAAATTCTTGAGTCCTTAATTAAAGATGTCGTTATGGGATTCCTGGAAGACCATAACAAGATTAGGCGGAGGCATGGCTTTACAAAAGGGAAGTCATGCTTAACTAATCTTTTAGAAGTTTTTGAAGGTGTATCTAGCATGTTAGATTGGGGGGAACCAGTAGATGTAATATATTTATATTTTAAAAAGGCATTTGACAAAGTGCCACACAAAAGGCACAAGGTTAAGGCCCACAGGATTAATGGGAACATATTAGCATGGATTGAAGAGTGGCTAACGGGTAGAAAACAGAGAGTAAGTATAAACGGGTCATTCTCGAATTGGGAGGATGTGACTAGTGGAGTGCCACAAGGATCAGTGTTTGTGCCTCAGCTATTTACAATTTATATCAATGATCTAGACGAGGACATTGAATGTAACGTATCTAAATTCGCTGATGACACTAAACAAGGTGGGAGAGTAAGCTCTGAGGATAATAGGGCCTTGGTGAAACCGCACCTAGAGTATTGTGTGCAGTTTTGGTCTCCTTATTTAAAAAAGGACATACTTGCCCTAGAGGGGGTGCAGCGTAGATTCACTCGGTTAGTTCCTGGGATAAGGGGACTGACCTATGAGGATAGGCTGAATAAAGTAGGGCTATATTCTCTAGAGTGCAGAAGAATTAGGGGAGATCTTATTGAAACATATAAGATTCTTAAAGGGCTGATAAAGTGGTCACTGAGGGTCTGTCTCCCCTGGTAGGAGAATCTATAACCAGGGGTCACAGTCTTAAAATTAAGGTCAGCCTTTTAGAACAGAGTTGAGGAAACATTTCTTCACTCAGAGGGTAGTGAATTTATGGAATTTATGGAATTCACTACCCCAGAAGGCTGTAGATGCTCAGTCCTTGAACATCTTCAAGGCTGAGACTGATAGATTTTTAAAAAATAGAGGGATATGGGGATAGGGCAGGTAATTAGAGTTAGGTCTGAAGATCAGCCATGATCTTATCGAATGGCGGGGCAGGCTCGAGGGGCCGAATGGCCTACTCCTGTTCCTAATTCTTATGTTCTTATGTTCTTAATTACCAATTGGTGAATATTGGTAGTTAGTTATTGGTGACTGGAAGTTGCATTGAACCTAATGAATTCCATTTGAGAATTGCAAAATCGCCAATAAGACTCCATGTTACTTATCTATATGTGTGCTGCATCATTGCATTGTTTTTTGTTATCAGCAGCCCCTCGTGCCCTCTCCCGCACCAGACTCTGTGACCCTTATCACCCCCATCCTTGCCCGGCTCCACTGGCTCACAATCACTCAAAGGATAAAGTTCAAAATCCTGGTCTTCACCTTCAAAGCTCTCCAAGGCCTTGCTGCTCCCGACCTCTGCGACCTCCTAACCCTTACCAACCTGTCCGATCCTTCCGCTCAGTGGACTCCAGCCTGCTTCACGTCCCCGTCTTGCCCACCCCACCATTGGCGGGTGGACCTTCAGCCTCTCTTTCCCCACCCTCTGTAACTCTATCCCACAGTCCCTAGGCCTCACCCCCCACCCCTCCCTTTCCTCCTTCAAGACTCGTCTCAAGTCCCTCCTCTTTGAATGTGCCTTCGGTCACCCTCCTACCTCTACCCTTTCCCTCCCTCCACCCCTCCTGATCCCAACCACCAGCTCGGATGCAGATCCCTGATGTTTTTTGTGATGCCTTGGGACATCCTTCTGACGTGAAAGGCACTATAGAAATGTAATTTGTTGTTGTTATGTTGAATAGCTTCCAATTAGTACTATTTAAACAGGTTTGTTTGGAGCCACAGACTTATTGCAGGGGCTGAGGTCTAGTTTTAATTCCAACTTTGTGTTTTCCATGTATTGTGTATTATCCTATTCTCTTTTAGGTACTTCACTAAATGGGTGGAAAATCGGAGGAAGATGCAATCCTGCCTGCTTTATTGCACTTTCTAGTAGCTAGTTCAGAGTAATATTAGAGGCCTGGAAGCCGGTTGCTCTGACATCTCAGCTGTAGTTGGTCATGGCTCCAAGAAAGATTATCCTTAAATAGAAATACAGGTATAGAAAGTGGCATTTGTTATTGTACCTCAATGCATTGAAAAACACTTTGCAGTAATTACTGTCAAGTATATATAGCAAGTGTTTTTTGTAGTGCACAACATTCAACCCAGAGACAAGTGTTAAGAGCTCAGCCAAGCTGACATTTGCAATTCAGTAAATAAATAGTTCTCAATAGATTAGCAATGCTGCTGTTGCTCACCACCTATTTTGTTTTCATTGCCACGTCTGAGTGTTTAGAATGGCTGCCAGATCAACAGACCTCTGCATATCCCGTTGTCTGGGTGGTATTTCATGATGGTAATCTGCTTCTAATGACGTGAGCTGAACAAAACACTTAAATTATCCTCATTTATATATTGTAAAGCATTTATACCTACAGATGATGAGATTTTACCTTAGAAATTAAACCCCTGCTAGGCTGCTAGGGATGTTACTGATTCAGATTAGATGCCGTGTAGATTGCCTACATAATAACATTCAATTTCAATTTTTAATTAGTTATAACTTGTAAAAAGCTTTGAAACTTTTATTTCTTTACCTGAAAAAATGCAAGTAATAAAGCATGAGACTTACATATGGATTATGATATGATACAAAATTACATTTGTATTGCACGTTTCAGGTCAGGAAGACGCCCCGACATGAAAGGATTAGGTAGGATTCGGCAATTTACTTTTTCCAATTATTTAAAATGTTCTTGTATCCTAAACATAATTTTCACTTTGTGGCAAATACTGTATGTATAAAGTGTTCAGTAAAATGGGAAATGAGCTGGTAGTAGTAAGTCAGAGAAACTTGGAAAGGCAAATTTTGATAGCTGAATCACAAGTCATATAGATTTGGCTGAATAAATAATAATAATAATAATACACATTTTTAATAATAATAATAATTTTAATAATGAACCACATCCAAATCAACTGCTCCACCCTCGCCTCAGCCAATCATCCTTCTAATCCAACAGCAACAACAAAATTACATCTGTAAAGTGCCTTTCGTGACTGGAGGATGTTCCGAGACGCTGGGGAATCGGTGTTTTAGACCGGAGCTGGGGTCGGGATCTGGGAGGGTGCAGTGCAGGAGGAGAAGAAGGATGACCAAAGGCACGGTCGAAGGGGGAGGGTCTTCGCATGGAGCCCCCCCCCACCCTAACTCCAAATGTGAGATGATAATCCTTGAGTCCAAAATCCAGAGGATCCACTCTGCCCTTGCTACCACCATTGCCTCAGCACGTCCCCCTCCGGCCTCCACACTGGTGTCCCCGTCACCCCGAGCCTAGCTCTGCAGGTCTCCCCCCGTCTGCTCCCCCACTCGGCAGGCGAGAGGAACGCAAGTTGTTGTTGTTGTTGTTAAATGCTATGAAGAGCTTTGAGACTAATGTAAGGATTATTATATATTTATTGTACATAATTTTGACATATATATATCATATATAAGGCGTTATATAAATACAAGTTGTTGCCATCCGAAACGCTTGACTGTCCAGCGCCTTGGGACGTCTTCCCGACGTGACAGGCGGTTGACGAACGCCAGCCATCTTGTATCTTGTTGTATTTTGTTGTTGTTATCATCGGGTGATGACGTCATGTCTCACGCCCCCCCCCCGCGGCTCCGAGAGCGAGCGCAGACGTCACCGACGAGTCGTCGTGTCACGTGCCGCACTCCGTACAACCAATCGAATCGGCGGTGGCGGGGTTTGAATTGCTGTTTGGGTTCTGTCTGTGACGAGGAGAGGGGGGTAACGGCCTGGGCTCGAGACACGGTGACGAGGAGAGGGGGGTAACCGCCTGGGCTCGAGACACGGTGACGAGGAGGGGGGGTAACGGCCTGGGCTCGAGACACGGTGACGAGGAGAGGGGGGTAACGGCCTGGGCTCGAGACACGGTGACGAGGAGAGGGGGGTAACCGCCTGGGCTCGAGACACGGTGACGAGGAGAGGGGGGTAACGGCCTGGGCTCGAGACACGGTGACGAGGAGAGGGGGTAACGGCCTGGGCTCGAGACACGGTGACGAAGGAGGGGGGGGGTAACGGCCTGGGCTCGAGACACGGTGACGAAGGAGGGGGGGTCGCGGCCTCGAGAAGCACTCGGAGGAGCGTGGGGAACTGTCAAACCAGTGGAAGCAGCGCGGCCGATGCGGGAGAAGCTGCAGGAAAAAACCCTTTCCGACATCAGTCAGGTAACGAGCCTCCAAAGCGAGGCCCGGAGAGCAGAAAAGAGGCCGCCCCCCCTGCGCCAACCAGTCGGGCCTGGGAGGGTTGAGAGGGCGGACGCTGGAGGTGAACAAAAGCGCCGAGCGGCCTGAGATGGGGGCGGGAGAGGCGACGAGCACTTACGTAACGAGATGAAGCGGCCCGTGGGGGGGCGGCCCGTGGGGGGGAAGCTGACAGCTGTGCCTCTCCTCCCGACTGATATCAGGGTCACTCAGCCCGGGCCTGGTGTGGGGACTGAGTTGCTGCCGGGGTTGAAGAGTGTTTATATGCGGCTCAGGGGGTTGGCCCTGTTTGTCCACATGCGCACTCACATTTATTCATTTCTAATTAATCCCAGGCCAGCAATTGTACCTATTGTTAACCCGTGAGATCGCTTTGCTTTAAAATATTGATAGTAATACTCCTTGCATTTGGTACAGTACCTTTCACCTCAGGTGATTGTCTCAACGCACTTCACTGGATATACTGCAAGTGTAGTGACTTTTTTTAGGTGAAAATGGCAACCAATTTGCGCATTAGAGGTATGTGGCAGGTCACAATCTGACCTGTAAAGGTCCTCTCACTGCGCTGAAGACCGATGTCTGCCAGATACCTGATGAGGAAACTGAGGCTTGGGGCGATAGCTGTTGGAAGGCTTTACCTGGAGTCTGAGTTTGTGAAAAACACATTTGTATGTCCAGCGCCTGGAGTCCACCTTGATTGGCCTGCAAGAGGCAAACAGCTGCTGCTTAAACTCTGCACCTCCAATTGGTGGAACCATCCTTCAATGGGAAGGGACATGTGCCTGAGCTGTGGGCAGGAAGATGGCGGCAATGCTGTTGTGCATTTCATAATAATAAATAATAATCCTTGCATTTGATATAGCACCGTATCACGTCTTCAAGACGTCCCAAAACGCTTTGCAGAATATACTGCAAAGTGAATTGACTGTATATATTGTGGGTGAAATGTGGCAGCCAAGTGTGCTCAGCCGTGTCCCACAAACAGTCATGGATTGAAGTGACCAATTATTTTTAAAGGAATTATTACCCGGGAAAAGCGATTCGCTAATCGACTAATAACCAGGTTCCTACTTACTGCTACGTAAACAGAGGCGTGTGGAGTAAGGAAACTTGCCCATTGTTTCGCCCTGTAAGGAATCGAACCCAGGTCTATCGCTTGCGAGGAGAGTACTCTAGCCACTGAGCTACAGGAGTTAATGCTGAGCTGTGTTGCCCACCGTGAAGCTTGCAGGGAGTTCCTGGTACTTATCATCCACCTATTAAGGGCTCAAACCCGCACTAACTAGTGACTATACTCTTGGGGGGGGGGTGATAAGTGAGGGTTTCCTTGGACCTGAACTGGCTCCAAGGTGACATCTGGTGAAATTGAGCCAATCCTCTGTGACGGTCTCGGCAAGCCAAAACCCTAACAGTTAGGATGGCCCTAGCTGGTCAAGCATCGGGAAGGCTTGCCAGGCAGTAATATCACTGGCAAGTTATGTGGTTTTAGCTGGTTATACTCCAGCAGTACCCTAATACACACACTGGGAACCCCAAGTTTTGGCTCAAGCCAACCTGCGCCTAATGCTTTCCGAGATTAGGTGAGCAGGATGTGTCCTCAAGGGAGAGAGTGTGCATTCCATTCTAAAAATCTATCTCTGGGATTTCCATGTGTAGTGTGTGTAGTTGGGGTGCATGGAATTCTCAGTTTGGGTTGGATATACTTAAACATGGTGCTGGGTTTCTGTATGTAACAGACATCCAACTGACCAAAAATAATTGGTAGCACTCTTGCCTTTGAGTCAGCAGGTTGTAAGTTCGAGACACACATTGAGACTAGGAGCTCTTATTGTCAGCCTCAGTGTGCACGTGTAGGTGGAAGGCGTGGAATTCTCAGCTTGGTTTGGATACTCTTTTATTATGGTGATGGGTTTCTGCATATGTCAGACACTCTTCTGACTAACCCCGCCCCCCACAAAAAGGTTGCGCACAGCAATGTCCCACAAACCGCCATGCAGTCAATGACCAGTTTTACGAGGGGAGAGGGGGAAAGAGGCCTAAAGTGGAGTGGACTTTTGGTCTGCTGAGACATTAGGACCACGATCAATTAGCATAATGGAGGGAGATTTGATGCCCATTTTGTGCAGAAAGTGCAGGATGTGAGAGTATCTGGCCTCCTTGGGTGCTGGTTTTCCAGAACACAGAGAAATTTGTTTCTCTTTTTGAATAGTGCCACAGGATTTTTAACATCTACCTGAACAAGCAGATGGTTCAATATTTTATCTGATGGATAGCACCTCTGACAGTGCAGCACATCAGCCTGGACTACATGAGCTCAAAGTCCTGACATGGGGCTTAAAGTTTGTGCTGAATTCTAGAAACTTCTTAAATTCAGACTTAGTTTGGATTTTTCTGATTCAAATTTTTTTTCTGCTTTCTTTAAAAACATCTAAGTTTAAAAGTTGTCCATCGTGCTGTGTAATCTTAAATTGTTTAGATCACAAGGTCTAGTAGGCTGAGGTGAGGTGTAATTTCAGGCATTCTCAATTTATGAGTTGCTTTGAAATGTTTTTAATGTGAAGAGTGATACAGAAAAGCAAATTCATTACTGGCAATATTGTGCAAATTACTAGGGAAGAGATGTATAATCAAAATTGAACCATAGAAATATACAACGCTATTTGGCCCTTTACTTTGTGTCGTTTGCTCCTCCAGGATGCCATCCATAGTGACTATTTTTTAGGCGAACATGACAGTCAATTTGTGCACCACAGTGTTCTACAAACAGCCATGAAGTGAATGACCAACTCTGTTCATGAACCTGTATTCGTATGTGCAGGAATCCACCTTGATTGTAATGCAGAGGTAAGCAGCCGCTGCTCAGGTTCCATATCTAACTGGTGGGACCAACGCTGAATTGGTAGGGCTGTGGGCAGAAAGATGGTGGCAATGTTCTCATCCATTTCATGCTGAGCCGTGCTGCTCACTAGGAAACTTGCAGGCACCTACCATTTGCCTAGTGGCTCAAACCTGTGCTTGTTGGATGTCAAGTGACGAACTAGTAACTATGTTTGGGGAGGTAAGTGCAGTCTCCATGGAGCTGAACGGGCTCCAAGGTGATGTGCTTGGCAATAGAATGTTAAAATGGAGTCATTCTGTGGTGGTCACTGTTCTGGTGTCCACGGTACTCCCAAGGCACTGCTGGTGTCAGACCGGCCATTATTGGCAGCACCTGGGTGGGCAGACTGGGGGCAGGAATTCTTCACACTCAGCTCCTGCTAACCCTGTATGCTGAAGCCCTAATTGTGGTCCTACCTGGACAAGTAGCAAGAAGCGTGCCAGACAGTGCTTTCAATGGCAAGGATAGGTGGTTTTAACTGGTCAACAACAACTTGGATTTATATAGCGCCTTCCACGCCAGATGGCGTCTCACAGTGCTTCACAGTAACGGATCCCGGGGCCGAGCCAGGGGGAGGGGGAAGGAAGATGACCAAAGGCGCAGTCAAAAAGAAAGGTCTTCAGCCGAGACCTGAAAGTGTGAAGGGTGTTCCAGAGCCTCGGGGCATAGTGGCTGAAGTCAAGGCCACCGATGGTGGAGCGAAGGCAACGGGCACTGTTGTGAGGATAGAGGAGGTCAGAGAGGTGGGGGGGTGCAAAGGAGTGGAGGGATTTGAAGACAAGGGTGATGATCTTGAAGTCAATCCTTTCTGGGACAGGCAGCCAGTGCAGTCTGGCAAGGACTCGGGTAATTGGGGAGCGGAGTTTGGTGCGGGTAAGATTGCGGGCGGCAGAATTTTGTATGACCTGGTTAAATTCCAGCAGTGTTGCAATGTACACTGTGAGGTGCCAAAACATTGGCTCTTGCAAACCAGCATCTAATACTTTCCAGAATTAAGTATGCAGAATAGGCAGGGTGTATCCCTCTAAGGAGAGAGTGCATTCCAGACACGGTAATTTCTATGTGTAAGTGGCTTTGTTTACTTTTAAGCATGGTGTTGGTGGTCTCTGCACAGTTCTCAGCCACCCAAATCTCAATTCACTGCTGTTTCCTCATACTCTCCCAACGCTCTCCTCATTCAGTTAGATGACCACCTACAGTTGTTTATTTTTTCTGACCAAAGGGGTCAGTTTGACTTGATTCGTAATGTTCTCACCTTTTGAGTAAGAAGACTGAGTTCAATCTTCAAGTTGGGACTTGGAAGTCAGATAGTTTAATAGCCTGTTTAGTTTAATTGGTTTAATTTAGTAGGCTGACACACAATGTAGTGCTGTTTTGAGGGAGGGCTCCAGCCTACTGCTGAGCAGGCTAGAGGCAAGCTTCACAGTGTTCAGCTTAATTAAATTAATGAAACATTGGGTCGATCTTGAACATCAAGGTTGTTACCATGTCACAAGCTGCCCCGAAAAAGTCTTCGCACCATGCTGAAGGTGGATGTCTGAGGCTTGGGGGTGACAGCTGCCAGGGGGTGACTGTTGCCTGGAGTCTGAGTTTGTGAACATGCATTTGTACATTGGTTTGCAGAAAAGTAAGAAGATGCTGCTCAAGCTCTGCACCTCCAACTAGTGGAACCATCGCTCAATGGGAAGAGATATGTGTCCAAGCTGTGGGTTTACCATTGTGTTCCATTTCATTGCTAATCCATCACAGATGAACAGAACTCACTTTGGTTTGGATACTCTTAAGCATGATTATTGGTTTCCACATGTGCCAGACACCGACCTTAATAAAAAAACACAGTCCTGGGGGTGTGTTGCATTGTTGAAGGTTCTGTTTTTGCATGAGACACTTAAACCAAGTCCGGTCTGCCTGCTCGGGTATATGTTAGAGATCCCAAGTCACTATTTGAGAAGGTAGTTTCTCAGTGTCTTCAGACAACAATCCCCCAGGGTAAAATTGGTCATTCATAGTTGTTTGTGGCACTTTGCTATATGAGATACCATATGGGATACCATCTTCGCCTACAAATACAGTCACTACACATTACTGAAAATCCTGTGATTTTCTCAAGCTTTGAGACTTCCTCTGAACTGAGTTGAAAATGTGTGTCTGTGCGCATGAGTATATTAAGAGTAGAGTCCCATAGGGTCGTGATTAGAGCACTCGCCTTACCAACAAGAGGGTTTGGGTTTGATTCCCGGGCAGGGTGAACCTTAGGCAAGTTTCCGTAATCCACATACACGCCTCTGTTTACCTAGTGGTAAGTAGGAATCCGCTTGATTCGTGGATCACTTTCCAGGAGTAATAATCTCTCAAAAATAATAGTAATGTGGTCACCCAATCCACGATTGCTTGTGGAATGTTGCTGTGCGCAATTGGCTGCCACGTTTTGCCCACAAAATACAGTCACTACACTTTACAGTATATTCTGTGACATGCTTTGAGATGTCTCAATGATGCGATAAGGCGCTATACCAAATGCAAGGTTTATTATTAATATTAACTCTGGGTGTTGAGAGTGAATAGCTTGGTAGTATTTGCTTGATGTTGCTACTGTGAATGGAGTGGCTCCGGTCGTGAAAGTATTGGGATCGCAGAAGCACGAGCGGGAAATCAGCTTTGCCCAGTTGTCAGCCTAAAATGAGCTGTGACGAATTCTTGCTAAGTGCTGAACTATTCGCTCACAAAATATACAGTCAATTCACTTTACAATATATTATGTGAAATGCTTTGAGATGTCTCAACCGTGGTAAGGCGTTACATCAAATGCAAGATTATTATTAACATTTTTAGCATTTTAAACATAACTACATGTTCAGGAAAATGTCTATAATTTTAATTTGGGTTGTTTCATAAAATGTGTCTCTAAATAGCACCAATCAACCCTTTGCAAAGTTTCTCAGAATTTTCTGCAAAATTTGTCAAATGGTCAGTAATTTTTGGCAAATATTTCCACACTTTTCTATTGGTCTTGTCATAGGTAAGTTAAGTGTAGGGCAGCTGCACCTGAAATGCACAGAAGTTTGTAGGGTATTATGTGGGTAATTTATAGTACCATGAGAACTTAATAAAAGAGGCATTCCTTTAATTTCTTAACAGCCTGAATCTAGATGGACCTAGTCTCTATCACTTGTGGAATACATTAATGTATTTGGAGAATGAAGATCTTAACTTGTGGATTATGTTGCTTTGTTTTGACCCCTATGATCATTTGTTGAAAACATTTTCTTTTGACAGGTGTTGGGGGCTGACAACTGAAAATGGTCAATGAAAGGGTTCAAAAGAAGTCTTTCCAGGACAGCCTGGAAGCTATCAAGGAGCGAATGAAGGAGAAACGAAATCTGAATTTGGCTAAAGTTGTCAGGGCTAAGCAAAGCAAGACTTCAAGAGTTAAAAACAATATACTAAGTAAGATTTGTTATTATTTCTGAGGAGCTACAATTTTTCATGTTCTTATTTTACTTTACTAACTTTTTTAAAAAAACTACAGATAAAAGCTCCTTGATAAAATATATCCAAGAAAACAACCAAGACCTAGCACTGTCTTTAGCGGCAGAAAAGGAGAAGCTGAGAGAGGCACAAGATGTGATATTGTCCATGAAAAGAGAGCGGCAGTCAATGATGTTCCACATTTTTATGCTAAGAAGGAAACTTGAACATCTTCCAGAGCAAGTTGAGGTACATGAGCAAAATCCTTTGTGACTTGACAGCAAATGTCTTAAACAATTATAACGTGTAAAATTAAGTTTCAATCATAGTAGGTTTAGAAATTTGGAATGTGGAAAGACTTAACAGGGCAAAAGTGAAATCGGAGAAACTATACAAGATAAATTACTGTTATTTTTCAGTAACGTTTAGTCAACTGTTTAGAATTCAAACACCCCTTGGCTCTTGCAATCGTATTAATTTTTTGGTCAGCCAGGTCTCTTGACCCATGTGAAAAACATCTCTAATGCTTAACCTATCCCAAACCTAACAGAATTCCATGTATTCTATCTACACGTGGAAATTCCCATGTATTATAATGGAATGCACACCCTCTCATCGCTCCCCTTAAAAAGCCCATCCTCTAACCTGACATACTAGTGGCCCATTTCTAACTTGTCAAAGTTCTGGAACGCGTTGTTGCAAATCAGCTTTGCTTACACCTCTCTAACCACTCCTTACTCGAGCCTTTCCCCTTTTTCAGATGAAGGCTGAAGGCCTTCTTCCGACTATGCTTACGGTCCCCTCCTGCCTCCCACCCTCGGCTTGGCATCAGTCTCTGCCACTGTTAAGCTACCCCTAGTGAAGGGTGCTATGTAAATACAAGTTGTTCTTGTTAGTAGTGGTGATTATTGTTGGGGTACTGCTGGAGTCTAACCAGCTAAAACCACATGGTTTGCCAGTTAGTGTCCAGCTTTGGTTTACAGGGTTAACTGAGTTGAGTGGGAAGAATCCCTGCCCCAGTAACTGGTCTGTCCGTCCAAGTCCTATAGATGAGCCAAGCTGGCTGAACCGTCAGCAGCTTTGAAAGGTCGAATTGTTTTCTGAGCAAAGAAAGTGAATCCAGGCTTAGGTTGTGAATTAAACCTGTTTGAATGGGTCATTCTTCATTGCCCTATTTCAGTTTTTGTCTTATTTCCATTTTTCCTGGGAGGATGTCTTTAAAAAGGAAGCTTGCATGAGTTCTATCTTAATAATTGCATATTAAAGAATGTACGTTGTACTTTCATTTGTAATCTTATTTATTTTGTAATGTGCAAAATGTAGCCACTCCAAGAATAAGGTTAACGCTGTAATTTGTGTTTTTATTTCAGACCAGACTATCTACTTTGAAAAAGATCATCTCTAAAGTAACTAACAACCTGATACATGCTGCGGATCTTCTTGGGCCTATGCAAGAGTTGTGTTCGTTCAATGTAGTAAGATTTTTTTTAAGTTGGAAAGGATTGCAAATCGTAATATTTATATTCATATGGCGGCACCATCGTGAATTATATGATGAATATCTTCTGCCTTTGTAAGAAATTAAGCTCTTCATAAGATGTACTATGTAAGTGTAGTGATACTATTTGTAGGCAAACGTGGCAGCCAATTTTGTACACAGCAATGATCCGCAAACAGCCATGAAGTGAGTGCCCAATCCCAAACCACCTGAACAGGCAGTTGGTATCTTGTTTTTTTCAGTGTGATCCAAAGGATGGCATTTCCAAAAACTCACTGCAACTCCAGCATTGCATTGGTGTGTCAGCCCAGAATATATAAATTCAAATGGTTGCTTGAACCCACAGCCTTCTGATTGAATGCTACCAACTGAGTCACACTAATGCATGATCAGAACCTTCTTTTGTGAAGCTCCTAATGTACACTTAAGGGTTCATGGCTACCTGCTACTTTTTTTTTCTCCTTTGATCACTGGTACCTCAATCAAGTCACTATGCTTTGTGGAGCAGGTCAGGGAGTAATTATTCATTGGAAATACAGCTGAACTAGACCTTGTTCTTTCCCAGTGTCCACGTCAAACCACTTTGTAGCATGGGTAATAGATAAATATCAGTAACTGATTCAAGGTTTTGGTCTTGTTGCAGCCTAATTTAGTTGATAGCACACTTGACTTTGAGTCAGATTGTAGTGGATTCAATTCCCATGTTGTTACTTTGAACTCATAGTCAAGGCTTGAGCTCCAATGCAATGCAGGTGGTGGGGAGGAGTACAGCATTGTCAGAAATGCCATCCTTTGGATGAGACATTCTCCCAATTTTATCCTCGAGATAAAAAATTGATCATTCAATCCGTGACTATTTGTGAGACAATGCTGAGGACAAATTGGCTGTTGTGTTTGCCTACTAAATACAGTTAGAGTAAACCCTGTGAAGTGTTCTGAGATTTCCAGAAATGAAAGCTGCTATATCATGCAAAGATTAGTATTTTAATATGTATGTTGCATTTGCAAAATAGATTGTGAGGAAACCATTCTTTGGATTTGATTTTGAAGAGCATTACACCAGATTTGACCCAGAGGAGTTTGAGCTTAGATTTGGTCCTTTTTTTGATTTTAGCTACTTCTTTTGCTCAGAAAACACAAGCTACTTTATGTTCTCTGCCCACTGTTCTCCTGCCCCTGCTCTCTGGAACTCCATCCTGGAGTCCCTCCGACATACTCCCTCACTTCATTCAAGGTCCATCCCTAGACCTACCTTGTGCTTTCAATAATATTTACCACACCAGGCTTCCGGATCCTGATCAGCCCCATTCTTGCTTGACTCCCCATCCCCCTAAGATCAAATCCAAGATCCTTAACCTTGTGTTCCAATCCGTCTGCAAACCAGTTCCATCTCTGAACCTCTTACAACTCTACAGACTTCACCACTGCCATTGCTCAACGAACACTAGTCTACTTCATGTTCCCCATCCCATCATTGGTGGACAAGCTTACAGCTATTCTTCCTCTGGTCTCTGAAACTCTACTCCGGAGTCCTTCCGACTGGCTCCATTCCTCTCCACTTTCCATTCCACTGCTTTTCGCTGCGCTTTCAGGCATCTTTCCATTCTCCTGTTACTTTTTCTTTAGCTCCTACTCCCCAGCTTTGGTGCCCAACCAACTGTGTACTGCCCTTTGAGATGACATTCTGACATGAAAGGCAGTATATAAATGTAACCTGCATTGTATTCTAGTTGAAAGTTATATGGTTGGAGTGAGTGGGAGGAGGTAAATAGCATAAAAATCAGTTCCAATCCTCGAATGGTGTTTTTTTTCCCCTTTGCTACAGAACTTGAGACCAGTAGGATCATTTGAAAATGACTTTGAAGAGGATGATTTATTACCTGATTTACCAGAAAGTTCTTTAATGGAGTCCCCAGTTACGTGAGTACATGTTCAAATTCAGTTTTTTTGGAGGGTGTTTGACATATGTGGAAACCCATCATACTTAGGAGTATCCACATATGTATAGCACTTGATGTATGCATGGAAATTTTATTGGTCTGGAATGAAATGTGCACACACTGGAGGAAAAGCCAGAGTGTTGGTGTTAGGGTATAGCTGGAGATAATCAGCTAAAACCACATATCTTGCCCCTGAAAGCATTGTCGCGAGTCATTAAGACCATCTCTGTTTGGTTGCACTCTCGCCTCCAAGTATGAAAGCTGTGAGTTTGAGCTCCAAGTTGTGACTTTGAACTCAGTAGTCTAAGCTGACTCTTAAATACAGTGTGGATGTGCCCAAATTGTTGGGTGATCATGTGGAGTATAAACACCAACGTGGGTTAATTGGGCCGAATGGCCTACTTTCATGCTAACTTCTGTTTAACATGATAATAAATATCCCTTGCCTTTGGCATAGAGCTTTTCACGTCAGGAGGACATTCGATACACGTCACAGAACATGCTATAAAGTGGAGTGACTGTTCTTTGGCGAACATGGCATATTGCGTCAGTCGGCTCAGTTGGTAGCATTCTTGCCTCTGATTCAGCATTGTGGGGTTCAAGCCCCACTTTGGGACTTTGAATTCCTATAGTTCAATTATGATTTCAAAAACTGACAACTCGTATAGTCTGGACTGATGCTGCAGTATAGTGCTGGGGGCATCCTCCGTTGTTGGAGGGGGGCATCCTCCGTTGTTGGAGGGGGGCATCCGCCGTTGTTGGAGGGGGGCATCCGCCGTTGTTGGAGGGGGGCATCCGCCGTTGTTGGAGGGGGGCATCCGCCGTTGTTGGAGGGGGGCATCCGCCGTTGTTGGAGGGGGGCATCCGCCGTTGTTGGAGGGGGCATCCGCCGTTGTTGGAGGGGGCATCCGCCGTTGTTGGAGGGGGCATCCGCCGTTGTTGGAGGGGGGCATCCGCCGTTGTTGGAGGGGGGCATCCGCCGTTGTTGGAGGGGGGCATCCGCCGTTGTTGGAGGGGGGCATCCGCCGTTGTTGGAGGGGGGCATCCGCCGTTGTTGGAGGGGGGCATCCGCCGTTGTTGGAGGGGGCATCCGCCGTTGTTGGAGGGGGGCATCCGCCGTTGTTGGAGGGGGGCATCCGCCGTTGTTGGAGGGGGGCATCCGCCGTTGTTGGAGGGGGGCATCCGCCGTTGTGGAGGGGGGCATCCGCCGTTGTTGGAGGGGGGCATCCGCCGTTGTTGGAGGGGGGCATCCGCCGTTGTTGGAGGGGGGCATCCGCCGTTGTTGGAGGGGGCATCCGCCGTTGTTGGAGGGGGCATCCGCCGTTGTTGGAGGGGGGCATCCGCCGTTGTTGGAGGGGGGCATCCGCCGTTGTTGGAGGGGGGCATCCGCCGTTGTTGGAGGGGGGCATCCGCCGTTGTTGGAGGGGGGCATCCGCCGTTGTTGGAGGGGGGCATCCGCCGTTGTTGGAGGGGGCAGTGGAGTCCTGTAGCTTAGTGGTTAGAACACTCGGCTTGCAAGCGAGAGACTTGGGTTCGATTCCTAGTAGGGCGAAATGTTGGGCAAGTTTCCATACTCCACATGCCTCTGTTTGCCTAGCAGTCGGTAGGAACCCGGTTGTTAGTCGATTGGTGAATCCCTTTTCCGGGGGTAATAATTCCTTTTTTTTAAAAAAAAAAATCACTTCTATCCACAACTGTTTGTGGGACACTGCTGTGCGTAATTGATTGCTGAGTTTCGCCCACAAAGTATAGTGAATTCACTTTACAGTATATTCTGTGAAGTGCTTTGAGACGCCTCGAAGAAGTGATAAGGTGCTATATCAAATGCAAGGATGATTATTAAATCCTTCGCATTAAACTACCTGTTCAGGTGAAAATTAAAAATCCGAAAGATATCTCCCGAGGTCCTGGCCAACAATTCCCTCAAATAACAATAACAACTTGAATTTATATAGCACCCTTAATGCAGGACAACGTCTTGGTGTGCTGTACAGAGGTGTGGTTGGATGAGGTTGAAATAAAATTGGTGATTCACTTCATGGCTGCCAATGTTCACCTACAAAATACACAGTCATTACTATTAAATTTCTAATCAAATCTTGTGAAGCTCCGTGAGACATCCTTCTGGCGTGAAAGCGCTGTATCAAATGTGCCGGCCCACCTTCAGCCTGATGTTCCTCTCCAAGGTGCTAGAACGAGTCTTTGCCTCCCAACTTGTTCTTTACTATGCCGGCGCACCCTGCATTAGCCTCTCCAATGCTTCCACCCACAGCACTGAAACTGTCCTGGTCAAGGTTCTCAATGACCTTCTCGCCATCTGCAACCAGGGTGCTCTGCCTTCTCGAACTACTTGACCTCTACCGCTTTCAACACAGTTGCTCACCCCATAATTCTCCGTCATCAGTTCTCATTGTTCCACATTCACGGTTCTGTTTTTGTTTCAATCCTATCTATCCCGGCATCTCTTCCTATGGCTTCTCCCACTCTTGTGTAGTCACATGCATCGTTGATTGTCGCTCTATCTTTGGGCCTCCGTTTCATCATCTATCCTTTCCCATTTGCTGACATCATCTGCAGATATGGGATCCACTTCTACATGCACGTAGAGGACACACAACTCTGTCTCTCCCCTCAACTACAGTACTACTGCTGTTCTGACTGATTTCCTGTCAGACATCAAGTTCTGGATGAGTTCTAGCTCCTTCAATTTATTGTCAACAAGGCTGGGCTGTCCCTGGCAACCAGTGTCTTCTCGCTTCACGCCCTGACTGTGTCGACTTGCTCGGATGATCATGGAGCTGGTGCGGAACCTCGATATCTTGTTATGCTTTCTTCCTGCTTGGAAGACTTCCCGACTCTTACCTCCACAAGCTGCAGATTATTCAAAACTCTTGTCGCCCGTGTCCTCTCCCGCACCAAGCTCGTGAGCTGATTACCCCTATCCTTACCCGGTGATCGGTTCCCAGAGTTTGGTGCAGGAGAGGATATCAGCTGCAGAGTTCTGAATAATCTGCACCTTCTTGTGGAGAAGACTTATTTTGGTCAGCCGGGTGTCTGACACATGCAGAAACCCATCACCGTGCTTTAGAGTTGGAGGAGAAGACTTGCCTCTTGGATGCTACTTTCATTCATCCTTGTTCCTTTCATTTCTCTTCCCACCCTCCCCAGACCTTTTGGCCTTGGGTGTCCAGCCAACTGTCAAAAGCACTTTAAGTCATCCTGGTGTGATACAATGTAATTGTAAGTTGTATTTCACTCCTGGTATATTCTGGTGTCAGGTAAGCAGGGCACATCTCTTTGGGGGAAGAGAGCACGTAATTCCAGACAAATGAAAATTTCCATGCATACATGGAACTCTGGTTTAGTTTGGATACTCTTAATAATAATAATAATAATCCTTGCATTTGATATAGCGCTTTTCACGTCGGGAGGACGTCCCAAAGCGCTTCACAGAACACAAAGTGAATTGACTGTATATTTGTGGGCGAACGCGGCAGCCAATTGCGCACAGCAATGTCCCACAAACAGTCGTAGATTGAAAATGACCAATTTAATTATTGTTTTTGGTTTTTTGGAGGGATTATTATTAGGTGTGTGGAGTAAGGAAACTTGCCCAAGGTTTCGCCCTGCCTGGAATTGAACTCAGGTCTCTCACTTGCAAAGCGAGTGCTCTAACCACTGAGCTACAGGACTCCACAGGACTCCAGGACTTAAGCTTGGCTTGGCGATTGGTTTCCATGTGGTTAATACCTGACTGATTTTGGGGTGGTGGGGGAAGAAATTTTGGGGTGGTCTGGTTAACCATCATCAGTTCTCTGCATTCGTCAGACTTTCCTGTCTCATTGACCTCATTTGTTTGCTATAATTGTTCAATGAAGAATGTGTTGAGCAACACAGTTAATGTTTGCAATATTTACATACTTACAATATGCATTATTTTCTTAGGGACCAGGCCAAAGGAGTTCCAATTAAGAATTCAAAAACGGACAAAAATCAACTATCTGAAGATGCTGAGACAACTATGACAAATGAAGTGTTGCTGCCTAATGAAAAGCAAACTCGATCTGCATTAAAGAAATCCAAAGGTAAATTTTCTATATTCAGGGATAAAATATTGTTTTGAAAGAGAAGGAAGGTACAGAGGAAGCTCACTAATAAGATCAGCAAATAGTTTTTTTTACTACATTAAATGTATGTGGATGACGCCCAACTCTCTCTCTGCCTCCATTCTTGACTCTGGGACCACAGCTGTCCTGGCGGATTGTCTGTCAGACATAAGTCCCGGATGAGAGCCAACAAACCAAGACCCTCCTGCTTGGCTACCGTCAGCGCCTCCTCAGCTCAGTCTTGACAGCATCACTATGCAAGGTCCACCGAGTCAGTATGGGACCTTGGTGTTTTGTTCGACCCTAAACTGTCTTTTAAATCCCACATCCATGCCATTATCCATTCTACCTTCCTCCATGACATTGCCCGTCCCCACCACTACCTCTCCCTACAGGCCACATAGATCATCATCTATGCTTTCACCACATCCAGGCTTGACTATACTAACTTTCTGCTCGCTGGATTTTCCAACTGTTCCTTCCACAACCTGCAAATTATTCAGAACTCCACAGCTAATGTCCTCTCCTGCACTAAGCTTCATGAGCTGATCACCACCATGTTCGCTCAACTTCACTGGCTCCCCTCTCCCAGAGGATCAAGTTCATGATGCTCATCCTCACTTTTAAAACCCCTCCACTGTCTTGCTTCTTCCTATTTCTGTGACCAACTAAAACATTACCAACCTTGCAGCTCAGCGAGCACTGGCCTGCTCCTTGTCCCCTGCCCTGACGCTTTCTGGAACTCCATCCTGGTGGATAAGTTCCTTCCATACCAATGATAATCACCCGTAAATCTCCCTTTTGCTTTATTTTTATCTTGGGAAGCCTGTTCTTATTTAACTCTAGGGTTTTCAGGAATTGCCTCCAAATTCTGTATTTTGATAGATCTTAGGACCCCAGTTATTATATTTCTTCAACCTCAAATTTGAGGAGGTAAATTGATAGTGAGCAGGGTGCCAATATTCTGCCCCTTCATCCTTGATCAATACAGATCCCTGTCTGACCACTGACTTCCAGGATTAGTAACCAACGTTGTTGATTTCAACCCCACGATTTAGCATACACTGTAAACACAGAATAAGAAATGGGTAAATATCGAGATTAAATGTCGATGTTTTCTGTTTTCAAAAAGGGAGACGATCAACATTATACCACAGTGAAGTCTCTGATGAAACATCAGCAGCTACATTTGATGATGCTACATGTGAGGGAGTGGTTTCTTTGCCAAAAGGAGTTTCAATTAGGCGACGTTGTGGAAGGAAACATACATCATTCTGTGGTCAGATTGACACCTTCAATTCTTTCAATAGCTTTAATGATTATTCAGAAATTCCATCAATAATTGAGGAAGGTCTCAAAGAGCAAAAGTCAGCAATTCATTTGGACACTGTGGAAAGTTCACCTGAATCTGAAAATTGCAGTGAAGGAAACAATGCGTCAAACATTAACATGGAGCAGATACAAATTACGAACAATTTGGAACTTGAGAGAGTCAAAACTAAGCTCGTCGTCAATGCAAGAAACACTGAAATAGTAAATTTTGAAAATGTGCAGAAGATGAAACCTGTTTCAGAAAAAGTTGATGTTCGATTGGAAGTGGAACGAGGGAGAAAGGGAAAGTTAAATGAGGGAAATAGAAGTATGCCATTAAAGAAACCTTGGGAACCCACGAGACGTAGAACAAGATCCAGCAGTAGAGATCGAAGTCAAAGTAAAAAAAGTATAGCCAAAGAACGAAAGTCTCTTAATCTTAATATTAGTAATGCTTATGATTTTGATTGTGAAGAAAGTATTCATCTTACACCTTTCCGTCAGAAAGAGCAAACGAATGGGAATATAGAGAATACTAAAGAAAGTACTAGTTCGGAGAATAGCTCATTTAATGATTTAGATGAAGATGATAGTCCTTACCTTCCTCCTGCTGAAAAACGCAGGAAAAGATCCAGGAATAGTCAGGGTAGTGAAGAGACAGCAGCTTTTCCAGCAAGACGGAGGTCAAAAAGGACCACAGTAATATTACAGCGAAGGCACTCCCATGAAAAAGGACCTCAATGTATTAGCGAAGGGGAAATGGTTCAAAGTGGAATTAAGACTTCTGAGCCTCTGAAACTACCAAAGAATGGTGAGTATAGTTTAATCAAATTTTATAGTTGTATGTGTACATTAGCAAATTATATCATCTTCTCAGACTTAAAATATTGAAGTTTTCAAAGCACCAAGTATCTTCAATATAATGGTGAGATGAACTGAATCCTTGTACTGCTACAGGTTTATTTCAGACTGACTCATTCTGGAACTTCTTTAGAGCTTGTTTTTTTTCCTCTCGCTTCAGCTCCAAATAATTATGTTAGAATTTGTGTTTTTAGTTGAGGTTATTTTAAAATAGGTGGCTCTTCAATTAATCTTCAAACACTAGTGTTCCTATACCAAATCTTTCCAGCAACTAATGCTATTATAGAATCATGGAATCTTACAGCTGTGATTGTAATGTATTTCTGCGGGAAATTATACAGCCCAGTTTGTGACCAAGCAGCAAAAACCTAGAACTCTAGCTACCATTAAAAAATCCCATTGAGAGTCAAGTCAGGGGGCTCAGGGCACAAGTTCTGGATTCCATGGCAGGGCTTCTTGAGATACTTCTAGAATATTGCAGTACTTCCCAAAATTCAGTGGAAAATCAACCTTGTTTGATCTGATCTGTATACTTAAGAATATTCTTCTCCTTTCTATATCCCAATAAAACCGGTGCTCTGCCTGGGCACAAGTCAACAACTTCCATTTATATAGTGTCCCTCACGCTGGGTAATGTCCCACAGCACTTGACAGTGGCGGAGCATGTCGCTTAGCCAGAGGGAGGTGACCGTAGGCACAGTTTTAGAGGAAGGTCTGATGGGGAAGGAAAGGGCAAAACTGAGGGATAGAGGAGGAGTGTTCCAGAATTTCGGAGCACAGTGGCTGAAAGCATGTTTATCCCCTCAGTCTTCTATTCAATGTGATTTACTGCCTTAAATAGTGAAGTAGGAGTAATAGTCATAGATTAGTTCTAGTGTTAATGTAGTATGGATTTTAAGCAACTTGTACATTGATGATAAAACCGCATTTTAACTTGGAAAAGACCTTTAATGCTTTTTGAAGCCATGATACGTGTCTTTCACTACTTTTGTCCCAATGATTATTTGCTATGTTTCTAATGTTCTCATTGGCGTGAATGAGTAGCAAGTCTTGTTTGACTAAAATCTACACCAAACAGTATTTGTATTATTGTTTGCTTTTTTTTTGAAGCTTTATATTTTAATTTAAAAATAACACTAAAACATTGTATTTTGTGTATGTTTAATAGACAAAGCCAATGAAGTTGAAAATTCCAAATCTGCTGGAAAGAATATTCTATTAGAAATAGCGCCAATTTATGATGCGGAAGGAACTTCTTGTGTTAAAAGTAGAAGTATACAGAAATTTAAAAATTGTGAACTGATGCCTGAGACAGCCTTGTTACCTCACAAAGACCAAGGTAGAGAAAATGCAAGAAGTAATGAGAAAGTGAAGAATAAACAAGCCCTTAAAACAACAGGTAAGGACATCATGTTCTACTTTTCAATCACATCTGGTACATTAACATTACATTACTTGTTGAAACATTGGTAGTGTTTGCGCAGAAGTATGTGATGCCATTGTACAGTGATGCTTAGTACTGTATGTAATGGCAGCTGACTGGTTTTAGTTTAACTCCAGGCCCACCACTTATTTGACACTAATGGTGAACAAAAAAACTCACTAATACTACAGGCAGTTTACTGGTGAGGGAAAAAGCATTGAATGCAATCACCACTCTTAATGAATTTCCACTTGATATGTTTGTGTTTCTGAATATTCCAGCAAATGCTAAACTACAGCTAAAGGCGATTGAGAGCAGTATTAAAAATCAAATTGGTTATTAATTTTCTCAGGTGTAATCATATTGAAAAGGGGTTGTGTAATTGGGAGCTATATTTTAGTTTTGAGTTTTGTGGTAAATTTTCTGCTGATTGTCCCCTTAATTTTCTTCATGAAAACAGGAAATGAGCTGGACACCCCTCGCTTCAGTCTGAGTGATATCACCAATTTTTCGTTCACACCTGTTGAAAACCAGAAAATGAGGATGATTTATTCTCCTATATTGGGTGAAAAATGGGCTGATCCTGTGGCAGATGTTTCTAAGCGCAGGTGCACCGTGTCTGTGAATTATAAGGAGCCAAATCTTAATGCGTAAGTTGAACATATATAGAGGAAGTAGAAAAACTATTGAGATTTTCAAGTGAATATGATACGGAAAAAAATCATCTGTTCAACCTACAGTTAAATAAGATTTTTTTCATCTGTTTAACAAAAATTGCTCAAGGAAAAATATTGCATTGGAAAGATTGGATAGTGGAATGCATCTTCTTTTATCAGAGCTAACTTTGTTTACATTGTTTGAACACATGCAGGGTTCCTCATGAGGCCACCTGCTAGGCTAGGTAGGCAGGTTTCATCAACAAAGCATTGATATTAAAACATTGCTGTGCGCAAATGGCTGCTGCATTTCGTCCACAAAATATAGTGAATTCACTTTACACTATATTCTGTGAAGCACTTTGAGATGTTTTGAAGATGTGATATGGTGCTTTATCAAATGCAAGGATTATTATTATAAAATGGGATATCACTTCAAAAGGTGAAGTCTTCCTCTTTCTTGCAATATCTTTTGGCCTTCATATGCAATGTCCTGGCCAGCAATCCATCAAATAAAATTGTTCATGACTGTTTGCTTGACACTGCTGTAAACACATGGACTGCGAGGTTCGCTTAGATATTAACATCTCATCCAAATGATGGCATTTCGAACAAAGCAACACTCCCCCAACACTGTCGGTCTAGACTGAGTTCAAAAGTCACAATGTACTTTGATTCCTGCAACCTGGTTGTCCTTGGCTAATGCATTTGGTTCAACAAGGTGAGTGATGGGATGCAACACTTGGCACCCACTGTCTGCATCCATTGCTCAAATTTAGTGTGATATTGTTTTTAATTCCATTATCAAATGAACGTATTTGAGACTATTTTTAAAAAAAACTTCCTACATTTATTATCCTTATTGAAGGCTGATGATTAGTACCAAATTATCATTTTAATTCTGAGGATCTGGGCTGAGAGTGCTGAAGCTTAACGAACAGCTATAACTAGTTTATCTAATTTTCATCTTAGCCCTCTATCCTATTTTTTAACAAATGCTGTCAAGTGGTTGTGTCCTAAAAAAGGGGTGAAATATTCATCACTATTAAGTGTTAACAGAGAATTCTAATAATTTTCTCAACAGGAAATTGCGTAGAGGAGATAGGTTCACTGACACTGAGTTTTTGAACTCGCCAGTATTCAAACTGAAGAAGGATGTTGCATCTTGCCGGAAATCTGGAAAAAAGAAATCTCCGCTTAACCGATATAATGAAGCATTTGTTGGCTGCCGATAATATCATAACTCAAACTGTATATCATGATTTCCTTAATTTAAGATCAAACTTACTGTGTATTAATGTTATTTTTTTGATAAGATATTTACATCTTTGTATATTAGCTGGTTTTCATTGTTTTCAAGTATTTTAGAAGCTATTGGATTAAAACAATTTTCACTATTGTTCAATTAACTGTTATTAACATAGCAAAACCTTTTTACTGAAACTTTTAGATACTGTAGTGTTTGTAACAATTATTTCTAATTTAGCTTAGAAATCATGTAAAGGAAATCAGAAGGTGAATTGATGCCCTTTTATTGAAGTTGCGTCTGCTGCTTGTTTACCCAATATTTTAACTGTAGCAGATTGTAAAAGATCAGAAACTCATGTTAAAATAAAATTTGACTGTCAATGGAAGATTGTTTTTAAATATACAAGTCCAACATTGTCTACCCAATGCAGTAACTTATTAACATGGGATGGGTTATGCTTTTCATTTTCGGGGATTGTTTTGTTCGGTCAGTCCAAGGATTTACAAGCAAAAAATGAAATTTTAAAATTCACGGAATGCATATTTTTAAAAATAGTTTATATGTATTATTTAGTTGTTTGACATATTTATATTTTATATTATAATTATTTGGTTGTCTGATGTGTGAAGAGAAACCTATTACCACACTTAAGAGTATACATACCAGACATAGTTCCACTTGTACATGGATATTTCCCTGTATCTGGAATAGAATGTGCACAAATAATTAGGTGAATATTGGCAAATTAGGGACTCTTGATTGTGTGTGGGGGTATTTTTATAGTTTAAGCAGCTGAAACTGCAATTGCAAGCATGCTTTCCATTGCTTGTCCAGTGGTGGGAAGAATCCCCTCCCAAGTCCTGCCAATCAATCAAGCTGGGTTTTCTATTAGCAGGACGAGAGTACTGTGGGTCTGGATTTCGCCCAGAAAATATAGTCAATTCACTTTACAGTGTATATATACTGTGAAATGCTTTAAGGTGTCTCAGACATGATAAAGGGCTGTATCAAATGCAAGGATTATTATCTGCCTGGCTGAGGAACCAGACTGCCAAAGAGGATTAACTATTCTGACATTCTTTTGCTAAGCAGAGTGCCTTGGAGGTGGTTCATTGGCAAAGAAATCCTGCTTACCTTACCTATCATCCTCCAACAGGATAGTCACCAGTTTGTCATATGTCATCTCTCAAGTGCAGGTTTAAGTTCTCTAGGTGGATCACCATCCTCACTATTCTGCCCACAGGTACCCATTGAGAGATGGTTCCATTAGTTGCAGGTGCAGACCTTGAGTAGCAGCTGGTTTATCCAAGTCTTATGTGAGGGGCTTTGGCAAATCGACATGCCTATAGTGAAGTTCTGGCCACAAGGGTGCTCAGCAACAGGTTAGTGTGGACTGGAGCTGCTTCCCGTGTACCACTAATCCACTTCAATGCTTGATCTTGGACTTCACAAATGAACTGGAGAAAACCCCTCAGCTCCATGCTTAAGAGTTCAGAACAAGGAGAACTGTTAGGCAGTGCTTTCGAGAGGCTGGCTTTCTCCATGGAGTGATGGAAGAATTCTGAAATACATTGAAATTTAGCATTGTTTACCCTGACATAGGATCCATATAGGTATGTCTAAATTTAAAGTTTGATGAGTTATTTTTGTTGGGTTATGTGCATAATTGTATACATGAATTTTGACTGAAACTTGCATTGTAGACTTATGTATTTGTAGGAGTCCTGTAGCTCAGCACTCGCCTCGCAAGTGAGAGACCTGGGTCTAATTCCCGGCGAGGCGAAAACTTGGGCAAGTTTCCTTAGTCCACACACCTCTGTTTACCTAGCTGTAAAGTAGGAACCTGGTTGTTAGGGGCATCACTTTTCTGGGGATAATAATTCCTTTAAAAAAATAAATTGGTCACTCAATCCATGACTGTTGTGGGACCCTGCTATGCGTAATTGGCTGCCCTGTTGCACCCACAAAATATATAGTTCAATTCACTTTTCAGTATATTCTGTGAATCACTTTGAGATGTCTTGAAGATGTGATAAGGTGCTGTATCAAATGCAAAGATTATTATTCCCCCTTCAGTCAATTAAGTGGAATAAGATATGTTCCAGCAGTAAGCACAACATTTAATATCTGCAAATGATGTTCCCCTCATTAAGGAGGGGGGAAACTACAGGCAAAAAAAAGCTTTAAATTTTTTGCAGAAACTTTAGCACTTATAGAAATACTTCAATTGAATCTTTTGAAAATTACCATTTATTTTCTATCTTAGTACAATATATTAATTTTACAAAAGAACATTTGACTTCTCCATGTGTAGTGAATACAAAAAGGTTTACAAAACCACAAAGGTAAAGTTTACAATATTGCACAAAATCTATTTTTTCTAAAAAATAAAAAATGGTAATTGGACAATTTAGAAAATATCTTAATAAGTTAGTCACTTTATTACATTCTAATTTTGCACTACTGAACTTATTTTAATAAAAGACATACGTTTTAAAAGTCACAATACACATTTTAACTTAATATTTTTTACTAGCAGATAAAAGCTTTGATATTAAAACAGCCTGAATTACACCACTATTTCTGACCAGTTCAGGCTAGCATTCAGATGACTGGTAGTGATTACACACCATAAAGTGCACCAACATCAGGCAACACTACAACTTAAAACACTTTACTATTTCTATCAGCTGAAATCTCATCATACAGTTTGTTTTAAGTACTGTACTCAATGCCACTCCAAATTAAACAGTAAAATGCTTAAGACAATTGACCTAATGGCACATTGGATGCATTTCACAAGTAACAAAATACTTATACCTTGTAATGAATGCATTTTAATAATTAAGAACATTCACCCTTCTATTTTAAGAATAGGTTGCCAGAGCACAGTTGTCTCAAACAAGACTTAATAAAACATTCTTACAATATTCTAAAGTCCTCTCACGATCCATCATATTTAGAGTGTTGCACATTATTGCATTGCAAATGGATGTATGGTAATGAATTCAAACCATGCTAACTTGTGCTGCATAGGAAATAGTAAAGATTGTGAATCAACACCAAGTTCTAACATTTTACTGTCATACTTTACCAAAGTGCTTTCAAAAACTGCCCTTTTAAAAAAACGATGGGTTACTTGATGAAGTGTACTGTAACAAGCTGCATACATTCCATAGATGCATGTCACCATTTGAGATATTTCTTAATGTGTACATTGTTTATTTTATTCATTTCTCAAAATAATTGATACCATTCACATCCATACCGAAAACATGTTCACCCTGTCTATTGGGATAGGGTTTTGTTGTAATGTTCATTCAAGCCGACAATTCAGTTTTGGTACTAGTGGCCTTTACTTCTCTACACACTGAGAAAGGTTAAAGATTGAAGACCCTATAAGATAGGTAATCTTTCTTTTCTGCCTATGTTTTTTTATTCAAAGCCTTGGAGGTATACATTGTCCTTTAATGTTTGAGGCTGGGCACTGATGTTGTTCCTATTGCCATTTCCTGTCCAGTAAAGATACCAAATTAAATCAGCAGAGATACACAGAGAGAATGCAGGCTAGAAAATGACACTTGACTAGCAGTTTGTCATGAAGGACTTAAAAATATACATCTGTCATAATCTCTGGCATCAATTTTCTGTCTTACAGTTTGCATGCCTTGCTCTCAAGCCAAAAGCCACACGGTTGTAGCAAGGCATGGCAAGCACTCATAATAATTGCACTACACCACACTGAACTATAATAGGTGCATGCATCTCCAATCATAGATTTCTAAAGCACACTCAGCTTGTATCATGGTTACATTATAAGTAGAGCACTGCTTCCCAAGAATATTCCCAATATAAGCACTCATGGCATAAATCTGGACCTCTAAGACAGCCTCTTCTGCACTCCCATAATGTGATTGATATACTGACTAGATTGCCAATAAAATATAATGTTCGCACAGATTGTTAAATTATTATTTAAGTAACACTTGCCTTCTCCCTTTGTAAAATAGTATGAAATAATAACCAGAAGAAAAGGGCTTCTGGTTAATCTAGTTTATAAACTGATCCTCTCTGAGGTCAAGATACTTGGTAAAAATCCTTATTAGAGCAATGAAAGTTCTAGTTGCTGCTTTGCAGAATATTCCTGATGCCACCTTCCCCAATCCTGGAAGAAACGGGGGGTGGGGGGTGGAGTCTGGATATAGGACTCAGACATTGGAAACAGACTAAGTACTGTCTATCTACAAAGGGAGAACATTTCATGTTCTGGAAAGTGAATTTTCTCAAGGGTATGGACACTAAATATCAACCCATATTCTCAGCAATTTATGTTAAAAAATAATTTCCATACATAAAACATATTTGCTTTTTTTATTACTAATTGCATTATGTAGATTGGACTTATATTTTCCATTCCTGACACAGTAAAGCTGATCAGTCTGCCTGCAGATTGCAACTGGCTGCATGAAGAATTTATTTTGATGTCAACAATAGCTGGTTTCTGGAGCTACTGGTAAGGCATCATTGATATTTAGTCTGCACCGTGCACTTGACGAACGTGGTCTGGTCACAGTACACCCCTCTGAAAAAAAATTATTTACTTAGCCCTTCACTTGTCTATTAATCCAGCCTCTTTAATTTTACTGTAAAAGAATTTCTCCAGTATGTTGGCACACTTGAAGTATTCACTCTCTGGAGGATTGTATTCTCGACAATTGGTGAAGATGCGCTGCATGTCAGCCATGAATAGCTTTTTAGTCACATAATACCGATTCTTAATACGTTCACTCATTGTTTTCAGATCTGTAAACAAATTACAGTAGAGAAAATGATATTTGGCACAAGCTGTTAACTAAAACAGTTTTTAAAAAAATAATATCTGCAGGTGAAGTATCAGCTTTCATCATAATTAATCCCACTGTAATAATTTTTTTTATCGTGTACAAATTCTTAACAACATATTTTCATCAACCTGCAAAATTCATTAATTTACCTCCCTGCAAATACAAGGCTCTAGAAACAGTCATGTTAAGTGACAAATAGTTGCACTAAGATTAACTGACAGAAAGATAAGAGCCGGCTAGTTTACATTAATCATAGCAAGGCAGCAAGGATTGTTGACAATGTGATTTATGCATGTGAATCATCACTTCCAAGAACAAATTGTATGTTGTGATTCATTTGCATGTCAATTATACTTTATAACGCTTTTTAATCAACCGCCTGCCCTCATGTAGCCAGTGCTACAAGATTAGAAGCTGCAATAAAATCTATGCTCTTATGGCAGTGTTTGTGCTATATTCTGTAACAGCACCTGAGGATTTAATTTCCACTGGATTTATGATAACATAAATGGCGTAGGTGCCAAACTGAGATAAGCTTTTGAAGTGAAAGTAACAGGTGAATTTTAAGGATCCCATGACACGACAAAAAGAAAAGGAAGTTTCTCCTGGTATCCTGGCCAAGAATCCCCAAGAAAAAAAATCATTCACTTCATGCCTATTTGTGGGACACAGCTAAATAAAAATTGGCTGCTGCATTTGGCTACAACTACACAGTCACGGTACTTCACAGTAAAATCTGTGCAGCATTTTGAGACATCTTGCCGATGTTAAATTAGCATTGCATGAAATGCAAGGTTTATTACAACAGTTGAGTATGCAACTGTTTATTAGGATGAGGGAAAATGTCTGCTCGGGCCCCAACACCTGACCATTCAGCGCTTTGGGACGTCTTCCTGACGTGAAAGGCGCTCTATAAATGTAATTTTGTTGTTGTTGCACTTCAGTTTTCAGTTCTTTGTCCCATCATCAAATCTAGGGCCAATGTAAAGCCAGAGGCTTTCAAGCAGAAAGGCAGAACCAGAAGTTTCCCTTTACACACTTCCAAGTACTCAGGAAATATAAATATAAAATTGAGTCTAATACAATTGCTGAACTCTTGACAGCTGAATTTTGCTTTAAAATGGATTTAAATTAAAATCATGTGATATAAGCAAAATTAGGTAATTTTTTAAGCAGTGAACAAAGTAATTGGATATGCAGCATGAATCTCACTTCTAGGTCAGACTCAGAACTGTGAATAAGTTCAAAGAACAGTTGGATTAATAATAATAAGGCCCCTTTCCTTGTAAATGTAGCTTATAAGAGAAGGCGTACATACCCATGGGGAAGCGAATTACTTCATAGTAACCTGGTGCTTCAACCTTCTTCACTGGCTCCATAAACGGCCAAGCATTTTGGTGACTCTAGTCAAAACAAAAGGTGGAAGAATAAAAATTCAGTTTTCCGCTTTTAATCAGCAAAATGCAGAAAGCTCAAAATAAATAACTGTCAGAATTGAGATGAATTTTGGTAAACCACCTTTACTTGCTGTAGGGTGTTCTTTAGTGTGTTGTAAAGCTGGTCAGGGTCTCTGGATTCTTTTCTGAAAGAAAATGGTCAAGTTGAAGGCAATAAGAACAGTGTAATACAGTATTTCCAATATTTCTTGAGTTGACAAGCAGTGCTAGTTATAATCATTACAGATTATGGAGGTTTGTATATTTTGGTACATTTGGGGTGTCAGCTTGGCTTGATACCACTCTCAACGCACCGAAGTCCCATCAGTGAGTTCAAGTGAATGTCAAAGATCCTGTGACGTTACTTGAAAAGATAAGAGAGTTTTTCCCAATGTCCTGGCCAATAATCCTCCAGTTCACGGTGTCAGCTGAGCTAAGATGGTAGAACTCTTGCCTCTGAAGGTTGTGACTTCAAGCCCCACGTCAGTACGTTAAACACGTGCTGCATTGTTGAATGTGCTGTCCTTCAGATGATCAGGAATATCTCAATGACATGATATTCCTATATGATATCGCACTACACTAAATGCAATGATTATTATCTTTTTTATTTAATCAATCTTATTTCGCTCACAATATATACAGATAATTCACTTATTCATATATACATTCTGTGAAACACTTTGAGATGCATCGAAGATGTCATAAGGCATTGTATCAAATGCAAGGATTATTATTATTAATCATTTATTCCATGGCTCTTTGTGTGTCTTTGTTGTGCAAGGAAGACTGCTTACCTACGCTTAACTTTTTGAATCTTTTGATGTATAAGACTAAAAATTCAAATTCTTTCTTCTTAAATTTAGATGTTAGCATCTCATAACAAGAGTAGGTCTCTTCCTTTTTTTTCTTGGGATGAGGGGTGTGTAGGGTTTATGATTATATCAGTGTACAGCAGAAACAGTTAGAGCAGCGAGTGAGTATTTGGAACCTTCAGTTTAGCATTTGGTTCCAGACCCTTGCACCCCAGCATTCAACTGCTCGGCAGTTCACATGGGAAAAGGAAAAAAAAACCTCATTCATATTGCTTACAATAGACAAAATAGTCATGCAACAAAATATGTTCAGGGGTGGAATTTCTCCCCAATAAAAACTGCTGTTTTAGGGATTAAACATTTTTGACTAGTTCTCAAGATAATCCAATTTTTTTTAATTGTAAAAGCTGTGTGTCTCTACAGCTAAATGTCCTCAGAAACAGACTTACCCCCTTTCCTTTCCACTAGGTTTCCAACCAGTTTCCCCTGTGGATAAATGATATCAAACACTCAGTTCCATTGTTATTAAAATTGTTACTATAGAAAAATCTTCAAAAATATTTCAATTTGGGAAACAAATTAGCAATCACTCTGATACTGAAGAACTGAAGATAGGTATTAAAAACAGAGAGAATATTTCAAACTGGTGCTAACAAGGCACTTACTTATTCCAGGTATGCTTTCGATAGGAATTTGCCTTACTCCTTCCTTAAAACAGGAGAGTCCTGGGTAGACCTTTCGAATCTGGGCCTGTTTTCTTTCTATCAACTTTTTTATAATCTTTAAGTGAAAAAAATAATAAAATTATTATATGGTTTTCAAATTTTACACAAATCATTTTGTACCCTAGGTAGGCCACTTAACAAAGTAAGAGAAACTGCTTATTAAATGTGACAAGCCAATAATAACCAAATATTATTGCTAAATCTGTCATCTACATCTGTAGAGAGAGAGAGATATGTGGGCTGTAATCATTGGAGCAGGAGGTTGTCCATATTCTATGGTGCCTGGACATTAGGAGGCCTCTAAAATCATTTTTTACTCATTTAAGAGATAGGCATAATTGCAAAAGTGGTGCAAACAATTCAGCATGAGACATGATAAATATGCTGCTTCTCGCAGTTACAGGAGACTGCATCACAAATCTGAAGGTTTGTTCGAAAAAACCTTTGAACTTGTTGGAACCTGTCCTCTAGGAACAGAAGTCCTTTACAATTAGGCTAAAAGTAGTGAATCTTTGAGGCTGAAGGCTTTCAGCCAGTCCCATGACCCAATGTTTAAACAATCAGTTAGTAACCATTCGCTTATTTTCCTTTTGAGGAATATGTCCATATTAATCCACAGCGCTGTATTATTAGGATGTCATGTCATATTCTGTTCTCTTCTAGGTGCACTTATCTAGCAACTTTCATGCAGGAGAACATCTCAAAGTGCTTTACCTGGATAGTGTGGGAAGAAGGTAGGGAATAAGGAGGTGACCAAAGACACAGTTGAAGAGGTAAGTTTCAAGAAGCATTTTTAGGCTAGGGAGAGTGGGATTTTGAGAGGGTGGCATTCAGCATATCTGCCCAATCTCTGGAATTCCATCCCATCCTCACTGTGCTGTCCTGTTATTCTCCATGAGTTTGGGCTCAAAAACTACTGGGTCCCTTTTGCATTACAGCAAGATTTATATAGCATCGTTCATGTGGCGTAGCATCTTGGAGTGCTTAAATTACCCTTTGCTGATAAATCCAGATGAAATTGCAAAGAAGTAGTCTGCTTTACTAATGAGCTCAAAAGCAAACATTAACAGTATATGACAAGCATTTACCTCTTTTTGCTTCTTTATGATGACAGAGAATTCAGTGTATGGAATTCGTGGATTCAACTCACATCCCATCAGAGTAGCACCTTCATAATCTTTAATATAACCCACATATTTCACTTTTGGAACTTTTATATCCTTAGAGAATCCCTGAAATCATACATAATATCATAATTGTTTTCACTCTAGTATTGATGGTGCACAACAAAAGGGCATAGGAAGGTATAGGAACAGAAAAGGCTGGAGCAGTCTTATTGCCTGGTTCAAAAGTAAAAATAAATAAAAATAATCATGCAATAATCTATCCCTCATATCCTTCTATATAAAGAATGCTATTAATGCTCAACAGCAAATTATCTTCAGAAGTAATAATTGTACTCTTTTCTGAACTCTGTTAGAAACAGCTGATTATTCTCTGTAACAGCTTCACGAGCAAATAAAGTACTGTCTACCCCAAAACAAAAGATTCAATCAAGACAATTTGATTTTGTTTTNAATGATTTAATCAGTTTAAATTTGTACATTACATCAAAAGATCAGATTTACACATGCCAAGTACCAGGTCAGAATGTTATTGGTATATCTGTAACTAGAAATTACTTGTTTTTTATTGTTTGACTACTATTTCCTTCATTTACACTTCTTTTCTTGGCCAAAAAATAACTTTTTAAGCAGTTGAGCAGGTAGGCCTGAGGCTTCTAGGCCACTCACTAAAACAAAAATATTAATCAGGGAGTGTATCGCTAGGGTAGTTATTACTCCTCACCAGAGTAACACTGCAAATTAAATATTAAACAAATAAAAAATATTTAAAAGACACTTTTGGGCCTAAAGCTTCCAATTACACTGACCGCTGCTTCAAGAATTAACAAATGTGGCAGTGATCAGATCTGGGAGGGAGGTTGCCATGTAATGGCTATTTATTTCAGCATAAGTTAACTAAAAACATGGCAGACTTTACTCCATTGTTTCCAAGTTCCTAATATGACACAGCTAGACTGAAACACTGCATACCTGTTTTTTGAAGTAGCCAATTGCATATTCATCTGCGTACGTGAGGAAATTCAGAATGTTATGTTTGATGTGATATTCCTTCAGGTGATTCATTAAATGCGTTCCATAGCCCTAAAGAATAAACATGAAACAATTTACGAAAAACAAAATACAGTCACTAGGAATGTAATAAGTTGACTATTTTTAAATCTCTAATGCACCAGATTTATTTTAGAGAATGAAGACTTTCTATGCCATTACCCTTCTTACTGTCTGACCTTTTGATCTGATTGTTTGAACATCCACCACAGAATATTAGTATTTCAATTTGCTGCACGCTAAAGATATAAGTGACTATTTGATAGTTCTTCCTTACCTTCACTTGTTCATTGGAGGTTACAGCACAAAACACAATCTCTGTAAATCCCTGTGTTGGAAACATTCGGAAACAGATTCCACCAATCACCCGGCCATCTTTGATCAACGCAAGAGTCTTGTGCTTACTGCAAAAAATGCAATCAAACAAGTATATAAACTAAACCAATCCTTATGACGTTACAGACTTGGGTTATATTTTAGGGCTATTGACAGAGCAAGAACAGGTTGGTCTTATTCAATAATAATAATGTAATATAATGTAATGTGTAGTTAGTGACTGTATTTGTAAATGAATGCAATAGCCAAATTGGACACAGCAATGTCCTGCAAAGAATTTTATCTGGGGAAGCGTTGGCCAGAACAACGGGAGAAACTCCCTTCTCTTTTCAAATAATGCCATGGGATCTTTAATATCCACCTGAACGGGACTTCGGTTTAGCATCTAATCTGAAAGACGGTGATATCTTTTTGCGAAAATAGTCTCAGATCTTTACTAGAGGAGATAAAAAGGTCTGATAAAAGCAGTGGAGAGGAAGGATCTGAAATCTGATGACCAGGAGGTCGAGACAATATGGGTGGAAATAAAAAATAATAAAGGGCAGAAAATATTAATGGGAGTGGTTTATAGACCCCCAAACAGCGATCACAATATAGCACAGGGTATCAATCAAGAAATCAGTGGAGCATGTAGGAAAGGTAAAGCGATAATAGTGGGTGATTTCAATCTCCACATAGATTGGGAAAACCAAATCAGCAAAAGTGGGTCAGAAGAAGAGTTCATTGAGCGTATGAGAGATAACTTTCTAGAGCAGCATGCCGAGGAACCCACTAGGGGACAGGCCATCCTAGAGCTTGTTTTGTGTAACGAAACAGGGCTAGTTGGCAGTGTAGGTATTATGAATCCTCTAGGGCAGAGTGATCACAATATGATTGAATTCTGCATTAAGTTAGAGAGGGATATAGTTAAATCCGAGGCAAGTATTCTGAATTTAAATAGGGCTAATTTTGTAGGTATGAGGAAAGATTTAGGTAAAATAGACTGGAGAATAAGATTAAGAGGTAAAAATGTAGACCAACAGTGGCAAATATTTAAGGATGTAGTGCAAAATTCTCAGCGGTCGCATATTCCCTTGCGGAATAAGAGTACCACAGGGAAAGCAATTCATCCGTGGCTAACTAGAGCAGTTAGGGAAAGCATCAAATTAAAAGAAAAGGCTTATAAAACTGCCAAGAAAAGCAGCAAATCTGAAGATTGGGAGAGTTTTAGAAACCAGCAAAATAAAACTAAAAAACTCATTAAGAGCGAGAAAAAGGAGTATGAGGGTAAGCTAGCTAGGAACATTAAGTCTGATTGTAAAAGTTTTTACAAATATATTAAGAGGAATAGGCTAGTGAGGGTAAATGTAGGTCCACTTCAGTCAGAGACGGGAGAAGTTGTAATGGGGGATAAGGACATGGCAGAGTCCCTAAATGGGTACTTTGCATCTGTCTTCACCCTAGAAGACACAAGTCTGCCAACAATAGAGATGCACCAAGGGGATAAGGACAGGGAGCAACTTAGGGAAATTTTCATTAGTAGAGAATTCGTGCGAGGGAAACTGTTAGCACTCTAAAGTGGCAAATCCCCTGGTCCAGATGGCTTGCATCCCAGGGTTTTAAAAGAGGTAGCTTATGAGATAGTGGAGGCCTTATGTCTGATTTTCCAAAATTCCTTGGATTCTGGAACAGTCCCCATGGATTGGAAGATCGCAAATGTCACACCACTATTTAAAAAGGTGGAAAGGAAAAGATGGGGAACTATAGGCCAGTTAGTCTCACATCAGTGATAGGAAAAATTTTAGAATCATTGAGTAAGGAGGAGGTAGTGCGGTATTTAGGGGAGCACAATATAATTAGGCCAAGTCAACATGGCTTTACAAAAGGGAAGTCATGTTTGACAAATCTCATAGAGTTTTTTGAGGACATTTCCAGTAAACTAGATAAGGGTGAATCAGTGGATGTGGTCTATTTGGACTTCCAGAAGGCATTCGATAAGGTGCCGCATAAAAGGTTAGTCCAAAAGATAAGGGCACATGGAATTGGGGGTAGCATATTAACGTGGATTGGGGAATGGTTAACGGGTAGGAAACAAAGAGTAGGGATAAACGGGTCCTTTTCAGATTGGCGGGATGTGACTAGTGGTGTGCCACAAGGATCAGTCCTTGGGCCTCAGCTATTTACCATCTACATCAACGATCTAGATGAAGACATCAAAGTTAATATATCTAAATTCGCGGATGATACAAAACTAGGAGGAAGTGTCAACACAGAGGACATTAAAAAAATGCAGCGCGACATAGATAGGTTAGGTGATTGGGCAGGTAGGTGGCAGATGAAGTATAATGTAGGAAAGTGCGAAGTCATCCACCTCGGTAGCAAAAATAGTAGAGCGGATTATTTTTTAGAAGGGGAGAGATTGGAATGTGTTAGTGTCCAGAGGGACTTGGGTGTCCTTGTACACCAATCACAGAAAGTTAGTCTGCAGGTGCAGCAGCAATTAGGAAGGCAAACGGTATGTTAGCATTCATTATGAAAGGATTAGAGTATAAGAGTAGGGAAGTCTTGCTGCAACTGTATAGGGCCCGGATGAGACACACCTGGAATACTGTGTGCAGTTTTGGTCTCCTTATTTAAGGAAGTATGTACTTGCCTTGGAGGGGGTGCAGCGTAGATTTACTAGGTTAGTACCAGGGATGAAGGGGATGAGTTACGAGGCTAGGCTGACGAATTTGGGCCTATATTTTCTAGAATATAGAAGAATTAGAGGGGATTTTATAGAAACGTATAAGATCATCAAAGGGCGTGATAGAGCAGATAGTGGGAGATTGTTTCCCCTGGTTGGAGAAACTAAAACCAGGGATCACAACCTTAAAATCAGAAGCCAGCCCTTTCTCACTGAGTTGAGGAAGAACTTTTTCACTCAAAGGGTGGTGAATGTATGGAACTCACTACCCCAAAGGGCTGTTGACGCACAGTCCTTGAACATATTCAAGACTGAGATAGATTTTTTATTGCAAAAGGGATTAAGGGATATGGGGATAAGGCAGGGTTAGGAGTTAGATTAGAAGATCAGCCATGATTGAATGGTGGGGCAGGCTCGAAGGGCAGAATGGCCTACTCCTGCTCCTACATGTTATGTTATGTTATTGCCCTGATCCTGATCTAGTTAAGATATTGGCTTTCAGTGAGAAGACATTAATCACAATAAGAGGAAAAGTCTTCTCTTAAATACTGAAAATTCCTTAGAACTCTGGTTCAGAGAACACATCAAAGCACGTACAGTACTATGAAACCACCTCAGCTTTGTAAGCCTTTCTCGTAGTGCTGTCAAATAGCTATTTTACTCATGCTAGAACTCACAAAGCTCTAATCCAAGTCAGATCTCCCATTTCCTCCACATACAGGAAATCTGACTTGATACAAAAAAAAATTATCACCAGAGCGAGTTAACACGGCAAAGTTTCATCCCATGGAAAGTCAACATCATTGTGTATGAATTGTGATGCCTTCAAGATATTCTTACACCTGGGAATCATTGTTAGAATATTTTTCTGTGAACTTTACTAACCAGATAACATTAGTGGAATCGCGAAAAAAAAAGTCATCTGATTTCAGGTGCAACACTCAGCCTCTGCTCCTGTTGTTTGGGAAGGAAAGATTACCGAAATATTCTAATGGAGGTTCACTAATGTAGGAATGCCTTGACATCATTGTAATGCTTCGGTGATGAAGACAAGACATCTGCTCCTGCACTTTTTTTTGTCAATGCATCCATTATTATCTTGTCCCAATCTCTTTCAGCATTTAGGATGCACACGCTTGAGGCCTGGTCACTTTCCTCCAGTTAATTTCTGGTGGGGCAGAAGCTCCACCTGAGTCAAGGTCTGAGCTTGACTACTACAACAATGTCAACTTGCACTTATATATCACCCTCCACACATGGTAGCGTCTCAGAGCACTTAATTGTGGCGGAGTAGCCGGATGGGGGGGGGGGGGAGGTGACTGTAAGTACGGTCGAAAAGGACGGTTTTTACAGGCGGGACTTGAAAAAGGGGAGAGAGCGGGCAAGGCAGTGGGATTGAGGGAGAGTGTTCCAGAGTTTCGGGGTGTAGGGGCTGAAAGCGCGACCTCCAATGGTGGAGCGGAGGGTGCGAGGCACGAGCAGGGGGCTGTAAACAATGCAGCGGATTCACTATGACTCAGATACTCTTGAGAAATATTCATTTCCACACAGAGATTCAGCTATATAACTCAAAATGGCACTCACGGATCGAAGACCAGCCGAGTGATATATTCCTTAGGCATTCTGGGCAATTGATGGGAGAAAACATTCTGCAGACCAACCAGCCACATCATCATTTTCTTGTTTGGCTTCTGATTCAGCGAGTTTCCTACAACATGGAACTCAATAACACCCCTTCTTTCTTCCAGTCTTGCAGCCTCATCTCTGGCTGCATGTGCAGACAGCAAACTGGTCTTGAAAAGGACAGGATAATTGTGATAAAGTTTGCTTACTACATTTGGTGGAGATTAATCAGATTGTCACTCCTTCAATGTGTGACATCTTACAACAACAATAATTTGTAAAACAAAATATAGCGCCCGTCACGCAGTGTCTTGAAGCATTTTAACATTAAATAGGATTAAGTATTAAATATAAACTGAATGTACGTAATGGCATGAAAAAAGTATCTACTTTGCTATATGCACAAATTCAAATAAAATCTGGAGTAATTTATTGGGATGGGGGTAAGAAAAAAGGTAATCTTGTTGTTTTTACATTTTCTCCCCTTTTCAGTCCTCTTCCTATTGCTACATCTAGCTACAGTGACTAAAATCTTAGCACCAATCTGAACTTCAGCTACTTACTACATTCCATGTAGTTACTTCCAACAACAAGGTTTATATAACAAGGATAAGGTGTACACTCCTTACCTCTGGGCCCAACATAGCAGCTGGGTCTGTGATAGTTGACATCACTTCATTCACTAGCTCCATTGGGATATCCCCCAAAACTCTTTGCCTCTTTGCATCTTCCAGATTATAGGGTTCTGTAGCCTTCCTCTTCTCTCCTTTGCAAATGCAACATTAACAGTCAGAAATTTCCTCCAACAGTAATAAACTGCTTCAGATTTCATAAGTAAAATATCCATGTAATAAAAGTTAGTCAACGTGGTTAACAAAAGTACATAATCTACCGACTGTTAAACATTACAGTTTTTCAAGAGATGATGTGAATTGAAATCTTTCTCGCCAGTTCTCCCAGTTGACAAGCAAACAATAGTAGAAATGTAGGTAAGTGATCTAGTTCATTTCATTAATGCCACTCTAAATCTGACCATATTAGCAGTGGGCTTGTTATGTACATATTGGTTGCTGTGTTTTGCTTACAAATAGTCACTTTAATTTACAGCAATTATCTGTGGTGTTTTGAGACATTTCAACATTATAAGTGCTGTATCAAAATGATTTATTTGTTTGTTCATTTATTTGTTTGTGTCTTTGTTTATTTACTTATTTTTTCAAGGATTATTATTTAGAATGTCTGCTCCTTGGATTCTTTGAGACTGTTGGGTTAGATTTCATGGCCCTGCTTCAGGTTATTTGAATAATAATGGATGGGCATGAGTGGAATGAAATCCAAAGCAATCAGACTGATTCAGTGTGCAAATTTTGGCCCAAATCAGGTGTGCAATACATAAATTCACTCTTACCTAGTGAAGGTCCTCTGTACGAAGATAGTCATGAAATTTACACAAAATACACAGAAGGGAATTTCTTTTGATGCCTTGGCTCACATTCCCCCAAATAAAATCGTTCACTCATTTGATGACTGTTTGTGGGACATTGCTGTGTGCAAATTGACTGCTTTATTCACCCATAAAGTTCACACAGTCACACCACTTTACATTTTGAGACATCTCAAAGATGTGATAAGGTGCCAAATCAAATTAAAGGATTATTATTGTTGCAGATTAATGACCTGAATAACTTTTTGCAAAATCCATCATGTTCTTCAACCTTCTGGCCAAAATTTTCAGTTTGATATCTAATATAGTTATGGGTTTGTACCATAATGGAGTTTTCTCCAAATGCAATTATCTATGTTTCCATTTAGAGATCTATGCGTCTGCCTTACCCATACATTGTTCTGAACCAGTCACTTTGTTCCTCCAGACAGGACTCAAACTTCCACTGTTGGTTTGGTCAATGTTACCAGAGGATGGGCTTGCTCCATATCCAAATGGCCTGGTTGTTGGCAGGATACCAGAAACTGGAGTAGGATTGATGACTAGAGTTAGCAAAACAATAAAGGACAAAATAAGTAATCTAAAAGTATTACCAATAAGCTTAAAATGAGGAATTACAAATGGTGTTCAATACTTGTATATCAGACATTTTTAAAAAATACTTTATGGAGAGACTAAAAATGTTCAACATTATTTTTGAATGCTTATTTTCCCTTTCTATCAATGTTTCTCTTTCTCAGGCTCTCATCCCTTCTGTGTGAAAGTTCAAAATTACCTGGCTGTATCCCTAGCTGAATGTTACCAGACGACACTGTGAAGTCTAAATCCCATATAGGAGAGCTGTGGCTGTACACCTCCTCCTCCAACATAGAAAGGAATCTTAAAAAAAAGAAAAACAAGAATGTTTTTACGATGCCAGGTGTGAAGGGTCATTTCAGGATAAGACAACCAGAGACCTGAAATTTCACAGCCTTAAGACCAAGACCATAAAATTTAAGATCAGTCTTAAATTGGAACCCGGTTTTCCACCGCTTGTAAAAATCTCGAAAGCCAGCTTCAAAGTTAAGCCTCAATTTAAGAATTTCTCAAAATTGTAAGATTCCATGAAGTATTTAATTAATCAGGGGAATATCAGCTGCTGCAATAAGTTACCAGGACGGCTGGCCTTGGCCAGGACACTGGGTTCATTAAGAAGCAAGTCATATGCTGATGACTGGCATTCTGGAAGGAAGAGATTAAACTGTCCAAAAGGTCTCCTTGATCTGAACCTGTCTATTAATCAACATCCTTGTTTCTCATTATCAGTGAAAGTCAAGACAGTCCGGCCTGAAGATGTAACCTCAGATATAATCAACGCCACATTTTGGTTAAAATACAGAGGCATTACAGGAAAATTTATGTCCCTCCACCAATCTCAAACCAATGGGAGATTAAAAATACAATGTCCATAAAGCTAGGATTCAAATGTAGATCTCCAAGCAGAGGGTTTGGGACTCCAATCATTTAATGAGGTAATAGTTTAAATATATTTCATAATTTGATTCAAGTCAAAAATATTTTATTGTTGACATATAATAAACGATTACACTGTATCCAGACAATGATTGGACTTGATGGGGATATATTGATTAATGAACTGTATAACAAACTCTCCAGTTTGTATATAGAAAAATATAATTTACATTTTAGTGGGATGGAATGTCAAAAACTATAAGGCGAGCTCTTACTTTGGAAAGTGGGTCAGAATGAGTGTGCGTTTCTCCAGGGGCAGCTTATCCTTCTCCTGCCTGGACTTCTCCAGTAATTGTCGCCTCATGACGGTGAAAACAGAGCGAAGCAACGTCCTGCCAAAAACATGGGTGGTCTCATGTCGAGGGAGACTGTCGCAGAACTGAGGGACGTTACAGTAACACAACCACCTGCAAAGCATTCACACAATTACAATCCAGGTCAGAGAAATGCAAATCCCAGCCACAATTTCCATTCCTCTTGCATACACAAATATGCAATTTTTAATCAACAACAAAAACAAATTACATTTACAGAGGACTTTCACGTCAGGCGGGTGTCCCAAGGCACTGGACAGTCAGAGATCCGCACCTGATCAAATCAAAGTATAACTCTGACCTAAGAATATTTCTTGGTAAAGTTAAGAGAATGTAGCCTGAATGTAATTGGATTTAATATTACGTATAGATCAAAATTACAATTTTCCCTCAAAACTGGTCAAGATTTTAGGTTCTTGAGCCGTGTGGTGTACATGATGTTTCCTGTGGGAGACTCGCTTCAAGTCTCAAGGTACCATTTACACTGGTGTTTTTCCAATGAATACTTTTTAAACCTATATATATAGTTGACCTGTAAACCCATGGGATTTTTACTCTGTTCACTCATGACGCTCAAAGAAAAGCACACAAAGGTCACGTGATAGGATGAGGAGTTGGAACTTTGGATAATTTTTTCCTTTCCCAATCTAAGGGGGCAAAGTTCAATTGTAAGAGCCTCAACTGTTGGAATAAGTAAGATCAATTAAGTCAAGCCAGACTAGGAAAGAAACCTAGTAACCTCAATGTGTACGGCTTAGATCATGGTGGCCAACCTGTGGCCCCTGGGTGGGAAATGGCCCACAGGGCCATCATGAAGGGGGCCCTGAACATTCCCATGAGTCTAGAAAGTCGTTGTTTGATCAATAGTATTTTCAGTTTTTTGTTGATTGAATATTTCTTAATTTATGGCATAAATCAAGAAATATTCAATCAAGAAAATTAATTTTGTTGGCCGACGAAAAAGGTTGGAGCTTCACTAATCGGTGGCTTTAATCACAAGTCAGTAAAGAGGAACCTGTAAATGAAAACAATTAAGAATTTCTATAAAGATTTTCTTTGCTATTATTTCTACTAAATTAAAAATGGTTTAACTTTTTTTTCTGTTCAGATTTTTTTTAGTCAGTCTGATTGATGCAGAAACCCATCACATGCTTGAGTATCCAAATCAAATTGAGAATTCCACGCATTCCATCTATACCTGGAAATTCCAGAGATATTTATTGGAATGGAAATCACACTCTCTCTCCCTGAAAGGATGCATCCTGCTTACTTAACTCTGAAGAGTATTAAGGTGCAGGTTGGCAAGAACCAAGACTTGAGGACCCAGAGTATGCTTTGGGGTACTGCTGGAAACCAACCAGGTAAAACCGCATTACTTGCCATTGAGAGCACTATCTGGCAAGCTTTCCCACTGTTTGAGCAGCTAGGACCACCCTAGCCGTTAGGTGTTAGGCTTGCAGGGTTCACAGGAGTTGAGTGCAAAGAGTCCCTTAATCCCAGTCCCTACCCCCTTCCAAGTCCTGCTGATGAGCCAGGCTGGCTGTGCTGGCATCAGCAGCACTCTGGAGTACTGCAGACCCGTCTTGCTTAGGAACTGGATTACTAAGAGCACCACATAAAGTTGGCTTGATTTTGACATTCCATTACCTTGGAGCTCCAAGGAGACCCTGCTTTCCTCCCCCTAAGGAGATTCTATATAGCAATGTCAACACAGACTTTCTTTTGATAGTGTTGGCAAATATTTCTACTTACGCATTATAATAGCCAATTAATTTTCTTGCAGTTCATCTTACCAGCAGCCTCACAGTGGGCCAAGTAAGTAAACTAATACTATTGCCACTGGAGTGCATGACTATTGCAAAACTAACATTTCCCTGTTTCCCGATACAGGCTTTGGTTCTGGAATGTGAGCTAATTTAACTTAATGCAAACCTGATTTATCACACTTGAGAAAACGTTAAACCCCTCACTTCATAATGTATTTCCTTTGTCTTAAAGCAGGCGGTTAACCTCATGTAAGCAGCACTCGTGAGTCGGATTAACAGAAATTCAGATATGAGTAACTTCTGATGTTTAGCGTTTTCTTTCAAGTACAGATTTATCCTTCTGCCCCCTACAGTTATTCAGTTCATGCAGTTTTATGTCCAAAACATCATAAAAATAATTGGAATTCCAAGCCCACTTGGCTAGCTCAAATTAATAAATGGCTGAGCCCTCAGCTTCACAACATGCAATCACACATGCTTAAAAGAGAGATGACACGTCAATTTGACCAGTGGATCAGATTAGTCAAGGATTTTAGAGAGTCTAAACTGTGTCACCCAGTCGTTTTTAGTGACTCGCTAGCCATATCATTATGTCAGTTTACATGGCTGTGTCAGGGTACTGGAGTCTAGCAGCACAATATTTCACTTTGTCTAAGTGTGCAGATATAAACACAAATGAAAATCCATTAATAATGGCCTTGCCTTTTATGCTGAGGCAGTGCAAAGAGGTATGATGCATTGTGCCTGAAAAACATTCAATGGCATAGCAGCCAGAAAAAGCATCCATGATGTAAAAAATTACAAATCCTCTGATACATCACATTGACTCATGAAATCTCACCTATGACCTTGGATCTGAGGCAAGGAGTTGGGAGTGACATACGTGTTTGTTCCAGTACGTTTTCAACTAGTGATATCGAAGAAGTGCAAAGGGGTATGATAGATACCCTTTTTCATAAAATATATTTAAACAAATAAAATGTAACTTCTCTGCCAGGACCTGATTACCACAAGCTGCAGCCCACGAACCTAGTCAAAAACACACAATGCCATCTTAAAAACTGCAGGTAAATCTGAGTGTGGCATTTCAACAATTTTAAAAAGTAAAGTCTGTACTGTAGCAGTGTAACATATGTCAGTGTTTAGTGGTTCACACTAGTTTGGTACCTTGTGTAGTTAACCTTGTATCCAGCACCATCATCATTTGGTGACCGAAGCCTTCGCTGAGAGGGCGTCTCCAATTGCCAGTAGTTAATTCGATTCAGAAACATTTTGGACAATTCGCAAATTGTCTGCCTCTCCTTGATCGGAAGGTGACTAAATTTGTACTGCACAAAATTGATAACTCCCTAAACAAAATAAGTGAAGGTATTTGGTTCAGCTCAGTGTAAATCACAAGTTAAAGTACAATATTCCTTTCCCCAAACAGCCCCACTAATTTCAAAACGCCACATGGTTGATGACTACTAAACTTGAAACTGGGCCATAATAAAACAAAACACTTTATTTTCCCTGCCTACTGGTTGTTCTCTCCCTACTACATGCTATTTCCTATCCGAAGGGGACTGAAAGGTGAACGACCAGACCACTCCCAATGAGATTGTATAATAATTTCTGATTATCTTCGCTTCTTTCAAAATTCCCATTTACTCCAACAATTTGTTATGGTTCCCTTAGTAAGCATATAATTTGTGTATAGTACATCAACACTATAATGTTTCAGGTTTAATTCAGGAAGTCTGCAAAGGGAAAAAAGGCAAGTCTACAATTTAGCAGGAAATCCCAAAATAAACAGTGACTTTGCTGTATAATTACAGTACTAGTTGCACAACTGCAAGACTCCCAACATCACTAATAGTAACACTGCTCCTTTTAGATTTTATAAAGGGTTTAACAGTCCTGAATTGCTAACAGTATTTATCAATACTCAAACAGAATATTTTGTGACAATTTTTTTTTCTATTAGAACATTTTCCTCAATTGTAGTACGGGAGGGGAGTGGGATTAAATGTTTCAACATTTAAATGCATCCAAACAGTATCTGCTCTTGCAAAAAGTTGGCACAAGCATGATGGGCTGTAGAACCTTTCATTGATATCACATCTTTCACATAAAAGAACATCTCAAACTACTTGACAAATATAATGGTGCATATATCATTGTATTGTGAGAGAGATGCATCCCTGCCTTAACATGGGTGTTTAATAGGGTTGCATTATTCGGGGATAAAAATACAATATTCTTCACAGGAATTGGCAAACAGTACCAGTAATATGCATCGCATGGTGTATGAAAATTTGTTGCAACACCATCAACTTCTCATCTCGTTTCTATTGAAGTCTACATGGCAAGTTTAGGAAATTAATCTCAATCTCAATGAGAATTTACAGCACAAGTAGTCTTGAAAATAAGGCACTGATTTGTTTTTGAAAGATAGACAGAAGAAACATGCAGTTTTATAACATCTCGGTCAAAACATTGCAAAGCACTTGATAGCAATTAATTTCAAATGTTGTGACGATTTCTTTGCTGGTGAGTGGCCAATTTTCTAGCCGCACAGCCCAAAAAGTAGATGTTGCAAATTGAAGTGCGCTTTGGAATGTGTATATATCCCAGTGAAATGGTGTGGTTTGGAATGTATATACACCCCAGTGAAATTTACAAAACTCATTTTCTGAAGAGACAAAAATAAATTAAAAATACTTATATTTGTCATCCATTTTTGTTTTAGAACAAAATATTCTCACAGTACTTTACAAATTACATGATATACATGATCATGATACAGATTGAACTACACAAGCTGCTTGACTCATTTACCTGCTCAATGCTGGGCTTCTCAAAAGGTGGACTTCCTAAAGGTCCTTCCACCACAGGACTTCCCATTTGTAAGATACATTTTCTCAAAAGCTGAAAATGGAATTAATTACAAGTCACTTTTGCAGAAAGGATTTTGTACCAAAACTTAAAAGATCACTACAATAATATTAGTTAAAGCAAAGGATTTATCATTTATTCTGAAGTGTTTGCCTCAATGTTGTTGATATAATTTGGTATCTCATTAGTCAAAATGTTTAAATACTTGATCAAATTTTACTGGAGAGTGCAATGACTGTATTTGTAGGCAAATGCAGCAGCTAATTTGCCCAGGACAATGTCCCACAAATAGTCATGAAGTATTCCATAGAACTATTTGAACAGAATGGAGTTTCTTCCAGTGTCATAGCCAACAATCTTCCAGATAAAATTAGTCATTCACTTCATGACTATTTGTGGGACATTGTCCTGGGCAAATTAGCTGCTGCATTTGCCTACAAATACAGTCATTGCATTCTTCAGTAAAATTTGCTGAAGTATTTAAACATTTTGACTAATGATATACCAAATTATATCAAACAATATTAAATTCAAGGATTATTATTATTACTATTAATTGCTATGAATCCTCCAGGATAAATCTTGAAGCAATGGATTTTTTAGGCACAAAGATTTTGTGCTGTAAATTAGTCTTTTCTGTTCAGCTAAAACTGGCCTGCTTCATATTCCCCATAAGATTCGTTCAGCCATTCTGTACCCGCTCTCTGGAACACTATCCCAGACTCCCTCTGTCTTGGCCCCTCCCTCACCTCCCCCCAAAAAAATAATGGTTGCTGTTGTTACTCGAGTATAGTGCAGAGCCAAAAATGTACACGAGCCCATAAAAGGTACTCATGTGAGATTATGATGGAATAGTAACAGTAAGAGCAGTGGTTCTTGCTAATTCCATCTGCTAACTCAACACAAACAGTAAGACATCAGTGGCACGGCATAGCCATCAAAACAAACTTGTGAAACAAACACCTTAAATTTAAATTTTTATAGTAAGATTTAATAGCCATTAAATAAAGGGGCTACGGCATTCACATTTTGCTAAAAAGTTGACAAGTAATGGTTCAATGGGTAAATATACCATGCAATGTGGTAAAGGAGCACTACTCAATGCAATACCTGGCCTATAGTACGCGAGGGTTCAAGATTGCCTTTGGAACCACATCCCAAAGTAGATGAAGGAGAGGTGAGAGGGAAACATAAATAAATGGCACTATATAGTCATCGCCAAGCTGTGAAGCTATTCCAAGAATTGCTTATCCTCAACATCACATGTAACAAGTTTTCAAGATATAACAAGTTATAAGTGGATTAGTTCAAGATGAACATACAATATTGTACTTATGTCCTAACAACTTATAACACAATTATTCATTGCAACGTATTTATAAAATGGTTTTATGTTGCATCCTTGGACCCAGAATTGAGCTTAATACTGAAGAGCCATATCGTCAAATCAATGCCATTCAATGACCTTTAACTAGCCCTAAATCAACCTGTATCTTATATCTTCTGTTGTTCTCCTTTGGCTGCAGGGCTTTAGTGATCCTATGCAACAGTTTCTTCATTGCAAGATATTGAAATGTTGAGGATACATTGGTAACATTAGAGTATTTCAAAAATGAAGTACCGCTTATTTGTCAAACAATCTTCAAGGTCAACAGAACAATCAAAACAAGCACTTACTTTGAACAGGTAAAAATAAACTTGCTTTGTGTCTGCATCCTCTTCCTTGTGGACACAAGTGAACAAGTATTCCACATCCAGCACTATTCCAAGCAGCCTGTTCATTTCTTCCTCCGATACGTGCTCCAGGTGGGAAACATGATCAGCTGAGGAAAGAACATCACAAATGTATTATTTTATTAAAGCGGATTATTTTCTAGAGAAGAGACTAGGAAGTTTTAGTGTACAGAAGGATTTGGGTGTCTTTGTACACCAATCACAAAAAGTTAGTATGCAGGTACAGCAAGCAACTAGGAAGGCTAATGCCATGTTGGCGTTCATTGCAAAAGGGTTAGAGAACAAGAGTAGGGAAGTCTGGCTGCAGTTATATAGGGCCTTGATGAGACCGCACCTGGAATATTGTGTTAATTTTTATCTCCTTATTTAAGAAAGGACATATTTGCCTGAGAGGGAGTGCAGCGTAGATTCCTAGGTTGGTTCCTGGGATGATGGGGTTGACCTATGAGGAGAGGTTGAGTAAACTAGGCCCATATTCTCGAGAACATAGAAGAATTAGAGGTGATCTTATAGAAACATCTAAGATTCTTAAGGTTCTTGACAGGGTAGATGCCGTGAGACAGTTTCCCCTGGTGGGAGAATCTAAAACTAGGGTTCATAATCTCAAGATTAAGGGTCAACCTTTTCGAACTGAGTTGAGGAAACATTTCTTCGCTTAGAGGGTAGTGAATTTGTGGAATTCTCTACCTCAGAAGGCTGTGGATGTTCAGTCCTTGAACATATACAAGACTGAGGTTGATAGATTTCTAAAGGATAGAGGGATTAAGGGATAGGGCGGGTAAATGGAATTAGGTTAGAGGATCAGCCATGATCTTATTAAATGGTGGGGCAGGCTCGAGGGACCGAATGGCCTACTCCTGCTCCTACGGCTTATGGTCTTATGGTATTCAAACAAAGTCTTCCATTGGACTTGAATTTTAACAAGAAAACTTTTTGGCCAACATTCCAGTTAGCATCATGGTTGATGCTTTTGGCAATGTTGGCAGCTTATGGCATTTTGCCATAACATTTGCACATCGCCAAAGGCTCTATGCGTATTGATGACTGGAGTATCAGGCCAAATTTGAGCATTCTCAAAGAGCTGCATGGGATATACTATAAAGTGGTGTGACTGTATTTTATGGGTGATAAACAAGTTATGAAAAGATTGCTACTTGTCATCAGTGTGTGATTGAGCCCAAATATTTATAAGCATAAAATCTTTAATGAAAAGAAGAAATAAAGCTGAAGGATAAATTCCTTCAGTTCAAATAAAATATCTGCATTTAAAGATACCTAGACCATAATAATAATCCTTGCATTTGATATAGCACCTTATCACGTCTTCAAGACATCTCAAAGCGCTTCACAGAATATATTATGAAGTGAATTGACTGTATATTTTGTGGGCGAATGCAGCAGCCAATTGTGCACAGCAGTGTCCCACAAACAGTCGTGGATTGAAGTGGCCAATTTATTATTTTTTTTAAGGAATTATTACCCCCGGAAAGTGATCCTCGAATCGATTAACAACTGGGTTCCTACTTACTGCTAGGTAAAGAGGGGCGTGTGGAGTAAGGAAACTTTCCTACACTCCCCCATGTTCTCATGTCATATACAGGTCCCAAATGGCTTAAGTAGCTAATAACTTGGGCCAATAGAAAAATGCAGCTGCACTTTTTCCGGGGGATCCACCATGAATATCCCCCTCTGTTGCAAACCGTGTGCTCGGCCTTGGACCTCTGTGCGCTGTTTGCTCCATGCTGCTACTGTGGGCGGAGCAGCTCTTGTCGGGCAGGTGCGGCGTGGGGAGTGTTACAATCGAGGAAGCGGTGTGAGTAGGAAATCAGCTTCGCCTGGTGGCTGGCCTAAGCTGAGCTCCTGCAACCAATTCTTGGTAAGTGCTGTACTATTCACATTAACATTTTTAGTATTTTAAACATGTTCAGGAAATATATGCCTATAGTTTTAAACTGGGTTGTTTCACAAAACGTGTTTCACAGTAGTACCCGCCGCAATTTTCCAGCAAATGTCCCCCCAATTTCTGGCAAATATTTCTGCACTTTTCTTTTGGCCCAGCTAATGGCTTGAATAATGTGCTATTGAGGTATGCACATCAAGAAAGTCTCAGCTCTGAGTCCCAGTCTGTACTAGATGAGCTGATCGTAGTCACCGTGATGTTGAGGACACTGCATTTGAAGAAGTGTCCCCTGGCCAAGAATGTATGTGTGTGTGTGTGGGCGGAGGGGAATGGGCAAGGTTCCTGCTACTGACTGACATCATGTAACCTTACTAGAAAGTAAGCCAAGCTGTGAGACTCTCCAAAGTCAAATAACCCAGATAGCACTCACCACTTAAGATAAATAATCTATGAAACTAAATTATCATAATAAATAATAATCCTTGCATTTGATTTAGCACCTTATCACGTCTTCCAGGTAGCTCAAAGCGCTTCACAGAATATACTATAAAGTGAATTCACTGTATGTTTTGTGGGCAAATTATCGACCATCATTTGAGAACATGGAGGAGGAAGAAAGTTATCTCAACTTCACTATTTGAGGACAGGCTTATTACAGACAGACAAAAAATGCAATAAACATTCTCACTGGAAACAACTTAAACATGGAGCCATCCAAAGGCAATAATGTGTCATCTATTAAATTTAGCTGAAGTCTGGATATATTTATTTATGGTCATTTACCTTTCCTATGTACACAGGCTTTGCTACATTCTCATCTCCACATTCCTTCTTTAGCCAGGAATGTGTAATGTGCATTGTAAAACTCTCCACAGCTGCTGGTAATGCCACTTTGTTTTGGCTGACTGGAGGTACATTTTAAAGACAAAACTTCGGCTAACTACAAATTCCACAGGCATCCAAGGTACAGTCTGTCCTCAGAACAGAAAATAATTCTCATGCGCCAAACAACATTGTCTCGTACAGTGAAACTTCAAGCAAGTGTATTAATGATTTGAATATCAGCACAGAAAGAATAATTCCTGAGAATGATGATGCCAAATGTGGTGGTTTGTCAAACTGTGGGGAAGAATCCAAGAAACTGCAGGTGGACATCAACCACTTAACACAGTGGACAGATGGGTGTCAGATGCAGTTTTATCTTGCAAATTATGACATACCACATTTTGAAAAGAAAACACTAAAGTTCTTAACAATGTTGATGCTGAGGAACAGACGGTTAAGGGGATGCAGATGCATCTCTACTGCAAACCCATGACAGAAGGTTTTCAGTATCAGCCATACTATAAGTGAAGTGAAAAAACAAACGTCTTTAACGTTTCAGACACAGGGATATAGGGTGTTAACCTCAAGCAAATATAATGCCATTTAAATCAGACCATTTCAAAACAGTGTTTCTAAAATTTGATGGTGACACATTTACAGGTGCTGGGGAACGAAAAAATTTCTCCGCTTTCTCATGATAGCATCAAGCATCTGACTTCCAGATCAGATATGACATGGTTCAGATATGTAATAAATCTCTACTTTGCCCCAGTTCAGCGATTTACCTCCGCTCTCACCATAGCATCCCCAGTACACCAATGTGACATTTTCCATTCCCCACCTCTGATGACATTGCCCCCAACTCATTTCTTTTAGGTTCTAGCCAGAGGAGACTATCACCCTAACAGTTTAAGGTAGATTTTTCTCTGCTCTCCTGAAGACCGAAAATACTCCTATGGCACCGTGTATGTCTCTCAAATGGCCATTCTTCATATGTGGGGGTCACCAAATTATGATTAGGAGCAGTAAAGCTGATTTTTTTTCCCTCTCAAACATTATGCTAAGGCGTATAAAGAGACATCTTTACTGCTGTCTTACCTTCAGACATTGATGTCTGAAATTATAGTTATCTGTACAACATTAGAGAACACAATGAATAATGATAAATGTAGGTCATACCCTGGAGCACCAGTCATGAAATCATTTCATGGATAGAACAAGTTCTAATCCTGTGTATAATTGGGAGGGACGGATGGAAGGAGAGGGCACTCTGCTTACCCAGTGTGTGGCCACAGCTTCGGCATGGTTCTGTGAGACTGACTGCTGTCTGCTGCAGGTTTACCCGTGGAGGAGTGGGAGGTGGACATGGATTCTTCCAACCATTGCACTTACAGGATTCTTCAGCCTAAAGAGATCAAGAACACATGATGTTCAGTGTAACTGCAGATCAACAGTGTGTAAATTCTGCACTAAGAAAGACAGACATTAATTGGTCAATTAACAGAGGTAAAACTCACTACTTCAAAGGTGCTATCACTAATAATAAATGGAATTAAACAATGCAAAGTTGCATTTATATAAGTCCTTGCATGTCGGAAGGATGTCCCAACTAGTGGCTCAGGACTCTTAAAAGTCTAGCACAAATGTCATCTCACTGCATCTCACTTAATAAATAACCATTGGCTGTTTCATGTTACAGATGTATCTTCATTCATTTGCCTCTTTCCCACCACGGATGCATCAGGAAATCCCCTCAATAGCTAAACTTTGTTCATGAAAGGCACAATCATTTCTTCTGCTTTCAATATTTTTTCTTTTATGAACTTCTCTCCACCTGCCCCCTTGCACCTTTTTCTGTTGTTTGTGATCTTCCTCTGCAAGTAGTCACCAGTACCTTGACCTTGTGCACCTTCCATGAAGTTACTCTGCTTAGAATACCCTACAAAAAATAATGCCATTTGCTTACCTTTGTTCTCCTTTTTAGGTCATAATATTTCTTCTATGTTTCATGGCAGAAGGGGTTTCAGACATCCTCCAGATATGCAAAGTAGTATATAAATGTAAACTGTTGTAGTTGTAGGGACCGGAAGGTGTTATCAGTAGCATTGACTCTGCTATTATCTGCGCCCATGTTTATTTTTGGGAGGAAGGTTTTTTTCATTCAGCTATGACTTCTTTGTGCTTGTCCAGGCCACATTGAGAAGGGTCACTCGGGCATCCATGGATGTTGTTCCTTGTCCCATTGAAACTGAAGCAAATAGCCGACAGACCCATCCCGTCAGCAATTATCATCTTGTGCTTGTAATCCGGGGGTCAGAGTCTCAATAGCTTCTGATTTGCTCTTTCATTCCACCTCCAATTTTTCAATGCTTTTCTTGCTTGCGTATCCAGCTCCACCATTCATAAAATCCAATTAATTCAAAACACTGCCTCCCATATCTTCACCTGTGCTAAACTCCACACCCCCATCACCCCAGTCCTTGCTCAGCTCCATTGGCTCCCAATTGCAAAATGGATTGAATTCAAAATCCTCACACTCAAGCACAAATCACGTCACGCCTCGGCACCTCCCTACCTCTCTGACCTGCTTACACCCCACTCCTCTACCCGGCCCCTTCACTGAGCTGGCCTCAGCCCCTTCATGTGCCCTCCACTCCACCATCAGTGATCATCAGTCGTGCTTTCAGCCGCTGTGCTCTGAGATTCTAGAGCTCTCTGCCTCAATCCCTCTGCCGTACAGCAACAACAAGTTACACTTGTATTGCTCCCTTCACAGGGTGCTGGACAGTCAGGGGTTTGGGGAATTGGGGTCAGAAGAGGAGTAGGACAGGGGCGTGGGGTTGGGAGGGTGGCCCAAAGGCACGGTCAAAGTCTTCAGATGAGAATTGAAAGAGGCAAGAGGGGGGTGAGGTGGAGGGATTGCGGGATAGAGTTTCAGAATGTGGGGGCAGAGATGCTGAATGCCCTATTGCCAATGGGGGAAATTGACCCAATGCCTATAGATAGCATCGGCGAGCGGGAGCATGTATAGATTGAAGAGCAGGGGACTAAGGACAGAGCTCTGAGGAGCGCCACATGTAGCAGTGCAGGGGCGAGAGGAGAAGCTGTTGGTGGCCACGAAGTGCAGAAGGTGGGAAACATAGGATTGGAACCAGGCAAGTACCCCCTACTTGTCCATCTCCTGATCATATTTAAAGACCTTTCTCTTTGACCGTGCTTACAGTCAACTCCCCCGTCTCCCTGGCTTGGCCAGACTCTACCTCACATGAAGGATGCTATGTAAATGCAAGTTGTCGTTGCTATGATCATCTGATTTTGAATCTGCCAGAGACTAACACTCAAAAAAAGTACGTCACACTACTATATTACTGTTTACTGCACAAGAAAATTGTGTGTAAACACCATCCAAACTCCTTTACTCTAGTACTGTTTGTCCACCAAAAATCCCACCCCTTGGTAAAGCTGCCGAGTACCCATGAAAGTGTATCCCAATAAAAGGAAATTAGAATGTCTTCAGGAAACAATGTAGAAAGGGAAAAAAGACTGATACTTTGTTTCACCAGCACAACCAATGCAGTGCAATCAGCTCACCACACACTGATACATTTCACAACACATTGCAATGTATTGCAAGTTTTTAATGTTACAGGAACTGTATTAAAATGACTAGTTTGTAACGGTTTCAGCCTCAACCCTCTAACTTGGGGTAAAATGAATGTTCATAGTGTATTATTGTTTAGTGATATATGATCAAATGTTTTTATTTGGTATGATATATGCACTTAGGAAACAGGAACAGGATAAGGACGCTCAGCCCATTGAGTCTGTTTCAACAGTTTTATTAGATCTTGATATTCTAATGCCTCCCCAGCCTTTCTCTATACCCCTGAATTCCTCTACTACCTAAGTATCTGTCTATTTGTCTGTCTCTCTTTTAAACATCCCTGTTAATTCTGCCTCGACAGTTTCTGATGCAGAGCATTCCACATTGTCACAACCCTGGGTAAAAAAAGGTTATTGACCTCAGTTCTGTCTTGGTTATGATTTCAGTCTTTGCCCCACCCCCACTAGTAACAGATCCATCTACCAGAGGCATCTACCCACTGATCTGTCAATTCCTTTCATTATTTTAAATACTAACACTAAAAAAAATTGGTCACTTCAATCCACAACTGTTTGTGGGACACTGCTGTGCTCAATTGGCTGCCATGTTTCATCCACAAAATATATAGTCAATTCACTTTACAGTATATTCTGTGAAGCGCTTTGAGACGTCTCAACGCCGTGATAAGGCACTATTTCAAATGCAAAGATTATTGTTATTATTACTTCATCACTTCATTAATTTTCACAACAATAAGGAATATAACCCCAGTCTACTCAGCTTTTCAGCTCAGGTACTGACCTTGTGAACCATTGCTGGATACCTTCCAAGACTAATATATCCTTCCTAAATTTGGGTGCCCAAAACTGAACATCGTACTTCATATAAGGTATGACCAGCGCTCGGTATAACTAGAAGAATACCTCTTTACTTCTTTTATTCATGAAGATGAGCATTCGATATTTTGTTAGTGTGGATCAGGGGCTAATTGCACTGTGTGATATTGAGCTATATAAACTAAAATAGCCCAGTTGTGATTTCTGGACTGTGGTCTTAGCTATTCTCAATTGGGGTGGTCTATTGTTACATATAGCTTCAGTATCCTGACTTTTGGAAGTGGGGGGACTTTGAAAGGCGGATGGGGGCGAAGTTCCTAGTTTTGATAGCTATCCATTGAACTCTCATTGAACTCTATTTTATGTATACGGACAAATAAGCATTTGTACATAAAGAACAACCAACCACATGAAGTACTTGACAGCTGTTGGCCATGTCATTTTCTCAAAAAGCAGTGAAAAATAATGAGCTTCTGAGTACATATGGGATAATATTTTTGGGCCTAGTTATATTGATCACACTGAATCGGCCAAAAATGAAACTTCTTCCCCTAACGTTGTTTTAAATAGTGAAGTCCATGAAGCCCCAATGACAGATTTCACCTTTGGCTACGAGTCAGTGGACCAACTTTTTGAGTTTTACTGTATTTTGAAAGGCTGATATGCCACTAACCAACAGTTGAAGGTTGCAAGCTGCAAGTCAACCTGGCTTCTCAAACTTCACCTGGCAGCAGTGTGAGAGAGAAGAAATTCACGTGAAACCGTAATGCATATCAACTGGGCTGCACATTGTGACTCCATAGTATTTTAAATAAAACACTATTACAGCACCTTGATCACTTCCTTGGAAGTAAAGCATTAGTATGGAGAAGGGAAGGCAGAAGTGTTTGTGGTGAAGAGAAAGAATAGAAGTACTCTATACAAAACTAATTGACCCAGTAAGTCTACCCCCTTTACAGTAAGGAATAGTTCATAAAACATAAATTGGAGCTGTTAAGTTCTCCATTGCAAATAAACTCAATGAGGGTAATTTATGCTAATAACAGTTATAAAAGTATTCTGTACCTTAAGCAAGATTTCCTTGAACTTTAAGATAATATCTGGACCCAAGTTCAAAGCTAGGCCACTGGTGATGTAGGTTAGGGGAAGAGTTCCCTGAATACACCCTGAATAGATCCTGTGATTCACTTTGAGATGTTTTGATGATGTGCTTAGGCACTATCAATTGCATGAATTATCATTATTATTTACTTCAACAAGTATCTAAATGGTCTGGAAGCCAATCCAGAAAAGCCTACTGTAGATTGAAGTATATTTCCTGCTGCTGTGCTTTTCCATGGTTAGGTGGCTTCAAAGCATCTCACAGACCAGTGATTAGCCTTGAATGTATTAGCCCCACTGAAGCACGCCCAGATCTGTTCCGAGATGCTTGCAACTCATCCCTATCAGTCACATCACCAGAGGCCCAAGTGAGTTAAAGGCAGGTATGAATTCATCGTCTCTTAAGGATATTTAATTAAAAGATAATTTTTTTTTAGAATTGTGTTATATTCTAATATAGCTTGGATGGGTACTCTTTCCCAGACTAGGCCATCACATAGAACTCTTGTCGTTTATATCCAGAGATTCAATTATTATAGCACAGATAATCAGACACAAACAGTATAAGGCTGTGTGAAATCTCTGTGGACCTTCCCTTTCTGTTGAGCAATGATTTTAGCAACATCAAATTTGTAAATCATCAGTCCTTGTTTAATTAACATTCAGGTATATCACTCAACGTGAAAAAGGTGTCTTACCAAGCTGTGGAAAAATTGCTAATTCTGCTATTTTCACCCTCTGTCTGCCTTTGCCTTTTCTGCTTACTTTTGAAATTAATATTATTCTCTATCAAACACACAATCATTCTGATTGTAAGATAACTTGCACAGCTTGGTTATTCAAGATCTGTACAGTTCAGTAAATGAGTAAGAGTCCCAGAAGATATAGGACTCTTCACAGAATGATCTGAAAACCCAGAGCATTTAATCCTTAACTAGTGTCGCATGTTAGCTCACCTAAATTCATATTGTCTGTGTGTACAGAGAATAGCTACTACAGTACTACTTGTAGTGAAACTGAACCTAAAAAGCAAGAGTTTTAAGTTCCCTTTTTGCGCGGTAGGAGAAACACACAGAGAAGTTACAAACCAGAGACTATCTGAATTAATTCAGCTGACCACAAATTAAGCCAAATAGATGAAACAGGATATCACTCATTTTGTTGTACGTTTGTGGCGGGCATTGGGAGGAGGCAGATGCATTAACTCCACAGTGCAACTAGATATTTTGTTTAGCAAATCACAGGATTAACTGAGAGGGAAAAAAAAACCCAGAGCAGCAACAGGGCATGTGCACAGCCAGAGAATCCTCCTCCAAAGAGTGTGAGGAAATGATATGAAACATGACATTCTAGTGCTAAAAGCTGTCAATCAGTCCTAAATTTGCTTGGTCATCAAAAAATGACAGGGCATACACCATTCCTGGTCATGTTTACAACAGTCAAAAACAAACCCGCCCCCTATTGCAAAACACGATCTGACACAATATAATATACTGTACAGTCAAAACTGATTGACTGTCCTGTCCTGTCCTGCTGACATGTCACTTGATCCAATAGGCAAAATGCATTGGATTAAAAGCACTGGAGCTTGTTTGCCGGCGGGCCCCGAGCTCCTCCTCTACCCAGAGCAGGCTCTGCTCCCCCTGTGCAGGCTCTGCTCCCCCTGTGCAGGCTCTGCTCCCCCTGTGCAGGCTCTGCTCCCCCTGTGCAGGCTCTGCTCCCCCTGTGCAGGCTCTGCTCCCCCTGTGCAGGCTCTGCTCCCCCTGTGCAGGCTCTGCTCCCCCTGTGCAGGCTCTGCTCCCCCTGTGCAGGCTGTGCTCCCCCTGTGCCCTGTGCAGGCTGTGCTCCCCCTGTGCCCTGTGCCGGCTCTGCTCCCCCTGTGCAGGCTCTGCTCCCCCTGTGCCCTGTGCAGGCTGTGCCCCCCCCTGTGCAGGCTCTGCTCCCCCTGTGCAGGCTGTGCCCCCCCCTGTGCAGGCTGTGCCCCCCCTGTGCAGGCTGTGCTCCCCTGTGCCCTGTGCCCCCTGTGCCCTGTGCAGGCTGTGCCCTCCCCTGTGCAGGCTGTGCCCCCCTGTGCCCTGTGCAGGCTGTGCCCCCCTGTGCCCTGTGCAGGCTGTGCCCCCCCTGTGCCCTGTGCAGGCTGTGCCCTGTGCAGGCTGTGCCCCCCCTGTGCCCTGTGCCCCCCCTGTGCCCTGTGCAGGCTGTGCCCCCCTGTGCAGGCTGTGCCCCCCTGTGCCCTGTGCAGGCTGTGCCCCCCCTGTGCAGGCTGTGCCCCCCTGTGCCCTGTGCCCCCCCTGTGCCCTGTGCAGGCTGTGCCCCCCCTGTGCCCTGTGCAGGCTGTGCCCCCCTGTGCCCTGTGCAGGCTGTGCCCCCCTGTGCCCTGTGCAGGCTGTGCCCCCCTGTGCCCTGTGCAGGCTGTGCCCCCCCTGTGCCCTGTGCAGGCTGTGCCCCCCTGTGCCCTGTGCAGGCTGTGCCCCCTGTGCCCTGTGCAGGCTGTGCCCCCCTGTGCCCTGTGCAGGCTGTGCCCCCCTGTGCCCTGTGCAGGCTGTGCCCCCCTGTGCCCTGTGCAGGCTGTGCCCCCCTGTGCCCTGTGCAGGCTGTGCCCCCCTGTGCCCTGTGCAGGCTGTGCCCCCCTGTGCCCTGTGCAGGCTGTGCCCCTGTGCAGGCTGTGCCCCCTGTGCCCTGTGCAGGCTGTGCCCCCCTGTGCAGGCTGTGCCCCCCTGTGCCCCCTGTAGTCTGGGTGCAGGCAGTACCTTACAAGCGGAGTAAACCCCGAGCTTCTCCAGTTTCTTTGTCCGCGGGTAACTGCGGAGCTGCGCCTTCCTCAGTGCGATCCTCTCCCGCTGCTGCTGCTGCTGCTGCGACCCCGCGCCCGCGCCCGAGCCCGAGCCCGAGCCCGAGCCCGAGCGGCCGCCCTCCGCCCCCACCGAGCCGCCGGGCACTGCCACCGACACCGACACCGACAGCTGCGGTGGCACTGGCGGCACCGCCACCGGCTCCGAGCTGTTGCTGTTGCTGATGCCGCCGCCGCCGCCCACGGCGGGAGAGCCCTGTTGCAGGGCGCCGCCGCCGCCGCCGCCGCTCTCCGCCATGGTTTCCAGCCTACGTGCCGCGCCGTGTTGTCTTGTTGTATAAGGAAGTGCTCCGGGCGGGAGCCGCGACCACAGCGAAGTGGCAGCTCCTCAGCTCAGCTCAGCTCAGCTGTCTGTGTGTGTGTCTGTCTGTGTGTGTGTGTGTGTGTTAGTCCCCGGGCACTGGCAGCGGGACCCCCCCCCCACACACACACACACACACACACCCCCCGGAAGGGGCGGCACAGAGCGATCCTCTGTCACATTCACATCCACACTCTGTTTCCACATTTGCAGTGCACTCTCTGGTGGTTTATCCGTTTTGCCACTGTAATGTACAGGAAGAATCGGCCACAAAATATATAGTCAATTCACTTTTACCGTATATTCTGTGAAGGGCTTCGAGTCATCTCGAAGACGCGATAAGGCGCTATATCCAATGCCCGGGTTGGTATTATTAGAGTAATTCTTGCATTTGGTTTAGCGCCTTATCACATTGTTGATGTGAAATTTAAGTAAGATATAAAAAATCCCCCCCCACCCACTCCCCTCCCACCACCACTACCACGGGTTAGGGCTAAAAGACGTCAATGCGATGTCAAGCGAAACATTCTGCAAAAGTTCCATTGAAGTTAACACAATTTCAATAAACAACAATTTTACCTATAGAAAAATCCAGAATAAACATGGCTGTAAGGGTGCATTGCAATCGTCTTGAATCACCAGAGTAAAACTTGAGCACTACGCTTTGCCCATTTGTATTCCTGCATTTGACCTCAAACTGTCAACCAACCACGTGAAAACACTTTTGTGTATCAACCACATCACGGTGGAGTAAAAATCTTGCAAAGTGTTTGCCCCAGTGACTACAGTAGTTCTAACGACCGGTAAGTACATCTTCCAGATCAGCCTTGTTGGTTCACCTCATGTGGTGCCTTGCTGTGGCACAAAATGGCCATCACATATACAGTACCTGCAAAATGAGTACACTTGACAGTAATGACCTGAGAGGTGATTCTTTCCAAGTGATTTGGTGCCAAGACCATAACAGAAATTGCGCTTAAGTGTTTGGGTTTGGTACTGCAAGAATTTGCTGCACCATTGTTTATTATGCTGCCCACCTCCAGCAATAACTCTCGGGACGCCAACACCCTTATTTATGCTTACTTGACTACATCAACTGTGCTGATAAGACTTCCCAACTCTTCCCTCCACAAGCTAATACCATTCAGAACTTAGCAGCTTGTGCTTGCCATAGCACAAATATTAATTCTGATATTTGATATAGTGCCTTACACGTCAAGATCATTTCACATCACTTTCATAATCTTCAATACAATGATTATCTTTAAGTCATTGTATTGAAGATCATTTACAACTTTTACAAACCATCAAATCATTAAACACCCTTCAAAATGAATTAATTTAGTCAGAACCACGCCCAGTTGCATGGAGGTGAAGCAACTTCTATCCACCCAGACCAGTTGGGCCAGAATCATTCAACCACTCACTGAGGCTTAGAAACCCTGTTTTACTCTCAAAAACTAGGCACCAAAATTCCGTGAGGATAGTAAATCTTTATTTCCATGAGGTCAGGAAACACAAATACAGTGGTAACAATATGGAAGAGTGATCTTGAGGAAGCCCTGATCAACAACAAATAGGAATCAATTGGTGAAGCAGCCCAATGACTCCACCTGCAACAGATTAAAAGGAAAAAATAAAATTAATCTTTGCTCGGTTCATAGTGTCACCCTTGTATATGTGCTGGAACCCAACTCCTGGCAGAATAATGGAAAGACTGCACCCGGGAAGATACAATCTGCCGCATCTTTATGACAGTTCCAAAGATTCAACTCTGCTAGAAAAGTGCTAGATGAAATCAAAAATGTCTCTATAATTCTACTTATGAATATTTTTTCAATCCTGCATTAGTTCTGGCAGAGCTTCCTTCACACTAAAGAAAATATAGTTGTTGATTAATCATAAAACCAGAAATTGCAGATTGTTGAATTTAGGTTACACATGTGTCTGGTAATAGGTGGCTAAACTAGACGGTTTTTACACCATGTGTGCTTTACCTATAATATAATATAATAATCCTTGCATTTGATATAGTGCCATATCGCGTCTTCGAGATGTCTCAAAGCGCTTCACAGAATATACTGTAAGTGAATTGACTGTATATTTTGTGGGTGAAATGCGGCAGCCAATTGTGCACAGCAATGTCCCACAAACAGTTGTGGATTAAATGACCAGACTATTTTTTTTTGAAGGGATTATTAACCCTGGAAAAGCGATCTGGCAATTAACGAACAACCAAATTCCTACTTTACTGCTAGATGAACAGAGGCTTGTGGGATAAGCAAACTTGCCCAATGTTTCGCCCTGACGGGAATCAAAACCAGGTTCTCTTGTGAGGTTAGTGCTCTAACCACTGAGCTGGACTCCACATGGACCTTCGTAGAATCGTACAGCACAAAAAGAGGCCAATCGGCCCATCGAGTCTGTGCTGTCTCTTTGAAAAGAGCAACGTAATGTCAATCCCACTCCCCAGCTCTTTCCCCATAACCCTGCAAACCCGTCCTCCTGAAATACCCATCAACCGCGTTTTTAAAAGTTGTTATCGAATCGGCCTCCACCACCTTTTCAGGCAATGCATTCCACTGTTCCACAATTCCTTGTTCTTGAGTCTATGCAGAATGGGAAATGGGAGTTGTGAATTCAGTCTGTAATCTGATGTCCTTCTGATGTGAAAGGCACTATACAAATGTAATGTTGTTGTTGAATGCGGAGACAAAATAATTTTTGATCAGATTAACTGATGCTCTGAGGTCTGGAGAGTGACTGGTCACTGATGAAGGAAGCATTTTGTTTCTGTGAGGCATTGGTGAGGGATCTGAGGATTTTTTCTTCCCAGGGGGAAAAATTACACACAATTACACTGACTGTAGATACCAGCAAGTAAAACCTGTTTTGCTCATGGGCCACCTCATGCGAGTCTAAAACTTGCGCACAACTTTGCCTATATTCGCCAGTGGTCATTTATTGCCAGTTACAAAGCATTGAATTAGAAGAGCACACTAAGAATATCAAGTTCCCTTCTTCAAACAGCCACCCACAATCTATCCTAAAGTGGATGTGTATTCATTGCTTCTAATCACCACAAGGAAAAGTTCTCCATGAAGGCTTTCTGGTGAATCAAGCAACACTCAGCAGCATATTCATCCATTCCTGCCTCCACTATTTAACCCTGGCCTGCTGCTGACCATAGATAACAATTACCCCTCCCTCAACAGTAGCCATGGTGTCCTATATAACTACTTAATCAACTGTCTACACCCATTCTAATAACTTTTAACTCCTTACTACCAGTTATTTATGCAGCTTCTTGCGAAGGAGATTATTATACATTATCAACTGCTTTTGTTGGGCATTTGTTGTAATTACCTACACCTCTGTAGGGAATACATCTCTAAAGTATTCTCACTGGAGACTTGTAATTTTAAACCTTTGTCATTTAATTCTGCAGAACAAGAGGACGTAGATTTAGATTTGTAAAGGACAATTTCAGGACAGATACCAGCAAGTATTTTTTCCCCCCATTAATCACTCAATAATGACTAGAATTTTTTTTCTTTGATCAGCTGGGTGTCTGACACATGCGGAAACCCATCAAGATGCTAAAGAGTATCCAAACCAAGCTGAGATTTTCATTCATCCCACTTACACACGAAAATCCCAGAGATACACTGTTGGAATGGATTGCACACTCTCCCTGGAGGGACAAATCCTGCTTACCTAATTCCAGAGAGGGTTAGGTGCAGGTTGGCAAGAGCTAAGGCTTGGGGACCCCAGAAAGTGTGTTCAGGTACTGCTGGAGTCTAACCAGCTAAAACCACATAGCTTGCCATTGATATTGCTGTCTGGCAAGCTTTCCCTACCTGTAAGGACTTTGACTTGCTGGGTTAACAGGATTGGAACAGATTACCAGGAAGGGTATTTGAGACCAGAACACTGGACTTATTGAAAAAGCAGCTTGATATTGGGGGAGGGGGTGGATTGTGGGGTCGGTGTTCTGGAGGGATGAAATTGGATGGGCCGAAGGGCCTTCTTCATCCAAATGTGTAATCTAGCAAAAAATTAAGATTTTCATCATATCAGTCTAAGAGAACCCAATAAAATATAACTTACAATTATATAGTGCCTCTTATGTCAGGAGGACACTCCCAAATGCTTAACAAAACTGGCTGGGCACTAGAGCTGAGGGTGAAGGCTGGGGGTGGGGGGGAGGGGGTAAGGAGAAAGATGACTGAATGCACAAAAGGGTATGTTTTGAGATGCACCTTGAAAGAGGGGAGAGTAGGAGCAACTCAAGCTCTAGAGGGGAAAGAAAATATTACCAGCCTTGTATTTCCCTTTTCATTTTTCACCTGTTTTATCAAAAGAAAACTACCCATTGGTCAAATCATTGTTAACAGCCACAACTCTATGAATACACAACTGACTCAATAACTCAAGAAAGGCTCAATAACTGATTCCATAGAATCTTACCAGAAGGCAGCAATTCAGTCCAATTTTGCAATAGTCAGAGCTTGGGGACTCCAGAGTGTGTGTTGAGGTACTCCTAGAGTTTTACTAGATAAAACTGCATAGCTTGCTATTGAGAGTGCTGTCTGACAAGCTTCCAACTATTTGTTCAGCTTGGATCATCCTACCCTTTAGGGTTTTGACATGCAAGGTTAACAGTAGTTGAGTGGCAAGAATTCCTGCTCCCAGTGACTGGTCTGCCTTCCAAATCCTGCTGGCAGATTCACCTGGGAACTTTTGCAATGCACTCAGCAGCTTGAACACTGGGCTACCTGGTGGGACATGACAGTGGGCAACCCTGAGTCAGTAATCATGTTTCTGCATGGCTCAAGAGAAAATATTGAGGGTAATGAATGGAATATACAAAGGGCATCACCCCCAATTATTGATTCTAAACAGTAACTGGGGGTTGTAGTAGACACCAACTTTTGCCTGGACACTGTCCTGAAGGACTGCGAGAAGAAATGGTGAAGGACACTCTGGTTGTGCTCGTCTCTCTTCAAGGCAGCAAGGTCCCAATGCAGGTGAAGCTTGGATATTCTTAAGCATGGTGTTAGGTTTTCGCACGTGTCAGACATTTGGCTGAATCCAAAAAAATCCTGCTGATGAACCATGCTGGCTGGTCTGTTGTAACCAGTTCCCTGGAATATTGTAGCTCAGTGGTTAGAGCACTCACCTCACAATCGAGAGACCTGGGTTTGATTGTTGCCAGGGTGAAACCTTGGGCAAATTTCCTTACTCCACACGCCTGATAATAATCCCTCAAGAAAAAAAACAATAATAAAATTGATCACTTCAATCCACGATTGTTTGTGGGACACTGCTATGCGCGACTGGCTGCCGCGTTTCGCCCACAAATATGCAGTCAATTCACTTTACAGTATATTCTGTGAAGCGCTTTGAGTTATCTAGAAGATGTGAAAAGTGCTATATCAAATGTAAGGATTATTATTATACATATATATTACTGTGGACCCACCTGACTACCAAGACTGCCACAGACATTCAATTAACAAGCACAAGACCATTCGTATCCCCCCCCACCTCCCCGAGGATATCCATAATTTATGTAGATGTCCTGTTGTAGACTGCTGGAATGCATTACTATTTAAAATACAATCCAATTACAATATATTTTACATTTATGTAGCACCTTTCATCTCAGGACATCCCAAGGCCGATTCATAGTCCTGACTGGCAACCTGAGCTGGAGATGGGAGCTACAACAACAACTTGGATTTATATAGCGCCCTCCATGCCGGAGGGCGTCTCAGAGCGCTTTACAGTTTCGGATTTCGGGACCGAGCCGGGGGGAGGGGGGGGGGGGGGGGGGGAAGGTGACCAAAGGCGCTGTCGAAAAGGTCTTCAGCAGAGACTTGAAAATGGGAAGGGAGGGAGCGAGATGAAGGGAGTGAGGAAGGCAGTTTCCGAGCCTCGGGGTATAGTGGCTGAAGGTACAGCCGGTGGAGCGGAGGACTCGGGGGAGGCCAGACCCGGAGGAACGAAGGCAATGGGTGCTGTTTTGAGGAGAGAGGTCAGAGAGGTAGGGGGGTGCAGAGGAGTGCAGGGACTTGAATACGAGGGTGAGGATCTTGAAGTCAAGCCTCCCTGGGATAGGCAGCCAGTGCAGTCTGGCAAGGACTGGGGTGATCGGGGAGCGGAGTTAAGTGCGGGTGAGAATGCGGGCGGCAGAGTTCTGAATGATTTGGATTTTGTGGATGGCAGTGGATGGGAAACCGGTGAGGAGGGCATTAGAGTTGTCCAGCCGAGAGATGACAAAGGCATGGACCAGGGTTTCAGCGGCTTTTGGGGAGAGGTATTGATATTGGCGGAGACAGGCGATGCGACGGAGGTGGAAAAAGGCGATGCTGGTAAGGGACAGGATGTGGGGGAGGAAGGATAATTGGGGTTGAACCTGACGCTGGGAGACCGGCGAGGAGGACGTTGGAGTAGTCCAGCGGAGAGATGACAAAGGCATGGACCAGAGTTTCAGCGGCTTTTGAACCTGAGCTGATGGAGTTGGGGACGGGAACTTTGGCTAATAGTCAAAGAGATACATTTTGAGACGGGCCTTGAAAGAGAGGGAGGGAGCGAGTTGGAGGGACTCTAGGATGCAGTTACAGAGAGCATTATACAACAACAACAAGATTACTTTTGTATAGTGCCTTTCACGTCGGGAGCACGTCCCAAGGCTCTGGACAGTGTACAGCATTTCAGACCTGAGCTGGGGTCAAGGGGGGAGAAGGAAGGGGAGGGGAAGGGGGGTGGCTGATGGCATGGTCAAAGAGGAGGGTTTTGAGGCGGGATTTGAAGGAGGCTAAGGAGGGGGCGAGGCAGAGTGACTGGGGGATCGAGTTCCAGAGGTTGGGGCCAGAGTGGCTGAAGGCTCTCCAGCCAATGGTGGGGCGGGTGGGTCGGGGGACGTGGAGCAGGCCGGAGCCGGCTGAGCTGAGGGAGCGGGCGCATTGGTAGGGGGTTAGGAGGTCACAGAGGGAGGGTGGGGCGATGCCATGGAGGGCTTTGTAGGTGAGGAGCAGGATCTTGAACTGGATCCTCTGAAGGATAGGGAGCCAATGAAGTTGGGCGAGAATGAGTGAGATGGGGTCATGGAGTTTGGTGCAGGAGAGGACATGGGCTTCAGAGTTCTGGTTTATACATTCTGAATAACATCCATTTACTTCCCCTCTGTTTCCTAACTTTAAACAACATTCTATCCATACTGCCATCTTTCTAGCAATACCATGGAGCTTAAACGTTTTTTTAAACAAGCCTCTGATGTGGTACCCTGGCTCTATTTCGTCCTCTAAAGGTTTGCCCATTATCAATCTTAGGCTGACTGATCTACAGCTACTTTGCTTACATTGTGCTTTTTTGAACATAAGTGCCAAAACAATAATTTGCGGAGATATAGCGCTCTTAATACAGATAGCATCTCGGAGGGTTTAATAGTGGCAGAGCTTGACGCCGAACCAGGGAGATTCACTTGTGTATTTTCTATACTCTGCCTGATTTCCTCTGTATTATCATCTTTAGATGTATTGTATTTCTCTCTTTTACATTTTATTTTCATTTCATTTACTCCTCCAAGGAACCCTGGTTTATCTGCACTCCTCTTGTTACTTGATTCAATAAGATAAGATATTTTTGCTCCTGGAAGTTTCCTGTTATTTGCTCATGAAAATATCCCGTAGATACAGTGCGTATAGATGTGTGGGCAGCTTGGTTCTTGCAACCGTTTGGACAGCTAATGGGGAGGAATTCCACGTTAGCTCAGGTTTAATCCACGAAGCATTTCTGAACATCCAGAATTCGGAATTGTTTTAATACTCGGTTTCCCGTTTGAAGTCAGTGTTATGTAGCTCAAAAGAAACTTGGAAGAAGACTGGCTTGGAAATTCAGGGTACAACTCCGGACCGTCAATTGCTACACAGGTGGGTTTTTCTCCCCCCCGTTGGGTCTCCTTTTGCCAGTGGCCGCTCAGACTGACAGGGCAGCCAACACAGTCAGCGCTTCACTGCAGAGGGTACCTGTCATTGCTTGAATGGCATTGGTTATAATGCGGGTCTCTGTTCTGCGCGGACATGACCCAACTGTACAGCGCCTTGGGACGTCCTCCTGACGTGAAAGGCGCTTTATAAATGGAATCTTGTTGTTGTTGTTGTTGTTGACATGGTTTACAGTGGGTTCGCACGGAGAGAAATGCTTTGCAGATGTGTGGAGTCTGTGTGCTTGAAAAAAATAAGTGCAGTTAAACATTAAAAATCCAGGTAACAAAAGCTGACAGCGGGTCACGCCTTATGTACACCGGTCAGGCGTCACCTAAGAAACTGTTTCCACGACAATATTTAACAACAACGCGTTCCTTTGTTTCAGTTTCAAGCCGATCGCCAGCAATATTAAGATATTTTCCTGCCCACCGAGCCTCGTTTAGTCCTGAAGGAATACGGGACGTGAACGCGCATTTCCCGTTGACCCAGACCTCTCCCGTGTCAAATGTTCCAGTTTCAGGGGGGAAAAAAAAATCTTCCAAAGCGATTCGATGGCTATTTAAGTTTGCGGATCCGCATAAAGAAACCGAAAAGAGTGCCTCTAAATTCTGCTTTAATGCCAAAAGGCCGTTTATTGTTTAATATTGACGTCCGGAAAGCGGCCGAGGATCGAGTATTCAACAGACATAACACATCAGGTCCCACTGCAACTTTGGCTTTGGAAATGATCGTTCAATCCAACTGGAGACGGGGATTGTTTGCCCCCAATTATTCAGAGGGACTGAGACTGGCAACTGCTCCACGGCACTGTACTCGGGATACTTCGAGTCTTTGACCGCTCTCTCTACTGAATTAGTACTGACATATTAGCACTGCAGTTTCAGCAACCGACCGGACAACGCGCACAAAAAAAATGTTCGAATCGACTTCGCGTCCGAGGCTCACACCCCTTTTGGCAATGGCCCGGGTTTAGTCTGCGTTAGCCGTCCCTTTGCCTCTAACCCGTGTGCAAATTACCTTTCGTGTCGTCGTGGGTGGTGTTGCAAACCTCCCGAGTCGCGGATCTACCAGGAGCCCAACCGAGCGGCGGCGGCGGCGGCGGGGGGCGGCGGGAGTGGGGGGTGTGGTTTCCGTCGAAGGCTCTCTCTCTCTCTGTCTTCCTTTGACTGCGGTTCCCGTTCACTTTGGGGACATGGCGGGCGAGGTCCCCTCCGCTCCCGACCCGGGGGAAGGTGCGGCGCTCTCGGGCTTGGCCGGGGAAAGAGAAAAGTTGGGGTCTTCGGTCAGCGCCTTGATGGACACCCCGGAGCCCGCGGTCAGTGTGGGCGAGGACCCCATGGACGATTTATCGGTACTCCCTTGTAACGTTTCCAACGACGAGTTCCTCCTGGACTCCGGTTGGGAGATGAGGAAGGAGTGGGACCTCTCCAGTAGCCTCTCCGCGATGCTCACGGGCACGGTGATGACCGACGTCTTCTTGCTGCCGGGCAAAGCCACCATGGAGGAGTTCCTGGTGTCCCGCAGGTACGCCAAGGAGGAGGCCTGCGAGGGGTCGATGGTCTCCGACCCGGACACAATGGAGGAGGCGCGGGTCTCCACCGAGAAGGAGTCCATGCTGCTCGTCGGGGTTTTCGAGGACGGCGAGACTCCGGAACTCCCGGGTACGGCCATGGCAGAGGAGGCTCGGGCGGTCCCCACGACTGACCCCCCGGTGGCCCCCGGGGCCCCGCCGCCCCCGGCTCGCCTGTGTGACGTGGCCGGCGTGCCCTGCCCCTCGTGCCGCCGCTATGTGCGGGCGCGGCGCCTGCGCTACCACCGGGAGCTGCACGGGGCCTACACCCGCCTGGGTTTCGACGCCCGGGAGGAGACGGGCGACTTGAGCGCCGTCAGCGACCGGCGCTGGAACCTGGTCGCCGAGCAGCTGAGCAGGAAGACGTGGAGCCGCGACGCCCTGTGGCGGATCGACGCCGCCTACGACCTGCTGCGAGCTTACCTGCGCTCCCGGTGGCCCTTCCTCACCCGGCGGGAGCGGCTCGCCCCGCACTGTGAGCACGACTGGCCTCTGCCGTCGCCTCAGCCCGGCAGCTGCCCATTCCTCACCCGGGGGCTGTGCCAGGACAGGAACGCCGCTTGGAGGACCGAGCTGGAGGACTCGTCCGCCTTCCTGCCGAGTTACGGCGGCAGGAGCGACGCCTGGTTCGTCGGGCTCTTTGGCGGTAACCACGGGGCCTCGGCCGCGCGGCTGTCGTCCGTCGAGCTGCCGCCGCTCGTGCTGGAGCAGTTGGTAACGGTCGACAGTTCCTTCGAGTTCCCGCCCGAGCAGCGCGACATGGTCTCCGGGTTCCGAGTGCTGTTCAGCAGTGACCAGCGGCCCGGGCCCCAGGACCCCGAGCCGGGGCCGCCCTCCGGGGAGGACGAGACCAGCCGGCGGTACTACTCCATCCACCAGGCTATGGCCAGGGCCTTCCTGAGGATGGACAGGATACTGGCGCTGGGCCGCCACGAGAAGTCCAAGGTGCGCTGGAGCGGCTGCTCGGTCGCCATCTGCCTCATCGAGGCCGTGAATCCCGAATGGTCCGACGAGGAGGTCGGCGGCCTCAGAGCCTCCGCTGACCTGCCCCGTGAAACTGGTACAGTGCACCTCGCCAATGCAGGTACAGCAGTGCAGGGACCACCCGGGCGGGTCACTGCTGAATGTTTTCTTTGCAAAATGGAGATTGATAGTACTAATAATCCGTGCATTTTGATACAGCGCCTCATCACGTCGTTGAGACGTCTCAAAGCGCTTCACAGAATAGACCGTAAAGTGAATTGACTGCGTATTTTGTGGGCGAAACGCGGCAGCCAATTGCGCACAGCACTGTCCCACAAACAGTCGTGGATTGAGTGACCAAATTATCATCACATAAAAAAATTGTTTTGAAGGGCTTATTACCCACAGAAAGCAATCCACCAATCAACTACCAACCAGAATTATGCTTATATTCGAGGGATATTCATCAACTTCAGATTATCACCACTCTGACTAGACTTGGCAGGAATTTTTTTTTTACCTGTGAAGAACTACTTTTGAATAAGAATTACAACCATAGGTCACTACTGTGGTTATTGTGCAGAATACAACTTACATTTATAGAGTGACATTCATAATAATAATTATAATAATAATTCTAGTGCCATATCATGTCTTTGAGACTCCTCAAAGCGCTTCACAGAATATACTGAATTGACTGTATATTTTGTGGGCGAAATGCAGCAGTCAATTGTGCACAGCAGTGTCCCTCAAACAGCCGTGGATCATCAGCGACATGTTGCATTTACAAGCTGCTCTTCACGAGAGATAGCTTTTTGACGTGCTTAAACACTGGTGGAGTTTGATGCTGATACTGCAGGAAGAGGAGCAAGGTGACCATAGGCGGGATTGAAATGGAAGGTCCTTGGGAGTGATCTGAAGATGGACAAGGAAGAGACGAGATGGAGATTGAGGCAGAGAGTCCAGAATTTCAGCGCTCGGTGGCACCACTATCCCAAGGTGCATTCATTGTATTCCCGAAATGAAAGGCACTATAGAAATGCAATTTGTTGCTGTCTGGATGGGCACCAAGCTGAGGGGGGTGGGCAGAGGAAACATGAACGAAAGCGGGGTCAAAGAGATACATTTTGAGATGTGCCTGGAAAGAGGGAGGGAGTGAAAATCTGTGTAATATCAATTTGGGAAAATAAGTAAGTGTTGACAGCACTTTTGTCTACTGATGTCTGGCAGAAAAAGTTATGTTCAGGATTCGGGTAATAGGCTAAAGTAATAAGGTGAGTTTATTTACCATTTGTTTAAGTAGGTAGGGTAAATTTTACATTTGAGTAATACCATTGATCATAAAAATATTCATAAAATGGCTACATGCACTTTAATGGGGCAGCAGCTTCTTGTCTCAGAGCAAATCTGGACCTTCCCAGCTACTGGAATTGCAATTTTAGAATGTTTTAGTCTCCTCTTCTCAGACCAATTGAAAGTTGCCACGATGATAAAATAAATTGTTCAGGAACTCAGAATTCCTCCTCTTGAGTGATATGGCTTTGCAGTAGGCGAGTGAAGCTTGGGGATCTCTAAAACCAAAGGACACCATCATGTGATTTTCCTGCTTATTTGTGCAGTATTTTAATAGAAAATGTATTTCCCAACTTCTTCTCCTCGTTTTTCCTAACTTCTGTTCATGAATGTTACCAGTTTTTTGTGCACTTTTGATTTGTGAGGGAAAAAAATCTATTAGTTAAGATAGTTATTGTTTTTATGCCCTTACATCCAAATTTAATTGGCTGCCACGTTTCATCCACAAAATATACAGTCAGTTCACTTTACAGTATATTCTGCGAAACTCTTTGAGGCATTTCGAAGACGTGATAAGATGCTGTATCAGATGCAAGGATTATTATTATTTAAATGTAATTCCTTTATTCTAATGTTGTGTCTTTAAATATTATAATATGTCCTGGCTAAGGAAGCAAAGTTGTAGTACTCCTCACAATCTATCCTCACATTAAAACGCCGTGCGAAGGGGTCTTAAAGATTGAAAACATCCGCTTGGCTGCATCATTCTCCCACCCATGTCCCCTTCAACCCAAACCATCCACACCGGTTTCTCTCTCTGCCACGGCTCCTGCCATTCCTCCATCCTTACACTCCTTTTCCCCCATTTCTCCCTCTCAACCACAATCACTCGGATGAAGTTCACCACCTGCTGCCTTGACCCCCTCCCCACCCAACTGCTTGTCACTCAACTCCCCCTCCTCTCCCCTGCTGGCTGACATGGTCAACCAGTCTCTCTCCTCAGGCTCTGTTCCACTCCCCCTGAAAACCACTGCTATGACACTCTTCCTCAAAAAACCCATCCTCGATCCCCCTCATCTTTCACACTACCATTCCACTTCTAACCTACCCTTCCTTACCAACGTCCAGGAACTCATTGTTGCAGGTCAACTTCGGTCACACCTCTCCCTCCACTCCCTCCTCAAGCCCCTGCAGTCTGATTTTTGCTCGACCCACAGCACACAGACAGCGCTTGTTGAAGTCACAAACGACAACCTCTCTATCTGTGACCTGGGCTTCCTCTGCCTCCTCGTGCTCCTGGATCTCCTCCACCGCCTCTCCTCCCTCATCTTCCTTAGTAGAACTGCGCTCGTATGGCTCGAGGCCTACTTAACCAACCGCCTCCATTTCATCTCGGCAAATGGTTTCTCCTCCCGCCCCCGCCAGGACACCTGCAGGGTATCCCAGGGCTCCATCCTTGGGCCTCTTCTTTTCCTTATCTATATGCTCTCTCTGGATGGTGATCCGCAGACACAGGGTAAACATCCACATATATGCGGATGACACACAAATCTAGTTTGCCTCCTCCAGTACCAACTCCAGGTCCTCCGATGTTTTATCAGCTTGTCTGGCAGACCTCAGGGCCTGGATGAGTGTAGCTGAATCCGTACTCATCACTGAACGGATCGACTTCAAGATCCTCACACTCGTGTTTAAATACTCCTTGGCTCCTGTCTACATCTTCATTCCTGCGTATCTGAACTCCTCAATCTCCCTGGTCTCTTCTCACACTTAAAGAATCAGTGCGTAATCTAGGCATCTGGTTCGACCCCCTGCTGTCCTTGCCCAGGACTGCCTTCTTGTACCTCTGCCACATTGCTCGCATCCGATCATACCTTACCCCAAATGCAGCCGAAACTCTTGTGCATGCATTTGCACCTCCTGCCTGGATTTCTCAAATGCACTCCTCGCCAGTCTCACCAGCTCCACTATTTAAAAGATGCAGCTCATTCAGAACTTTGCCGTCCGCATATTTACCCGGACCGAACTCCGTACCCATGACTGAACGGATCGACTTCAAGATCCTCACACTCGTGTTTAAATCCCTTCTCTCTCTGGCACCTCCCTCCTCACTCCCCAATCCGCCATCCGGCGCCTCCGCTCGATTGTCACCGGCCTCCTGCTCGTCCCTGGCACCCACCCCACCATCGTAGGTCGTGCTTTCAGCCACTACGCCCCCAAACTCTGGAACACTCTCCCTCAATCGCTCCGCCTGGACCCCCTCTCCCCTTTTTCAAGTCCCACCTGAAAACCTTCCTCTTCGACCGTGCTTACGGCCACCTCCCCCCACCCCTGCTCCGCTACTGTTAAGTGCTCTGAGACGCTACCATACGTGGAGGGCGCTATATAAGTGCAAGTTGTTGTTGACATTCCCAAACTTTTTAAAAACTCTATTTCAGACAAGTTAGTTCCAATTTTGAGGGTAAATATTTCCTTCTCCCCAGCTCTCTTTATCTTCTAGTTCATTTAAAGTTAATCGAACCCTCCAGACGATTCTGATTTATGTCATGTGAAAAAGAATGATTTTATCAATGAAAAGAAAATGCTTGCTTCCCTCTGGTGGGAAGAATACCTGTATTCAGTTTATGTTACCTGAACGTCCTCCCGACGTGAAAGGCGCTCTATAAATGTAATTTTGTTGTTGTTGTTAATCCAATAATAGTGACATTAGCTTTCACATCAGGAGGACATCTCAAAGCACTGTACAGGATATACTGTAAAGTGAAGTGACTGTATTTTGTGGGTAATTGCAACAGCCAATTTGGGCACAGCAACGTTCCACAAACAGCCATGAAGCGAATGTCCAATTTTATTTGGTGGACTGTTGGCTAGGACACCAGGAGAAACTTCTTTCTCTTTTTGAATGGTGCCATTAGATCTTTAACGTCCACCTGAACAGGCAGATGGGGCCTCGGATTAACATCTCAACTGAAGGATGACACTTTAAACCATGCAGTACATTCCCAGCCCTGCACTGGAGTGTTAGCTTAGCCAATATAAATTCCAAGTCCGAACGTGGCTCATGAACCTACAACCTTCTGACTCAGAGATGAGATTGGAACCAACTGATCCAGGCTGACGCACAAAGACCCTAAAAACCAAGTAACCAGTAAGGATTCAACAGTATCGTTAAAATTAGGAACATAGGAACAACAACAACTTGCACTTGTATAGCGTCACACACGCAGGGAAGCCAGTTGAATGGAGGTTGTGGGTTGGGGGTAAGCAGGTCAGGGAGGTAGGGAGGTGCCAGGGCATGACGGGATTTGAAAACGAGTGTGAGGATCTTGAAATCGATAAGTTTGGTGAAAGGGAGCCAGTGGAGCGTGGCTAGATTGGTGTGACGGAGTTTAGTACGGGTGAGTATGCGGGCGGCGGAATTTTGTATCAGCTGTATCTTGTGCATGGTGGAGTTGGGGAGACCGGCAAAGAGGGCATTTGAGAGGTCAAGTCAGGAGGTGGTGATGATTGTTTCGGCTGTGTCTGGGGTAAGGTATGGTCGAAGGCGGGCGATGAGGTGGAGGAAGGCGGTCCTGGTCAGGGACCAGATTTGGGGAAGGAAGGATTTGTGGGTCGAATCTGACGCCCTTATTGCATATTGGTTCGGCAAGTCTGAGGGATAGGGCGGGGAGGTTGAGGAGGTCAGAGCTCCATGATAGAAGACTTTGACACAAGCCAACATATTCAGGAGTAGGAGCAGAACAGTAGCAGGTCATTTGGCCCATCAAACATGCTCTGCCATTTTATTAGATTATGGCGGATAAAATTTTCCTGCCTTGTCTCCATATCTCCTAATGTCCATATTAGCGAAGTATTTATCTTATTCCCTCTTAAACACTCCCACATAATCTGCATGAACTGTCCTTTTTGAGGAAGTGAATACCACAAGCCACAATCTCTGAGTAAACTTCTTATTTCACTACTATTTACATCAGTAGGGTTTGTTTACATTTGAGTAAAACCATCGGTCACCAGGTCCAGCTCTAATGTTTAGATGGTGCCTTCTTGTTCTAGATTTTGTAATGCTGTGAATTTCCTTCAATATCTTAAAATACCTTAATTAGATCACCCACAGCCTCCTCTGTTCAAAAGTTACAATTTGCCCAAGCTGTCCTGATAACTACGCCCCTTCATTTATTGTTGAATACATGAGCTGTACATTAAAATGAACTATTATACAAATTTTAAATTTTAAGATTCAGAAAGCTAAACACTATGCAATATAGTATTTAGTATAAAGTTTTGTGCGTTTATTGTTGTGAACTTGTATGAATTTTCGTGATCAATAAATTATGCCTTACTGCAGGTGATGTACAAATTGTCTTGTGCAAAAATGGAAAAGGCTACCGTTTAACTGAAAAGCATGATACATCAAACTCTAATGAACGAAAGCGTATTCTTCAGACTGGTGGACAAATCAGTAAAAATAAAAAATATGGGCTGGTGGATGGACGTATACAAACAACACGGGGACTTGGATACCTTGGAGACGAAATGTTAAAAAAATGTATTATACCATTTCCCTATACTGCCTCTGTCCCCATTGATCCTTCCTGTCAGTTTCTTATTCTTGCTTCAGGTGGATTTTGGAAAGTGCTGTCTATACAACAAGTTATTTCAATTTCATTGCAAGTGCTTTCTTTTTACTCAGGATCTTTTGAGGCAGCTTCTCAAGAGATTTACATTAGTTTATCAGTGGATTCAATACTTAACAGATATTTAGAAAATGATGTTGATCCGTCAACCAAGGAAGATTTACTTCAACAACTTTCAATAAATGAGGAAGAGTTTGAATCTGTTGAACGTTTACTTGAGGAGCTTTCAACATATGATCAATACTCTGACCTTGACTTGAGTGTGGAAAGTATATTGCATGAGCTTATGGAAAAAAAGGATGAAAATGATGACAGGCCAATCATGGAACGCTTAATTGGCTTTTTACAAGATATAGAAAAAAGTAGGACAACAAGCAGGATATCTACAGATGAATCTATTTATCTGCTTTCACCAAACCAAGAACAAAATCACTTTATAACATCGAAGGAGATTTCGCCAATTCAGGAACAAAGTGAAATCAGCGTACCTGAGAAACACTCTACTTTGGGGGTTTTAAACACCAAGGAACATAATAACAGGACGTCAGTGGAAGATTTTGACAAGGAACTTTCAACAAAATTAGAAGGCAATGATAATAGGTCAGCTGAGGCTGCTTCTACAGTGGAAGCACCAGCAAATGAAGAAAATGATAAAAATACATCTGTAGACCAGTCTACCAAGGAGCTTTCACCCAGCAAGGATAAGCACCCATCTGTGTCGTATTCCAAATTGTTGCCAGGAAAGGAAGAAGACAAAATAGATGAGAATAGATTACCTATGAATGCTGCTATTGAGGAACAGGACAATTTGATATCTGTGGAACATTTTTCCAGGTTATCATCCAGAGAGGAAGGTAAAGATACCGGGACACCTATGAAACATTCCACTGAGGAGGTGTTACCCAGTGAGAAACATGCAGATAACAAGGCATCTGTGAGGCATTCTGCTACAGAACTCTCACCCAGAGAGCAACCAAATGATACCAAGATACTTAAGAAACATTCCATACAAGAGGAACACAGTGATGGTGGGACATCTATTAAACAGTCCACTGAAGAGCTTTCACCTGATAAGGAACCCAGTAACATCATGATGTTTACGGACCAAGAATTTGTAGAACTTTCTCCAAATGAGGAATCTATTCACAATGATAGTGGAGAGGATATAACCAAAGAATCAAATAATCTACAAGAATCGGTATTGTTGGCATCAGAAACACCATCTGCCGAAAAAAGTGATGTTGAACAGCTGAATGAAGAGCCTCGTACTGTGACTGGGTGGGAAAATATGAATCTTAAGGGTAAGCCAACACCTAAAATAACAAAACAAAAATGGTATGAAATTATGGCAAATTTGATCAGCAAAAGATTAGTTCAGGCTGCAAAAGAAGCAGGATCTCATGAAAACATATCAGTACTCATGCTGTTGTTTCCTGGATGCGAAAAGGCATATTTTACTGAAGCCACAATGGAAGATAGAGATGTACAGGACTGAAAAAGACCATTGGGGCCCATCTGGCATAACATTTGTTCAACTGCTTGTCAAATGGTATGTTTGAAAGTCACTTCAACTCAATATATAGCTCAGTATAATCAAACGTGATAAAATATTGTTTAATTTAAAAAACAGTTTTTAAACATGCAACTAAAACACTGCATAGGTTTTTCTGTTTATTCATTTTTACATTGTAAAACACAGGAATATCCATTAGAAACTAAATGAGTATGCTGAACCATATATAAGATGATGCTAGGTTTGAAGCCTTAACCATATTGAATAACCTGATCTCATTGGAGAACGGAGTGTTGATTCCTGAATTGCTCTAAGTGTACATGGATTTACGGAGGAGAAAATATTACCCCAGTATTTACTCTTCTGTGTGGTTTTAGAAAGTGTGGTTTGTGTTGTAGGACTTTAGATGTAAAAATATCTCATACTGTTAACGTTAATTATTTTGTTAATTATGAATTATTCACCACGGCGGCCTGGCTCATTTAGTAGCACTATCGCCTGAGTCAGACGGTTGTGGATTCACGTTGGAATTTGGAACTCATCATGCCTTACGCTGACACTTCAACGCGTTGTCGGAGCTACCGATTTACAGATGGGTTGATAATCTAAGGTCCCGCCTGCCTATTCAGGTGGATGTTAAAGATCCCGTGGCACTTTTCGAAATGAGAAGGGAGTTTCTCCAGGTGTCCTGGTCAACAATTCTCAAGACTAAAAAAAGGGTAATTTAGCTCTGTGGGACATTGCTGTGTGCAAATTGTTTACCATGTTCACCTACAAAATAATCATTACTAAATTGTATAGAAAATCCTGTGAAGTGCTTTGAGACATCATCCTCATGTGAAAGTGGCTGTAGCAAATCCATGATTATTATTATCATCTTCAGCAAGCACTATGACTGGATTTGATTGTGATGACCTCTCCCCATAGTGAATAGCCCATATTCACTCTCTAAACTTTAAAAGGAATTTGTTTCAAAATTGAACATTAAGAAGCATGTGCAGAACACTAAAAAGCAGTCTTGGCAAAAACATGTACAGGTACAAGATTTCTTCCTCCCAAAATGATGTGACATTCCATAGCCGTGAAGGTAGAGGCAAGCAATCTATTTATACTGTCTTACAGAAAGTTTGGAGTCAGCAGCAGCACTGGATCGTTGAAGGTTTGAACCTGAGCTGGGAGTTGGATTTGGAGAGTGGAGGTGATTGGGGCTAAGGGCGGTGGGGGAAAGATGACTGAAGGCACAGTCAAAGAGGAAGATATTGAGACAGACCTTGAAGGAGGTGAGGGAAGGGCAAGGTGGAGGGACTCCGGGATGGAGTTGTATAGTGTGGCGGCAAACTTCTGTAATTATCCATTTAATTTTCTTAACAGTTTTGAAGAGATAATTATTCTCTCAAATCTGTTAAGAAATAACTTTTTCTTAATCACAATATTTGTCTGAAGGAAAACAGGAGTGTATTCAGGTTTGAAAATTAAACATTTCAGCTTATATCCACCTCAGTCAATTGTGACCATGAAAGGTTTTGTTTCAAAGTCATAACTCGTGGATTCCTGTAGCTCAGAGCAATCACCTGTAAGCAAGAGACCTGGGTTCGATTCCTGGAAGGGTGCAATGTTGGGAAAGTTTCCTTACTCCCCAGGCCTCTGTTTACCTAGCAGTAACTAGGAATCCGGTTGTTAGTCAATTGGTGGATTGCTTTTCTGGGAATAATGATCCTTTTAAAAAAAGATAAAATTAATTTGGTCACTCAATCCACTACTGTTCCCACCCCATAAAAAACCGCTGTCATCACTCCTATCCTTAAAATTCCCTCTCTGGACCCTTCTCTACTCCTTAACTACCGCCTCATCTCTAACCTCCCCTTCCTCTCCAAAGGTCCTGGAACGAGTTGTTGCTTCTCAGCTTTGTTCCTTCCTCTCCCGCCACTCCCTTCTCGAACCCCTCCTATCGGGTTTCCATGCCGCCCACAGCACAGAAACAGCCCTGGTCAAAGTGACAAATGACATTCTCTCCATCTGCGACCAGGGCTCCCTCTGCCTCCTCATCCTACTTGGCCTCTCTGCTGCTTTCAACACAGTCAATCACTCTATCCTCATCCACCACCTCTCCTCTCACCTCAACGCCACTGTCCTTGACTGGTTCAGATCGTACCTCTCACACCGCCTGCACTTCATCGCCACAAACGGCTTCTCCTCTAGCCCCTGGATCTTCTCTTGTGGCATTCCTCAGGGCTCTGTCCGTGGTCCCCTCTTCTTCAATATCTATATGCTTCCTCTCGGTGACATCATCCGCAGACATGGGGTCAACTTCCACATGTATGTGGATGACACCCAACTCTATCTCTCTGCCTCCACCCTTGACTCCAGGACCACAGCTGGTCTGTCAGTCATCAAGTCCTGGATGAGAGCTAACTTTCTTCAGTTGAACATCAACCAGACCGAGGCTCTCCTGATTGGCTCCGTCAGCGCCTCCTCACCTCAAGCGCTGACAGCATCACGATCCATGGTTGCACACTCCGCTTTACTAAGCCAGTCCGGAACCTTGGGGTCTCGTTTGACTCTCAACTATTCTTTCTACCCCACCTGTGCCATGATCCGCTCTGCCTGACCCTACATCCGCAACATCGCCCGGCTCCACCACTGTCTCACACCGCAGGCCACCAAAACCCTCATACATGTCTTCATTACATCGAGGCTCGACTATGTAAACTCATTGCTTGTCGGCCTCCCCAACTTCTCCCTTCACAAGCTGCAGATCATCCGTGTCCTCTCCCGCACTAGCCTCCGCAACCCTGTCACCTCCATCCTCGCCCGACTCCACTGGATTCCTATCACACAGGATACAGTTCAAGACTTTAGTCCTCACCTTCAAAGCCCTCCATGGGTCTTGCTCCCCCCTACCTCTGCGACCTCCTAAACCCCTACCATCCTGTTCGCTCCCTCCGCTCAGCGGGCTCCGGGCTGCTTCATGTCCCCCGCCTTGCTCGGCCCACTATTGGTGGGCAGGTCTTCAGCCACTCCACCCCCACCTCTGGAACTCCATCCCACAGTCCTTCCGCCTCGGCCCCTCCCTTGCTACCTTTAAGACCCATCTCAAGACCTTCCTCTTCGACCGTGCTTCCCCCTGCTTCCCCCCCCGCCCTCCACCTTCCCCCACCCCCTCCACCTTCCCCTACCCCGAACCCCAGCTCGGGTCCATCACTCTTGTTTGTCCAGCGTCTTGGGATCCCTCCAATGTGAAAGGCCCTTTACAAATGTAATTTTGTTGTTGTTTATTGGACACTGCTGTGCGCAATTGGCTGCTGCGTTTCGTCCACAAATATAGTCAATTCACTTTACAGTATATTCTGTGAAGCGCTTTGAGACATCTTGCTGTTGTGAAAAGCGCTATGTCAAATGCAAGGTTTATTATTATTATATTAAATTACAGAAAAATGCTACTCTTACACTTTATAGCCTCAATCCTCAAGTCTTTAAGATGAAGCTTCATTTAGCAATTTGAGGTTTACTTCTGGTTACAGAAAATACATCATCAGGAACATTGAAACCTTGCACCTTTATCACTTTTATGTACCCAAAATGCCAGACATCATCTATTAAAGACTTTACATAGCAACACATTTGCTTCTAATAATCACAGCTTCATGAATACCAGTTTACATTAACTTTAAAGTGTGCAGATCAAGATTAATTATGAATCAGGTGAAGTATTTAGTTATTTATAGACAGGATTTTTCATTTTTTCTAGAGGCAATGACCATTTCAAATTTTGAAATACAAATCCTCAGGTTAGATTGTTAATAGCAAATATAGAAAGGTAGGCTTTAAAGTCAGTGATTCTTTTGTATACATTTAATGTGGCAAATTTTCTCCCCAATGCCAACATCTCTTTTGGTTTGATCTTTTGTTGGGATGCAGTTTGACAAGTGCTTCATAACCTGGAATACCCCATCCAAGTGGCCGTTGTTCATGTATGAGTTTGTCAGTATAAACTAACCACCTGACTGTAGAGGGCAAGTTTGACCTTCCCTCATCCAGCTGTCACACACATGCACAACCAGGAGAATGAGCAATAGCACGAACCCCAGAAAGGATGAGGCTAGTTTAGCCTTATATGCAACCCAGCTGAGACCAAACCTCAGCGAGGACCACAAAACTGAGCAGAGCACAGGATTTGAACAACCTCCGGTAGCTGCAGCTTTGTCTCATACACCACAAGACTTGTTCTCACATCAGTGACTCGCAAGTGCTTTTTATGGTAGACCTTTGAGATCTTACAGAAGCTTAGCTAGTTCTAACATCTCGTTTTTTTTCAATATGTAAACATCAATCAGAGATGAGAATTGGAAAAAGTGAAAGAATTTAAGCTGGAGCCTTAGGCAAAGTAAAAGAAAATTACAGATTCTGGCCAGTCTACAAGAACCCATTGCTGGTTTTCTCAGTGAATCCCCTTTACCAATTGTATAAAGGGTGGATAATTATGTAACACACAGCAATTATGCCACCCTCTCTCAACCATCCTGCAGTTATACTGAATGTTACTGCAATTTTGTTTTAAAAAATATGGGATGGGAGAAGTATAACCATGGTGCCCAACTTGCAAATTTGCTGGCTAGGTGCAAGCCTGAATTTCTTTTCATGGTTTTAATGAAATGATCCACTTTCATTACATTACATCCCAGCTTGACTATGCTCACTGGACTTCTCGACTTTTCTCTCCACAAGTTGCAGATTATTCATAGCTCGTGTCCCCTCCCACACCAGGCTCCATGACCCCATCACACCTACCCTCACCCAGCTTCACTGGCTCCCCCTCCCTCAGAGGATCGAGTTCAAAATTCTCATCCTCACCTTCAAAGCCCTCCATGGTCTTGCCACCTCCTATCTCTCCGACCTGCTAACCCCTTATCAACCTGTCCCTTCCCTCCGCAGGCTATGGCCTGCTCCATGTTCCCTGTCCACCTCACCATTGGTTGGGTCTTCAGCCTCTGTGCCCCCACTCTCTGGCACTCCATCCCACATTCCCTTTGCCTCACTCCCTCACCTCCTTCAAGGCACACCTTAAAATCCTCCTCTTCGACCATGCCTTCGGCCACCCTCCGACCCTCTCCGAACTCCACCTTCCCTGATCCCAACCCCCACAGCTCGAGTCCTAATCCCCGACTGTCCAGCACCTTGGGATGTCCTGCTGACATGAAAGGCGCTTTACTAGTGTAATTTGTATTGTTACCTTCAAGGCCCTCCATAGATTTGCTCCACCCTACCTCTCCGATGTCATAACCCCATATCAGCCTGTCCGCTCCCTCAGCTCGGCAGACACCAGCCTGCTTCAGGTCCCTGCACTTCCCGCCCCACCATTTCGGGCATCTCTGCCCCCACACTGGAACTCTATCCCTCAACCTCACCCCGCCTTACCTCCTTAAAGTCCCGTCTGAAGACCTTTCTTTTCAATAGTGCCTTTGGCCACCCCCCTACCCTCCTTCCCTTCTGACCGCAACTCTCAGGTCGGGTCCAGCTCCCAGGCACATCTTTCCGACATGAAGGGCGCTATACATGTGTAATTGGTTGTTTTAATTAGGTAATTCTCTTTTACACACAATTTCTACAATATGCATCTTAAAACCTCAATATGACCACATATGATATAGTGTTATTGTTGGCCCTCTGCTATGATGGCTATACGTGCCTAGTCCAAGTGATTGGAAGTTATACAATGATTATAAATGATGGCTGTTCATAAGTTTTCTTATATATGCCTGCTATTGATAATTAGTTCAGAAAATTGTTACAAAGAACCACAGGACCTCAAATGATAGTACTGCAAGTGTCCCTGCTCCTGCTGGAAGTTTCACCCACACAAAACTGTAGATCAGCCTGGTGCTTTGAAGGTGGCTGATATTTCTTTATTTTTGTCTTACAATGATATTAAACATAAGGGTTTAAGGAAACTAGCACAGCATCAATGACTAGTGTAACCTCAACCTGAAAAAATCTATGCCTGGTCAGGTTTTTATTACAGATCCACGTGGAGTCCTGTAGCTCAGTGGTTAGAGCACTCGCCTCACAAGCAAGACCTGGATTCAATTCCCCCACACACCTGATAATAATCCCTCAAGAAAAAACAAAATCAATAATAAATTAGTCACTTCAATCCACGACTGTTTGTGGGACATTGCTGTGCACAATTGGCTGCTGCGTATCGCTCACATATATAGTCAATTCACTTTACAGTATATTCTATGAAGCACTTTGAGACGTCTAGAAGACGTGAAAAGTGCTATATCAAATGCAAGGATTATTACTACTTTACGACGATAACACCACCGATACAAAAAAGATTTTCATATAAAGATTCTGCAAAAGGGATTTAAATTTTAATATGTAAGTTTTGGAACTGTAGCCATTAGGAAACTGATTCAGTAATATACTATTCTAACTGCATTGCTTTGTGTCATATAATTTGAAAATGAGCCAAGGTTGTTTTGAGATATTTAATGCATTCTAATCCATAAGTTGTCAAAATGATTTAACACCAACATTTTGAATATATTTATTTACAGGTATATTTTAGGAAATTGATTAGACCTTTAATCTCTAACAGGTGAATAAATACAAAACTTGCAATGGTTACATTTTAGTTCTGATATACTGCATTAACATGGATTGAGCCAGAGGAGGAATAGTTTACATCAGGTAAAGGTTACGCTTTTTGTTGATCTTATTTACTAACTATCTCACCATTGTTAAGTCCATTTCGCCTTTCTCCTCCAAAACACTTCACTTTAATGCAGCCACTGTAAACTTTTTGTGCTATTGGTTTATTGTCTGATAATTCACCTTTCTGCAAACCTAACTACAAATATGATGCATTTCAATTTGTAAACATTTTACTATAACAAAAACACTTGGTAAGTTGTTGAAAAATATTGAATACATGGTCATTACTTATACTACATACATTTTTAGAGTGCCCTAGGTCATTTATATCATAATTATAAAGTACTTATAACCCTCTATAGCAGATCATGTGATCTGCTTCAATTAGTTTAGTTTTAATATGATTTTTTGAATGCAGCTTTTCTACAGGAGCAGTCCCATAAACGTACATGTAAATACAGACCAAGTCATAATACCCTATATACAACATATGGATCCAGTAATCTCAAAGTAATGATGTGAGAAAATATACATGAGGAAAGTTAGTGCAAGGCGTGGTTTTACACAATGACCTGCTAAAATGGAGTTCAATTCCACCCTAATTGTACTCTGCAGACCAAATTCATAATGGAGCAAAACATTTTAAATATTTCAATTATGTTAGCTAAAGTTGGTTTTAATTATATATACTGTACATCTAATAAAATTACCTTTTGAAGGAGCAATAAGCAGAATGTTACTGCTTACAATTAACAACTGGACGGTAGCCAGATTGATGAGAATAGTTTGCAAGTTGCATTAAACTGAACACTAATTTAAGCAGGCTTTAAGGTTTCATGAGATTTTAGTTTGTACCTACAGAAGGCAAACAAATTTCAAGCCTTCTGATGAATGATGCATGCATCTACCAACTGAGAAAAAATGTTTTGCATTTAAAAAGGTCTGAAGACATATATCTTGTATTAGAAACAACTATATGCTTTCCACTCTGAGGTTTGGAAGTGACAAAGGTCTTGTGTTAACACCTGTTTGCTCCCATTACAAAAGCAGCAGTGAAGTGTATACTAAGAGATGGAGTCACAGTAGAAACAGCTCTAGGTACTACAGCACTGGCTCTTCGTCTGTTGGGTGGGCTCATGAAGATCTACTCCTCTGCTTCGGGCACTGTTTAGTCCTGCATTCTGAGGCTCACTCTTGGGCAGTTTCTTTGCTGTAAGTATCATGGCAGATATTAAAAATCTAGAATTACAAGTACTATACAAAACCACTGCAAATATGCATGCTTAAATTTCTTGTTAAATTATGGAAAAATATTTAAAATTTGATTGCATTCCAATTTTCAAAGAAGTTACTTTTAGTAGCAATCATTGCACCAGCCCTTAGTCATTCATGAGATGAATAACCAATTCATCTGGATTGTTGGCCAGTATACTCAAATTGCATTCACTTTTCAAATAAGGTCATGCTATCTTTCCTGGCAACTTCAATAGGCTGGCAGGATGTCGGCTTAATGCAACTCCACATATTTCCCTAATATATCATTATAAACAGAATACAAGTAAGATGCATTTCCAATTATATTTGGTGGGGGCTGGAGGCATCTGTGGAAGGCTGAAGGGAGCCAACAGTCAGTAACTTTATTTTACCGTGAAAAATTCCACAATAAAACTTCAGCTACAGAATGTATATGTGCACATACATTTCAGCGTGTAGCCTAGTCAGAATGTGTATGTGGTTGGGGGTAGAGATAACAGCAGAATAGTGCCATCCTCTGGGTTTGAAGCTGTACACTTGTTGACAAGTGCTCAACACAATAAGCTAAACTCCCAACAGCTAGGGTGTGGTCTGGCTACACAAGTACCTTAAAAGTCACTAAAGTGTATGGTTGCTATATAACTTTATACCCCTTAGTTATTCTGGCACTATGTCCAGGTTTCACTTCTAATTACTCTTGTACGAGTTATACTGTATTGGATTATCAATTGATTTTATAAAGCTTACCTATTGCCAAAAATATTTCATTCACATTCATTGAGGTCTTTGCAGATGTCTCCATGAATAGTAAACTGTTGTCATCTGAATAAGACTGTGCTTCCTGCAAAGGATCAATTTGTTAGAAAGAACTTTTCTTAGTCTGTAAGTGAAGCTACAGCAAACATTCTTGTATGCTTTAGAAAATACATGGTTGGAATGCATCCAGTTTTTCTGCCACAGAACAAACATTTCTTTGTGTATTATGCACTACATGAACGTTTAGTAAAGCTTACAAGAAAAAAGAACATGAGGTCATTCTTGTAGGCATCAAAAAATATACATTACAAAGGATATCCAATACTAGAAGGGTGTTTAGGTTGGGAAATGTATATATTAGTATAGGGAAATAGATCTTTCCATATTGTTCCTTAAATTTTTAACCTTCACCTCTCTCCTTTCATGGTAACAATTAGTGCTTGGGTACAGTTTCACAGCACCTGCAAAAATATCCAATATCTCATCCAAGTAACCATTCTTTGTACCACAAATGTCAGTAGGCTATTCAACCACTGGAAGAGTAGTCTTAAAACAAAAGCCTGGCCCTGCTGGACCAGACATGTTAACTTTTATTGCAAGTGGAGGCCACTGGACAGCAATCGGGAGCAGGAACCAACAGTTCCTCCCTAACAAAGCCATGCTGATACAACTCTGGAGCTTCCCAAATATGTATGGAAAAAAATACATATAATTGTATAGAAATATTTAAAAAATCGTTTTAAGATGGAGCTTAAACAGATTTTAAAAAAAATACTCAGGAACTAGAAAAATAATTTCTCTATTCCTTTACATACCTGGAATTCTACTGCTCTCTTGTTTGCCAGATCAGCCTTGTTCCCTGCTAAAGCTATTACTATGTTAGGGCTTGCTTGCCTCTGAAGTTCCTTAACCCAGTTCTTGGCTCGTGCAAAAGTGTCCTGCAAAGAAATAATAGACAAGTGAATAGTAAATACAAAAATAACAACAACTTGCATTTATATTGCGCCCTTCATGTGGGGTCGCATCTCGGAGCAAAACTACTGTGTATATCTATAAATAACTGGAAATCGAGGATATAATATAATTCTTCCATTTAATATAGCCTCATTGAGATGTCTCAAAGCCTTCACAGAATTTACTGTAAAGTGTAGTGACTATTTGTAACTAAACATGGCAGCCAATTTGTGCGCATCAGAAATTAGCTTTCAAGGGAACAAGATAAATACCCAAAAAGGAGTAAACTACAGGGGTATGAGGAAAAAGGGACTTGAATGCTTTGCTCTTTAAAAGCAGACACAATGAGCTAACTGGTCTTCTCCCCTCTCGACTCTCTTCCCCCTCCTCGCTCCCTCCCTCCCCTCCCCTCCCCCTGACCATTTCCCCCCTCCTCGCTCCCTCCCTTCCCTCCCCTCACCCTGACCATTTCCCCCCTGCTCGGGTCATGACCCAACTGTGCAGCGCCTTGGGACGTCCTCCTGACGTGAAAGGCGCTTTATAAATGGAATCGTGTTGTTGTTGTTGTTCTTCTGTGATATAAATTTCTACGGTTCTATGAATGACAATTTGTTATCTTGTTGGCCAGGACACTGAGTATATGTAGATATCTGTCCTGGCTCACAGGACAGAAGTGGCCTACCAAATATTTGCTCCCAGTCCAAGCGAGTCTTCAAAATCAATGCCTTGTTTCCAGTTGCAATTCAACAATTATCCGTGAAGCTCTTGCAGATTAAGGACCGTCAATTTTTGCACCAAAACACCAGTAGCGTTCTGCACACCTGTCATTTGCCATGTGATCAGTTACATCACACCATAAAAGGGCTGCTGGTGATCGTACATTGTAATACCGTGGGTTGGAATCTTATGGACACCAACTCCCTGGTTATAAAGGGGATAAACTATCTTCACTAGCACTACCTCCATCCATTTGCTGCTCTTACACTTCAGAGTAGTTTTAATACACGCGTAATCATAATAATCCTTGTGTTTGATATAGCACCTTATCACGTCTTCGAAACATCTCAAAGCACATTACAGAATAAACTAAAGTGAATTGACTATTTGTGTGCAAAGGAGTAGTTGAAAGAGTAGAACTGAAACAAATACGCATATGGATCTTCAATCAGTTTACACTGGTGACTTTCATCACTTTTAAGAACTAACAAAAAATTTTTTAAAGACACTGCTACCTGTAAAAAATAAAACTGATTCATGCAGATTTATATATAATACCAAACTAGGATTATATTCAAAGTTGTGAGACTTGAGTCACTTGACTAAGTTAAACCATTAACTTTTGTCTATTTGTACATTCCTTAAAAATCAGAAATCTTGCTTAACCTTGCAGCTTCTAATTTTATATACATAATATACGTCAGACTCAGTTTCTTAATTTCAGCGAAATTGCTTGTGGAAAGCTAAAGCTATACTTGTTAGTCAAAAATACAGAATAAGAGCTACTGTAATGATTGGTATTTCTATACAAGTGGGAAATATATTTTAGATCAATGTGTTTTTAGAACAGCCTGCAATATGAAGAGTACATTTGTAATTAATTCCACTTACATCATTTGTAATATCGTAGACCACTATGGCAGCCTGCGCTCCTCGATAGTACATTGGGGCCAAGCTGTGATACCTTTCTTGTCCCGCCGTGTCCCAGATCTCAAATTTCACCGTTGTGTCATCGAGGCATACAGTCTGAGTTAAGAAGGCAGCTAGAATATTAAAACCCCCCAAAGCATTAGTTATTCCAATCTTCAAATAAAAACAAAAATGTCAATTGCGAATGCAAAGTATGAATGCTTCACATGCAGTATACTGACAAGTGTCAAATGTTTTCATACAATACTCAGCAACATAATGGCATACTGTATCAAACATCCTACTGTATGCATTACATCTATTAATTAGGTCCAAGAGGATTTAACTAGCCTGGAGCACACTTGCATCAAATCATTTGACAGTTAGCAATATTGCAGTTTGTACAGAGTAATGTTCCAACTAGCATATTAGGAGGACCACCTCTTCTTTTTGAATGGAATCTTTTAAGAGGCAGACGAGACCTCAGTTTAATATCTCATCTGAAGGACAGCAAGTCTCACAATGCAACTCTCAAAACTACATATTGGAGCCTGGACTGTGAGGTCAAAGTCTCAACATGGGACTTGAATCTACAACTTTCTTTCTGACTCATGAGGCTAGAGTGCTACCAACTGAGCTAGGCTGACAAGTAGAAAAACTGTGCCAATTATCATGCAATGCGGTCAGCAGGTAATTAACTTTACTAATACTAGGATTACTTGTTTCCATACCTAGTAGTTTAAATGAAAGACTGTGGTCTCAAAGAGGCCAACATGCTTCCTTTATTTTGTACTGGTAAAAATAGTTGGCAACAATATAAATATTTGCATTTATATAGCACTCTTGATCTAGGATAGCGATGAAGTGCTTCGGTTGGATAAGGTAAACAGGCTTGGCTAATGGGGTATTACACTTATATGAGGTTTTCTGGTGTGGTTAATGCAGAGATTGACTTGCATTAAACTGGTCAAAAGGAACTGGGCTTGGGTTTACATTGCTTATTGAAGGTGCATTCACACTTCAGTGCAGAAAACAATAAAGTTAAGCTGCAAAAATGAAACCACAAAATATGACCACAGTTGGGCTTGCAAAATAATGCAAGTTGTTGGAGTAGAGGGTTGGGTAGAGTAGAAGAATATAAAGCAGGCACAACAAATTAAAGAATTGAGTGAAAACTGGCTAAAACTTCAAGGGATGGGAAATAAGGATAGATCAAAGAATTGAAAATTAGTTTGAACAGGAGATGCCATTTCTTGGAAGCTCTCAACAATAAGCCATCCAACACACATTGCATGAGCTTTAGGTACAGATTCTTGATAGTCTCAAGGGGTTGGGACCCAATGCTGAGTCCAAACCCAACAGAGTTACACATACGCATGGAATGCACACTCTTCCCCTAGAGGGATTCACCCTGTTTAACAAACTGCAGGAAGCATTGGGAACTTGCCCCAAGGTGACATGCCCTGTGGCGGTCTCGGTAGTTTGGTTTCTGAACCAGGCAAATCTGCAGTATTCCAGGGCACTGCTGATGACAGCACAGCCAGCCTCATCAGCAGGACCTAGAATGGCAAACCAGTCACTAGGGACATGGAGTCATCCCAGCTCAGCTCTGGTTAACCCTGCAAGCCAACGCTCTAACTGGTAGGGTGGTCCTAGCTGGACAAGCAGCAGGAAAGCTTGCCAGACAGCAAGATCAATGGTAAGCTACGTGGTTTTAGCTGGTTAGATTCCTGCAGTATCTCAATGCACACTCTCGGGTCCCCAAGCCTTGGCTCTTGCTAACCTGTGCCTAACATTTTCCACAAATAGGTAAGCAGGATGTGTCCCTCCAAGAAGAGTCCGCATACCATTCCAACAATCTATCTCTGGGACTTCCATGTGCAGGTGAGATGCCTGGGAATCTCAGCATGGTGATGGGTTTCTGCATGTGTCAAGACACCCAACTGACCAAAATAAATCGGAACAGGTTGCCGAGACCCAAGGCTTAGGGTCCCCCAGAGTGTGTTGGTGTATTGTCGGAATTCAGTCAGCGAAAACCACTTTGCCTGCCATTTGCCTGTCAGACAAACTTCCTGCTGCTTGTCAAGGTACTTATGGCTTTGGCTTGCAGGTTAACAGAAGCATTGGATACTGTAAAGTGAATTGACTGTATATTCTGTGGGTGAAAGATGGCAGCCAATTACACACAGCAGTGTCCCACAAACAGTCGTGGATCAAGCGACCAAATTCTTTTTTTTTTTTAATTTGAAGGGAATATTACCACCAGAAAAGTGATCCGCCAATCGATTAATAACCGGGCTCCTATATACTGCAAGGTGAACAGAGGAGTGTGGAGTAAGGAAACTTGCCCAACGTTTACCCTGTCGGGAATCAAACTCAGGTCCTCTTGGTTGTGAGGTAAATTCTCTAACCACTGAGCTACAGTACAAGGTACAAGGAACTCTCTACAACTCCTGATGTAGCACAACTCGTGGAGTCCTATAGCTCAGTGGTTAGAGCACTCGCCTCACAAGTGAGACACCTGGGTTTGATTCCCGGCAGGGTGAAACCTTGGACAAATTTCCTTACTCCACACGCCTGATAATCTCTCGCAAAAAAATAAAATAATTTGGGCACTAAATCCACGACTGTTTGTGCGACACCGCGCTGCTCAATTGGCTGCCGCGTTTTGCCCACAAAATATAGTCAATTCACTTTACAGTATATTCTGTGAAGCACTTTGAGTCATTTAGAAGACGTGAAAAGCGATATATTAAATGCAAGGATTATTATTATTAACTCAGTATTGTCCTACCCCTGCTCAGATACACATTATATATAAATAAATAATCCTTGCATTCTTACTGCCGAAACCTTTTTGAATAAAACTTCAGTTCTTAAGATTGGAGATTTTTTTTTAACTAAAGTACATCTTACCACCAATAGTACTTTCTTGATATTCATGGAATTGCCCTTTCACAAAACGTAGCACTAAACTAGATTTGCCAACTGCAGACTCGCCAAGAAGAACAAGCTTAAATTGGCAGATTTTGTTAGCGGCAGCTGGTCCATTGGGTCTTCCTGCTCCTCCACGACTTGCCATGTCCAGAATTACTTGTTCCAATTAGTTTCTGTTCCTGGTATCCTGGTCAGTTTTACGCTGGGGGAAAAAAAAAGAAACGTTAGTGAAAAGATGTCATATATACCCAAATAGACATTTTTAGGTATGCACAGATTATTTTCCTACTTACAAGTTCAACTCCTGAAGGAAAATATAACTTAAAATTAAATCCTCACAGAATACACAAATGAACCCATGCTACCTTGGATCCGCCCAATTTATTTAGTCTCCCAAGGAACAATTCAGATTCTCCCTTGAATTTACTCTTCCAATGGGTGAGAAATCTCCCCTTCAAAATCTTCTAAATTGAACCTTTTAAAATCAGGTTTAAATTTACATAAAAATGCAAGACCAGTATTAATTCCACTTTATTATTAATACAAAAATATCCATAAAAAAATTATTGTAGTATGGAACTTGTGTTTTATGTTTCAACTTCTACACACAAGGAACAAATATTTCGCTACCTAAGATTGTTAGTAGATTCATCGAGTCACAATGCAGTTCTGTGTTCTCGTTCTCCCTCCCCCCGCTCAGCATACATTATTTTGCCTTTTGTGCCATTTCTATGGAATATCCATCACCACCATAGTTGCCTCCTACATCCTTTAGGGTAAAATAATCAAAGATCAAATTTTACTTCCCACCCCCATAGAAGTTATCCATGACCTTCACTTTGGTTCCTATTGCCTGTGATTTAATTAAGCCTGAACTGCCAATCCACCTTCTCTGAGTTACAATCTGTTTTCCTCCCTCTCACCCACTATCACCGCCATGAAACCCACCACCTGCTGCTCCCCCCCACCAACTTACTGGTCACTCAGCTCCCCCTCCTCTGCCCACTACTGACTGATGTCATCAACAAGTCACTCTCCTCCGGATCAGTCCCTGCCTCCCTCAAAACTGCTGTCATCACCCCCCCTCCTGAAAAAACCCTCCCTGGATCCCTCAAACCCCAGCCACTACCGCCCTATTTCTAACCTGCCCTTCCTCTCAAAAGTCCTAGAACGCGTCGTTACCAACCAACTCCGCGCACACCTCTCCTCCCACTTCAAACCCCTCCAGTCCAGTTTCCGCCCTCCCCACCGTACAGAGACGGCGCCCACCGTACAGAGACGGCGCCCACCGTACAGAGACGGCGCCCACCGTACAGAGACGGCGCCCACCGTACAGAGACGGCGCCCACCGTACAGAGACGGCGCCCACCGTACAGAGACGGCGCCCACCGTACAGAGACGGCGCCCACCGTACAGAGACGGCGCCCACCGTACAGAGACGGCGCCCACCGTACAGAGACGGCGCCCACCGTACAGAGACGGCGCCCACCGTACAGAGACGGCGCCCACCGTACAGAGACGGCGCCCACCGTACAGAGACGGCGCCCACCGTACAGAGACGGCGCCCACCGTACAGAGACGGCGCCCACCGTACAGAGACGGCGCCCACCGTACAGAGACGGCGCCCACCGTACAGAGACGGCGCCCACCGTACAGAGACGGCGCCCACCGTACAGAGACGGCGCCCACCGTACAGAGACGGCGCCCACCGTACAGAGACGGCGCCCACCGTACAGAGACGGCGCCCACCGTACAGAGACGGCGCCCACCGTACAGAGACGGCGCCCACCGTACAGAGACGGCGCCCACCGTACAGAGACGGCGCCCACCGTACAGAGACGGCGCCCACCGTACAGAGACGGCGCCCACCGTACAGAGACTGCACTTGTGAAAGTCACAAACTACATCCTCTCTATCTGTGACCAGGGCTCCCTCTGCCTCCTTGTCCTGGACCTCTCCGCTGCGTTCGACAGTCGATCACACCATCCTCCTCCACCACCTTTCCTCCGTCATCCAGCTCAGTGGGACCGCACTCGCCTGGTTCGTGTCCTACCTCACAAACTACCAGCAGTACATCTCCACAAAAGGCTTCTCCTCCCGCTCTCACCCGGTTACCTGTGGGGTACCCCAAGGATCCATCCTTGGCCCTCTCCTCTTTCTGATCTATATGCTCCCTCCTGGGGATGTCATCCGCAGACATGGGGTACTCTTCCACATATATGCAGATGACATTCAACTCTATTTTTCCACCTCTCTTTGCGACCCCCAGTCCCCTGATGTTCTGTCAGGCTGCCTGTCAGATCTCAGGGGCTGGATGGGCGCAAATTTCCTTCAGCTGAACGTTGACAAGACGGAAACCATACTCTCGTCAACGTCTAAATTCTCACAGCTCTCACCTCCTCCACCTACCCGCCCTCCCCCTAAAACTCTCCAAACCCATTCGCAACCTAGGTGTCAGGTTTGACCCTCAATTATCTTTCCTCCCCCACATCCGGTACCTTACCAGCACCACCTTTTTCCACATCCGACGCATCGCCCGTCTCCGCCAATACCTCTCCCCAAAAGCCGCTGAAACCCTGGTCCATGCCTTTGTCACCTCTCAGCTGCACTACTCTTAACGCCCTCCTCGCCGGTCTCCCATCCACTGCCATCCACAAAATCCATAACTCTGCCGCCCGCATTCTCACCCGCACGAAACTCCGCTCCCCGATCACCCCAGTCCTTGCCAGACTGCACTGGCTGCCTATCCCAGAGAGGATTGACTTCAAGATCCTCACCGTTGTATTCAAGTCCCTGCACTCCTCTGCACCCTCCTACCTCTCTGACCTCTCTCCTCAAAACAGTACCCATTGCCTTTGTCCCTCCGGGTCTGGTCTCCTCCTCATCCCCCGAGTCCTCCGCTCCACCCTCGGCGGCCGTGCCTTCAGCCACTATGCCCCGAGGCTCTGGAACTGCCTTCCTCACTCCCTTCGTCTCGCTCCCTCCCTTCCCATTTTCAGGTCTCTGGTGAAGACCTTTATTTTTGACCGCGCCTTTGGACACCTTCCTCCCCCCCCCCCCACCAGCTCAGTCCCGGGATCCGTTACTGTAAAGTGTTCTGAGATGCCGTCCGGCGTGGAGGGCACTATATAAATCCAAGGTGTTGTTCTTCAATTATCGAACACATTTAGCAAGGGTTTATACCCAAGCCGGGGGTTGGAATCAAATCACTTTTATGAAGAATTCATTTATGCTATCTGCCATCCCTTGGTCATTCAACATTATTTCCCATGCAACAAACAGGCATTGTGTCAAATACTGTAGCAAAAATCATGACGATTCACTATTCAAATACTTATAAAGCGTGCTCTACCGTCTTGGGTCAAAATCACCATTTATTATTTAGAAACCGATGTTTATAAAATAAAGAATTGAGGATTACAAGAATCAAGCTGCAGGTGGCCATGCAAAAACTATAAGACATGCATCATTTTAACCCTAATAAAACCAGGGAACGTTTACCAGAATTGGTAAGATTACTTCATCTTTTCAAAAGGTGAATGTTTTGATTTGAAGGCTAGCACCCAATTTTCATTAATAGGTAAATACATTTTAGAGGAAAAGGGTTCAGCTGAAAGCAGGAAGAGAACACAAAAACAAGTATTCCTTAGCTAGAATATGGCAGACCAGTGGGAAATTATGAGCATAGCTTTCTGCTTCACAGAAATTTCAGTTTTATTTAACATGGAACAGAAAAAAGAACACTGCCCTGATTAATTACAATCGACAGCAATCGTGTCCTGTTGTCCTTCAGGTTGAATCCTCATTCTAAATGTCCTACATTCAGAATCTCTATTCTCAATCTCACGTATTTATTTTATCTTTCAAACAAGCAGCATTCCATCAACCATAACCTGGGCCAATAGAAAAGTATAGAAATATTTGCCCCAAAGTGCAGGGAGATTTATACATTTTGTGGGAAATTGAGGGTAGGGGTCTGCAGAAAATGGTGGGGCGTTGATTGGTGCTAATGAGGTACATTTCACTGATGACAGTTTTCACTTTATTGATAGAAACTAAATATGAGGAAATATCACATATTAGATTGTTGGAAAAAAATATTAATTGCTTCTTTTTTAAAAAAAATGGGTGGCTTTTTGGGGGAGAGGGTGGACATCAGCAAAGCTACGGGAGCTCTCAGGGCCCAGCAACGCACACAGGCCTAGAGAATGACACAGACAGACACACACAAACTCACAGTCACAGGCAGGCGGGCGCACAGACACGCGCACAGACACGCGCGCACACATTCTCAGTGAGACGCACACTTACATAGAGACACTCACAAACACATAAGGAGACACACAGGCACATCCATAAACACGAAGAGGGAGATACAGACATACAGACACTCGCAAGTAGACACACACACACACACACACACATAAACACACACTCACAAATCCTTATAGAGAGAAATACACAGATAATCATACACATTCACACACTCACAAACACACAACAGCGGGGCCTCCGAGTGAAGCCCATTTACTGCTTGCACTGCATTGCATATGCACGTCCAGAGCTGTCCCGCCCACAGTGACATCAGATAAACAGCCGGGAGGCCCGAAGAACCTACATTTATAATAATAATCCTTGCATTTGATATAGCGCCTCATCACATCTTCGAGACGTCTCAAAGCGCTTCACGGAATATACTGTAAAGTGAATTGACTGTGTATTTTATGGGTGAAACAAAGCAGCCAATTGAGCACAGCAGTGTCCACAACCAATTATGGATTGAGAGACCAAACAATTTCTGTTTATTTTGAAGGAATTATTACCCCCGGAAAAATGATCTACCAATCGACTGACAAACAGGTTCTTACTTACTGCTCGGTAAACAGGTGTGTGGAGTAAGGAAACTTACCCAACATTTTGCCCTGCACAGATTCGAACCCAGGTCTCTCGCTTGCGAGGCAAGTGCTCTCACCACTGAGCTACAGGACTCCCGGGTTATAGTGGGTTTATAGCGTATTCCGCGGAAAAAGTGAAACCGCACTTTTCTATTGGACCAGACCATAAACCAAGGAATATTACTGCATTAACAATTGTAGTATTTCAACAGAGACAGGGCATTTGATTATCAATTATCATAAAGGAGAGATCAGAAAGTTAAACTAATATGGCAGGAGCATGATTCAACGATACTACTGCGTGCAACCGCACAAAATCAAACAACCTATGATTTATTGTACAGATATGAGAACTCGCCTTCTTCCACCTCCGCCACATTGCTCGCCTCCGACCGTATTTTACCTCAAATGCAGCCGAAAGCCTCGTGCATGCGTTCGTCACCTTCCACTTGGATTACTCCAACGCACTCCTCGCCGGTCTCCCTAGCTCCACGTTTCAAAAGATCCAGCTCATTCAGAACTCCGTACCAACATCTCACCAGTTCTGGCCGGGCTCCACTGGCTTCCCATCACCATCGACTTCAAGATCCTCACACGTGAGTTCAAATCCCTTCACTTTCTGGCCTCCCTACATCTCCGACCTCCTCACTCCCCAACCCACCACCTCGATCGACTGGCAATGTCCTCTTGCTTGTCCTTTGCACCCTCCGCCCCACCATTGGACGTCGCTCTTTCAGTCACTACGCCCCGAAACTCTGGAACACTTTCCCTCAATCCTTTTGCCTTGCTCCCTCTCTCCCCTTTTTCAAACTCCGCCTGAAAACCTTCCTCTTCGACCATGCTTACAGCCACCTCACCCCCACCCTCGGTTTGGAGTCAGGCTCCACCACTTTTAAGCGCTCTGAGATGCGACCCCGTGTGGAGGGCGCTATATAAGTGCGCGTTATTGTCGTCGTTAATCTACAAGTAATTCTTAAAAGCAGCTTCCGTAAATTTTAAAAAGAACAAGGGGATTCAATGAAAGTTTTAATGTTGCATAGCACTGAATTCAAGTTGTATTCCACA